CAGACTTTTTACTGACTGAACCAGACTCTTTGGAATTGCCATCCAAATATTTTGTGATCAAGGACTTAATCGTCAACATGCGTWYTGATGCGTCCTGACAAAGCTGACATAGCTGCTCACCTTTGGAACAAAGATGTTCCAAAACCTTCACTTTTTCAGTAATSTCTGCAGTTGCAACTTTGCTCCCCTCATAGGTGTCRATTATACAGGACAACATCAGYGCCTGTATTGATATGACTGTCGGGGATGTAGTATCTTCCTTGCTCATCYAGTTCCTCTGTTTCCTACYCTCAGCACACACCCTACCTTTTATCATAGTACCAGCCATATCTTTTCTATTTGAGGAACATGATCAAATTTGCTAGTGCTTTTGCCTTTTGCTGTGTTGTRAGCTCCTTTTCAGCTACTGGTTCAACAACCTTGTGATCACTGAGCTGCTTTACCTTGGTCTTAATGTATTCCTTGTTTCAYTGGACTTGATGGTAGTAGAAAGTATTCTCATCTTTGCTACATTGTATCAGCACGTAGATGACCATAKCGTACTGTTTCATCACCTGTGTTTCCTCCCCTTGCCTTGCAATCAAATTTTTTTGATACCTCACTGTCTTTAGGTGGTCATAGTTTTTTTCACACTGGTATGGCTGTAGCCCCTTKTGCCTCTCCAGTCCCTCTGTGGAGCTGTTGTCATCTGTTTGCAAGCCCTCCTTGGAGGATGAGCTCTCATTGACAAAGTATTCATCCAGCTTTTCATTGCTCACTGATCCTTGCTCAACATTGTGGAATTGTTTGTTGAGTCATTGTCATTGTGGTTACCATCCTCACGTCCTCCAGTTGGTGCCAGTATGTCCTCCTCAGAGATTTGCTCCTCTGCTCAATCTCTGAAATCCATTCCTTCCAGGTAGTTCCTACTAGCTAAGTAGTTGATCCTCTTGATGACTTCATCTGGCATTGGGAGTACTGTATAGCATTAACAGCCGATTACTTGTCCAGTGTATAGGCTATAGAACCTCCCTGTACATTACCAGGTGGTCAGAGTTCTAACGCCCCAATAGCTGTGTGTGTGTGTGTTGTGTTATTATCTGTCTGCTCATGGGTCTGTATGTATTTGCCAAATTGCAACTTCATGTACTTAACATAGTCAATACTATCAAGCGCAATGATGATCGCTCGCAGGCTCATTTTCTGAGACACTMCTGTGATCTTTGGGAGACAGTTCCACCAGAATACTTGGCTTGCCACCAGTTCAACATTCATCCTCCCTGGTAGTCTYTTGTATGGGAGTGTACAWTGGATTSCATGCATGCGTTCTTTGATAGTCCTAATATCACTCAACCTCATGTGTCAATCTTCTTAATTAACTACAGAAAGTCTTAAAGCCCTGCTGTGTGATGTTAACTGAATKAAACKAAAAATAATGAGCAGATACTCCATATATACTATAATTACTAAATTCCACATTTGGGTTCTTGTCCCTTAATTGTGGCTTGCTTATTCTACCCTCACTGTCTTATTTGTTGCCAGAATGGGCCAAAGATGAACCCTGAACAAAGTGCGGCAGCAAAGAAGTTCACTACTAGTCATGTCTCATATTACAGTCTATCTGAAAGTTATGCAACAGAGTGAGGTGCTTGATGCAACTGGAAGTGATCTACTATGTCCAGCACTCAGCTCAACAAATCAAACTACAATGACATGACATACAGTGACTATGTGAGGCTGTCTGCGGAGGACAGTGTGAAGGTAAACATTGATAGATCTGCAAAACAACAGTTGCTTGCCTCAATGATCATCAAAGGGAGTAATGAGGACAACAGTATCCWCAAGGAAACTCTGGAGAATCAATTCAGTCTGRGAATAGATAACTACCCATCTACAACAACAAAAGCAATGGACATGCCAAACCACTTCAAAGGAAGTTGTAAAGGAGGGATGAAGGGTGCCTCAAACAATAAATAAAAAGGGAAACCAAAGGGGCAAGACCCATCATGAGGCCAGTGCCTTTGTAACCAAGGGGGTAACATTGACACCTGAGATTCAGGACAGCAAGAGCAATCACATATCTCAGAGAGAGCATCCTATTGGAGTGTGTTCAAAGTCTGTTTGGGCAGTACAGAGCGTGAGGGCTTACAGTCCCTCAAGTGAGTGGCTATCATGACCACTTCCAGTGCCTGCAGGACAATCTGCTGAAATTATCACTGTCAGTGGAGCTGCACTGTGTGGCAACAGGCCAATATGAGCCAACTATCAAACAGAGCAACTGGACGTTAAAGGAGAACATGCTTTCCTATGTATGCCATCTACCATTGAAAAAACCACTATAGTGTTGTGTGATTGAGCTCATCTATGCAGTAAAATACTGGCTCAACTGCAGAACCATGGGCGTGCACAGAACAAAATTAGTGTGCAAACTAATGACAGGAGTGTGCCCGGATGCAACACAGGACTGTGAGTTCCAATTCATAGTGCCAATCCTGGCACATGTGGATGATACCAATGATACAATGAAGACATGGACAGTATATGGGCTGTATCTCAGACCAACTAGATCCACTGTAAGGGGGATCTATGCATTTGACATAAACAACTGCGTGGAGGTCAGCCACCACAATGCCCCTCACTAAGACGCTTATGCAGTGCGTGACACAGATTGCTGAARCAAGGAGTGTGTTTTGGAGAGGCAGAGGGCAATGCCACCATCTTGGACCTGGATGACAGTCCTAATTATGCTAGCGTGGACATACCKGGAAGCTGGTGATGATATGTCAGTGGAGACAGCCCTCAGCAGTGAATACATGGATGATAGGGTTGAAGAAGCAGAAGCAGAAGAGCTTAATTAAAACTCAAGACCTGTGGACAAGACAAAAGTCCAGCACAAAAAGGACCAAACATATTAATCTGGTATTTCCTCCTCACAGACAAAATCAAAATGGGGGAAGTGACTGTGGAGTACTGCCCAACCAACAYCAATTGCAAGGCTGGAAGTTCTTTAAGTCCAGGAATGTCATCCAAGGGGTTTCCAACATGGACTGTATTAAATRCAAGCAAAGAAGCTTATTTTGCTGTCGAGGAAACAAGAGCTACAAGCAACTGAATCCAAATAGAGCACTACAGTACAACAGTCTGTTGGAGTGTAAAGGTAGCAAAGCAGCCAATCCAACAGACATTAAACAGCACCAGTGAGGAGGAGTGTGTTGATGGACAGACGCTTGCATGCACAGCCACCACCGATGAACAAGTAATGCACAAAAGTGATGAGAGATTGTCAGAAATCCAAGAGATCATTTCCATTGACCTCATAATTTTTCAATTTATCTAGTACACTACTAGTAGTAGTCAATAGGGTAAAAATGATTCTATTTAAGACTTCATTCATGTGTGATGTCAACACACTCAACATCATGTGTATTGAATCAACAGATACTGTAATATTTATGCCAGCGGATGGTCAAAGGATTAGTTTGCATTYGGATATCTGTTCGTACCTTAGGTAGAAGTAACTTGTACAAGGATGTATGTACGTACCACCAGCAGGGGTCATAGTAATTCAGAGGGGTGCAGATTGCGTCAAAACTCATATTCCATGTGCTGTCCAAATTTCCAAAAAGTCCCCCAAGGATTTTTTCATTCTCATTTTTACTGTATAATACATAATACTAGTAAAACTATCCTCCAACCTTTAAGCAGTTACAGCTTTATCAAAAATACTACTATTTTGATTTTTGAGTAGCCAGTCTAGTCCAGTCTTTAATGCTGATTCTGAATATACCATTTTGTTGGATATTAAATTGATATTTGTGGTACTATTTTACTATTGAAAAATGAACATAATTTCCATAGTAGTATTAGTAGTACTAGTACTAGTTGCTGCTACTACTAGTAGTACTACACTCCGGTGTGAACTTCTTAATTCTTTGTAACGCAACACTACTACTACTACTAGTACTACTACTAGTACTACTACTAGTACTACTACTAGTACTACTAGTACTACTACTAGTACTACTACTAGTACTACTACTAGTACTACTACTAATACTAGTGCAACTAGTACTACTGTTACTACTGTTAGTACTACTGCTAATAGTACTAGTAGTACTTCTTGTACTACTACTACAATTTCTCACTTGATCAATTGATTCAGCAGGTTTTTCCTTGTAGTAGTACTAGTACTTGAAGAACACGGGCTCATAGTAAGCGATACTACTACTACTAGTGCTACTAGTGGTGACTAGTAGTAGTAGAAGTAGTAGTATCATTGCTACTACTGTTACTATTAGCTACTATTGATACTGGTACTGAGGTGAAACTAGTACTACTAGCTAGTACTTTAAGATCTGATGTAACCATAAGAAAAGAAGAACGGACGAATTCAATCGAGTGAATCATAGAATGAAAAACATCAGCAGCAAGCAGCATGATGATCTTCAAAAATCATCTTCGTTTATTGCTGTGTGCTTCTCCGCTTGAATCTTGAATGAGATTGATATGCAGGCCGGGCGGACACGCACAGAACTACGACGTCTCATTCTCCACTTCGAAGACAGCAGTTTTCTATTCCATTTCTTTTGTTTGACCCAGGAACTGCGTAAYGTCTAGTACTACTTCTACGTACTCCTAATTTCTTTGATTCTCATCGTAGGCACCTCGTTCCCGTAATTTCTTCTTTTTCTTTTCCTTCTTGACTTACGTACAACAACAACAACAACAACAACAACAACAACAACAACAAAAGAACAATCGCTACAGTAGTTGTTAGAATATTTCGATTAGTCGAATACTATATCAATATCAAGTAGTCATCGGTAAGAATGTCTTGCTATCTTACTTTGTTGGAACGAGAGGATTGAMAGATGCGTCGTGTTYATAGTRATATGCGWATCGTTTGSTTTTGTTCCTTGATTCCTTTCTCACGAWTTCTGTTTTCACTTGTACCCGAACGCARAATACTTTTGCGTGCTCTCCGGCTCCTCAAACGCTACAWTYTKTATAGTATCGCATAGCYAGGCTGTTGTTCTTATCACTGTTCCCTGTACARCACAGGAAGAAACCAGATCTATCAACACACTCCCACAGAATTCTTGACAACGAATTYTGCTCTGTCTGTTTGGTTGAATTCCTAAAAACCGAACCCAGCCCCAGCAGGKACCTAAGAAAGACCAAGCTCTCATACTCCACCACAAGTAGTAYCACTCCKCCCCGACAMGACCATGGAATCATCGATGGCATCCTCGATGGCATCCTCTCCACCAAAACCACCGCCGGAAGGATCCGTCGCTTCCGAAACCGCGGCGGGCAAGAGCAATCCCCGAACCTCTACGACSGGACCGCCATTCCTGAACCGTGCTCCACGAAAGRTGTCCACCGAAAACAACGCAGCCGCTGGCGCGGCGTCTGGGACACTGGARTCGACAGCGACAACATCGCCGATGGAAACGACCGGTGGATGTGGCAGCCCGGGGGGCTGCGTGCTTTCGGATTCCCCGAGATCCGGGAGGCCCGCATCCGGGTTCCGTGCGAAGCCATTTCCTAGCACCTGGAAGCGCACCGTCACATCGGCTTGTTCCCCCTTGGCCAAGTACAAACCACCCACCAAGAACCCGCTGGCCTGGTCGTCTCCTTTCGGCAGGAAGAYGGAGGCCCGTTTTGGACGCATCGGCGATCCTCTGTCACCGGCCTACCGCCACTCCCTTTATGTCAAGGAACGACTCAAGCGCCTGAGACAACGTAAGAAGGAGCTTCTTTCTACGCTGTCATCTTCTCACTCCTGTTCCTCTCGGCCTTGCACCGATTCAAATCCAAAGGAGCGGACTGAGGAAATTGCGAAGCCCGTGGTCATTGATTTATGCAACGAAGACGACGATTGCAAGGAATCGACACTCCACGCACTGCCCAAGGCTCCGAAGGAGTCACTGCGGGATGCTCCCAGTAGCAGTGTAAAATCAGCACAAACAGGGGGAACGCCGCAGAAAAATGCAGTCCTGACAGGCACTGCCACGCTGAAACCAAATACAGAGACAAACCCTACTGAGGATGGTATTGGAAATCCCAATAGTCGATCTTGGAGGAAGTTTCCTCTCGAACGAGTCACGGTTGAGGGTCCAGATATTGGGTCAAAGACGTACTGTCGACGGGAGAACCAGCCTATTATCAAATACAATAATGATTTGGGATTTCGAATTGTGCTATCCGAATCAAAAGAGAAGGTCCGAATAATTGTTTCCCACGTTTTGTCGTTTTCTCATCATTGCCGTCGAGATTTGATCTCGAGGATCGAGATTCCTGGAGTGGGTAGTTGCGTGCTTGTTCATTGTTATGCGAACATCAACCCGGCAGATATCAAGAATAAAATGAGAGGGAAAAGGTGTATGGTGACACTGGAATTTCAGGACCACGGTGACTTTCAGAATATGGTAGATATTGCCCTTGAGTACTGCTCTCCGGGAGTGGTCTCGGAAGCGGAATGGTTTCATAAGGGGCTAATTCTGGSCAATTTAGGATACAAACCCTCGTCCCCAACATCATTGCGATCAAGATTAGCACTGAAAAAGGATGAAGCCCATGGTGGGCCTCTTTTAAGGCGTCTCGCTACAAGAGCATCGACCTTGACTGCAACATGGGAGAGAGTCCAGAAACAATCCAAGCGTCCATATGAAACCTCCAAGGACAGAACCATAGCCAGTAGGRTCAACACAACTTTTACATTCGATAAAACACCCAGTGATTTTGGCCAACCAGACCCCAAGAAGCAACGTATTGCCACTGAAGATGTCACTACAGGARCTGACATCGATAAGCACTCCCAAGCCACTGACRAAATGTCCGTGGATTCCGAGTCAAAAAATCCTTCAGATCCTCATCCCGAAGAGATTGCTCGCTATACCAGTGCTGATAACCTAGTTGGTGACTCAGTTTCTGGACTGCTTTCGCCCCAACTTTCTCCTTCGCCTTCGCCTTCGCCTTCGGACACGCGTGCCTCGAAGAAGTTCGAGTCGCATCCCCTCCCAGACGCAACTTCAGCCAAGGGGGGCTACGCATCTGAGGACAACAAATCTATAGGTGCGAAGGAGACGGCTGGTTCGCAATCTCATACCAATGGCAAAGCAACCTCCAACAAGGAATGCTCATTTGAATGGGACGGGACCTTTCAACTCCTTCAACAAGATTCCTCGAAGCCGGAAGATGATTCCAAACCTACAGGTAGCGATGTTGATGCTGACGTCAAAGATGTTGCGAATGAGAAAGAGGCCGATGATGTTCGACAGGATCAAGGCAGTAGTCTTTGTGACGAGTCGTCCAATAACGGCGAATATCAGTCTTCGAACAATTCGGATCTTGATCGGGCGCCTAGGAGCAGTGTCGATCACAGTGGAATCCAAACGACCCAYAAGGAAGATGCACAGACTCAAACTACGGTAGAGAAAGAAGCCATTGAATATCATAATGTTGCAGAAAATGAGGCAACGTCCGCTCAACGATACAATGACAATAATGAAGAAAGGCTGCCTATTGTTCGACAAGTTCTGACTCTCTTCAAGGGAATTGCATCCAGTATTGCGGAAAATGTCGGTGACGTTCGCAGCGCACAGCAAGAAGACGAAGCWGAAGACAAAGACGAGGAGGATGACAAACGCCCTGTAGGAGGTGACTCCATTCCCCAGGAGTGCGTTCTTATGCCACCGGAATCCAATTCAGAATCCGACGCAGATTCTGAGGATCTGACGGTTAACTCCAACCAGGATAGTGAACAACAGAATCACAACCCTCTCATTTCCATTTCTGTGGGAAACCTTCTCGTGTTAGCCTTGCCTTTGGTTGGACTTGCGGGCATTTTCTGGAGATTACGACTCTTTGATGTTTCAAATTCAATTCTGGAAGGATGTTTCAGAACTTTTGTTCAGTTGCATATATTGGGATGGTTGCTATCGCCAATTTTCAAATGGGGTACCAGGAATCCGCTACTCRTCGCATGCTATGCTTTGTTCATGATTTTACTGGCATCCCATGAAGCGTCATCCCGAACAAAGTACACATACGACGATCAATTCTTTGTGATTGCACTTTCTCTTGTMGTCAATGTCGGTTGGGTGGCTCTCGGGGCCTTTGGACTTGTCTTGAAACCAAAACCAWTATGGGATCCACGYTATGTCCTTCCTATTGTTGGGATGCTGCTTGGAAATTCCATTAATGGCATTTCTATCGCGCTCGATACGGTCACTACGTCCTTGGTAGAGAGGCAGGCCGAGATCGATCTTTACCTGAGTTTTGGCGCATCGCAGTTCGAAGCAGTTTCSGGCATTGTCGCCCATGCGATTCAGAAGGGATCCACGCCCGCTCTTAATATGATGTGCGTGGTCGGCATCGTCAGTATTCCCGGAATGATGACCGGCCAAATTCTTGGTGGAGCGAGCCCGATGGTTGCTGCGCGTTACCAAGCCATGATTATATTTTTGATTGCGCTCTCTACCCTATCGACGATTCTTGTTAGCTCGTACCWGACGATTACCTCGATGTTCTGCTCGCATCAGATTCTGAGGCCCGAACGGCTGGTCAGGAATCACAAACGGAGCCTAGCTCGCTTGATCATGTGGCTTTGGGGGAGTATTTTCGGAGSCACTGATCAAATCCCAAGTGGTGCAAATATGCTTTCGCATGGAACCGAATATGTGGGACAGCCTTCGCTAATGAATCTACCCAACGCCAAATTTCAGCCTTCGCTAATGAATCTACCCAACGCCAAATTTCAGATCCGTGAGTTGAAGAAAGGATACAGCTACGGAGGCGATGATCTCATGCAGGTTTTTGAGTTGAGCAAACACTTTGTTGATCATACAGCAGAAATTGATCGCTATCGAGTTCTCTTTCGCGGTCTATCCCTCAGTGTTAATGAAGGAGACTTTTATTTTGTGAGTGGACCAAACGGTTCCGGCAAATCCCAACTCTTGCGCATTTTATCCGGGCTAAGCCCATTTCAAGACGGTACCCTGMGTCTAAGAGGAAAGGAATGGAAAGACGATTTTGACGGATACAAAGCGGTTGAATGGAGAAAACAAATCCGATACATTTCCCAGAGCAAGGTTCAGATTCCAGGTACTCCACGACAGTTTATAAAGAAGATCCAATCGTTCAGATCGTGGAATACGGACTATGATGCCCATTCTCCAAATTCAACAATGAAGCTCATCCTGCAGTATGTTTTCGAGTGGGGCTTGAACGTAGACTGCCTAGATAAAGATTGGTCTTTTCTATCTGGAGGAGAATCTCAGCGGGTGCTGATGGCAATAGCTATGTCCTCCCGTCCCAAAGTATTGTTGTTTGACGAATCAACTTCGGCATTGGATCCGGAATCAAAGGCAGCAGTGGAGGCAAGCGTTATGGATTTTGTCGGSAATCATAGAGGGGGAGTAGTTTGGGTTTCTCACGACGAGCAGCAAGCAGATCGCTTGGTGCATCCTCCAGCCATCGAGGAGTGCGATGCCAATTGATTCCGAAATGCTGTTAGGGCCKAGTAAAAAACGAGGAAAATGTTGCTTTACATTCAATAGACCACGCGTTGYAGTATACGTGCAATTTTTTAAAAGACAACAAGTATTAATTATCAGTTACGATTATTTATTGCAGKTCATTWTAAGTTAAAGAAAAGGTATTTGTCTAGTAATAGGATCGCTAGATAGTGCGTAACGTTGTCGTGTTCATATTCATATTCCCAAGAGCTAATCTCTATGATATGAGTGCAAATCAAATCAGGAGCCATGTAATACTATAGAGTACATGCAATTCATGTGTGTGTATCATCTTTATGTGACATGGGGGGAGGGTTCATATGGGTCAGATGATATCATGGTGCTGGTAGCAGCAGTGAAAGTCCACCCTTTTTCTTCATACTGTCAACAACTTCCACTACCTGGGTTCTTCTTTTTTCTCTCAGAATAAGCACATATTACTAGCATATAATGTGTCATACTAATAAGTCCCATGTGATATTTTCACATTTGATCCAATTGCACCTCCTATTACTCAGGGGTTGCATAATWTCATCTAAGAGGGGGCAAGCTCCAATTATTTGCCTTGCATCTCTGTGGCTTCCACTCTTATTAACCATGGAAGGAAATGAGTTTCTGTGATGTGTAAAACGAGGAAATGGATGACCTCGTTGTTAATAATGGTGGTGTATTGGTGAGGTTATTGTGGGAGTAACCAGTTGTGTTCTGGTGTTGTGATACCRTTATTCTAAAGTTCTGTACTGTATGAGTCTATGTGGTGATTTAGTACAAGGATGTCGTCGTCCGGGGTTTTCTAAAAATCCTCCGGGGAAAAGAGGACTCAAGAAGTCGAGAAGTGGAGTGAATCCACCCCTTGTTCTCACCTCTCTTYGTTGATGCGCTGAAGATGGTTGCAATGGTTGTTGATGAGCCAAGGTAAGTCTGTTGTTSCTCATAACCTGCAAAATGTACGTGTGCTCTTTAGCGTGATAACTACTACATGTTTACAGTACTACTAAAGAGTGAGGTTATTCACTAGCTACTCGGGATTTACCCTCACATACATGACCTAAAAAAATCTTTTTTTTTGTGGTTTAATGCCCAAGAAATCATGAAATTTTTGGTGTCAATCTTTGTTCGTGGCTACGGCACACAGTAGTAACGGAACTTCCATGGGAAACAGAAACAGATACCTATCCTGCACAATAATTCCATTCGACMTCTGAGCACAGCTCTCGTACGGGTGCCGTAGCAACTTGCACATCATGTCCRAAGAAMAAAAAACATCCAGCTCGACTTTTGTGGAACGCCTAGCGACGTTTCTACCCGGGCTGCAGAATGCGCCGTCGGATTTTGCGGTTAGMGGGGCTGCCCCGGAACTCCCTTATCAACCTTTCATGTGCGTGAAGGGTATTRTGGGGGGAGGTGCTGACGTGCCGCTTCCTGTGAACCAGGATGTAGCGGAACGACTCAAGGCCGTTGCCGAACCGGTCGATCATCCGGGACCTCAAAAGGCCTGGGAAATTGATGCGGCAAAGATATCCTTTAAACATCCCGATTGGGACAAGTCYCTCCGGAATCTTGTGCGACGCGCCCTGCTTGCCCTAGGGTGCCATTCCTGTTCCAGCYKCASGATCGAGCCAATGCTGGATAAGGYCGTGCTGCACGAAGGAGGGTGGTTCGAGGCGCAAAATCCAAGCCCGGAACGCAAGGACGACRACGCGTTYGCGTCTCTCGTGGTGCAATTTCCTTCTGTGTATTCCGGTGGAGAGCTGGTAATGAAGCATGGCGGCAGGAAGGTGACAGCCACGTTTGGTAAAGAAGGGATAATGCACCACTACGCCGCGTTTTTCAAYGACATCGAGCACTCCCAATACGAACCGATTGCCTCGGGTCATCGTTTGACTCYGACSTACTCGCTTCGCTGGAACAAGAAGATCAGGTCCCCCCCACCTAGAATATCCACCCACTGCACACCCTTGGAGGGACTTGTGCCCCTGCTGTCGTCRTGGGCCTTGGAAAAAGATTGGTATACGGGCCCTATAGGTTTYGAGCTTGGGTCTTGGAACAGACTAAATAATGGGATGAAGTCTCTTAATGGCCCGGAACTYGAGGTGGTCAAGAGCCTTCTGTTCCACAACAAGTATTTACCACCGGGGGCCAACCTCTACGTTGAACTCATAGTYCTTCAACGCATAGATGACAAAGTCGCAATCAGATGTGTCTATGATCTTGATGGCGGTTCCAAAGAAGCGGCATATGACTCYGATACAATTACGGTTATCRACTCRAAAAGCAAGGGAGCGGCGGATCTGAACTCTTTGGARTGGTGGGGCAAGGRSATTCCAGCATCAGAGGATCCATATTGCAGCCGCTTCCACTCCGGCAGCAATGCGCTCAGTAAAACCGTTTACAAAAAGAATTTGGTGGTTTTTTACCCGGCGAGACACRAATTTCAGCAACTGATGAAATGTCGCAAATTCGAATCTGCTGCACGTTGGTTGCTGAATTCCATTCGATCCCTGAAAATTCCATGTGAAAAGGCGRACTCGTTGCCCGCTCGTTTCGTTCTCGACCGCTACTGGGACCTCCATTGGGAACCTCTTATTTCTGCGTACTCCAGCAATCACATATATGGGGCGTTCTCTACTTTGTTGTTCGACATAGTCACCCAATCGAAAAGGCGTGATCACGCCGCTCGCTTGCTATCCATTTGTGAGAATTTMCAAACAAATGAAATTTYGCARAGTTCAATTTTAAATTTTATTGGCTGTTTCGGTTGGGACAGCTTCAAGAGTAGTCTTCCTCGGCTTATTCTTCGCAACCATGACAGGACATTAGATATTGCATCAACATTGCTTCGGGCTTCTGTGGTACCAAAAGACGATGATCTCATCACAACTATTAGCAGTGATTGGGAATCATTTCTGTCTTTTGGTTTAGATGGAAYGGATGAGGAAGTAAATATCAGGCCGCTATGGTTCTTTTTGTCCGCACTGAACAAGCCAGATGAAAGCCGTCGAGTCGCTATTGAATTGAACGCTAGAAAGAGATTCGCCACGGGAATTTTTCGTTTTCTCCAGRTCCACTTGRAGGAAGATGCTATTATTGATCCTAATGAGAAAGCTTTTGTTTTAACACTTTTGGATGGCCTGTTCCGCGATCTCAGAGACTACATGGTGCGGGTCGCAGAAGAAGCTGATGCCGGCGTGGAAACGAACATCCAAGAGCAGATATGGAACTGCTTGGAAGACAAAGACGCCGTGTTGGACGATTTATATGAGTACAAGTTTAGGCTGGATCCCATTCTKAAGGTTTTGTGGAAACTTTTYGAAAACATGCGCGACGATGAGCGCCTAGCGGTGYTGTCAGATCTTGTCGTTGAAAGATACACTGATCTGCACCACACCCGACTTCTCGAAATTCTCCTTGGTCCCTGCTTGCCACCGGAGGGAACGATCGAGAACGCYTCCCCGATCGGGAGAGTGCTGGTGTGCTGGCTGCAAATCGTTTACATGGCGCTGGCCTCCGGACGACCGGTCGAGTCGCACACCGGCGAGACKCACGACACGCTCCTTTCCAAATTTCGGGCCCGGAACGAACGCCTTGCGGACCCGATTCCGGACCCAACTCCGGACCTGGAGCACCCTACGAAGCAGGTGAAGCGGGAGGCTAGCAATCCCTTGTAGCGAAAGCGAAGGAACGAATCCACCCATTTGTCCGGTTTGGCAAAGGTGCAACAGGGTCCGTGGAACAACACGGTCGAGGAGAGACGAACGAACGTGATTCGGCCGAGATTTGCCGTTTTCCACTAGAGTAGAACAATCCCGCACAAACACAGTTCCGAGAACAAGCAGTCATACAGTAATACCTTGTAAAACCAAATCTACACACGTACTTCCTCTGGTCCACTATGAGTGTCCATATTGCATCTTTGCTCCTGAAATAAGTTCAATAGTTTAGTGATTGGAATGATTCTCTTGTAAATCACTGATTCACTATTATCCACTTCAGTATGATACAAGCATAATTTTGTTAGCACCAAATGCGAGGGTACCAAAAACCATGACATCATACCGGTATATGGTATATTCGTCCCTGTGTCCAAACTTTAGGGTATGAATAGTATCTATGGWATGTACCATATATTACTTATCGGACGCAGCACCAAATCTCGATCGGATCACGTCACGATCGATCGTGACACGATCGTTCCCCCGTTCGCCAATGGAAAACCTACTCGTGCCGACCGACCGTGACGTAATGGTAGTAGGTACGTACGTACTAGTACAAGGACATCTAAAAAATTTGGGAGAGAGGGAGAAGTTTTTCTCGTGCCTTTCATGTCACCATCGATCGATCATCAAATCTCAAATCATCATCTGGCTCATCGTGTGTGTATCCGTACCGTACGTACATTACTTACGATACAGTRCCGTACGATGCGAAATTGGGAATCATTTTGTCGAAAAAGGATTCCATGTTTCGCGTTGGATGCAACTCGATACGCATGAGATTGTGTTGTGATCTAAACTCATTGCTTCCACCATTCGAACAAGACTCTCCCATCTAGAGGTGCATACCCAYTTCAATCCGTCCCGCATTGTCCCACGGTATTCCGGGCGGCATGAACCGGCACGGATCCCGCATCGCTTGCCTGGCGGCCCGGCGAAAGCTGCACCGGAGGGCCCCCACGGCCTCGATTCTCCGGAACCTCGGGATCCGGGCTCCTTCGCCGCCGGTGGCTCCCGGAAGATCCCCGCCCCGCACCGAGGCCCAGCGGTGGTCCTCGYTGTCCCTCGAAACGGCGTCGAGCGAGCTCCCGGGGACGCGCCCGCGAAAACCCCCCTGCCTTTCCGGCCGGAACGACGTCTCGCTGGCCCGGTACCCGAACCTGCGGACCGCGGGAGGCATGCTCCGGGGGGCCGACTACGCGGGAACGGTCACMTTTGCCCTGACGGGGACCATCACCGCGGCCCAGTCCGGCCTGGACGTCTTTGGGTGCTGCCTGGTGGGGATCCTCACCAGCGTGGGGGGCGGGACGATCCGGGACTCGATCCTCCTCAACAAGCGGCCCTTCTGGACGGAGGAGCCCGAGTACATATGGATGGGCCTGGCGACGGGGCTGGTGGCCTTTTTTGCCTGGCCCACCTCGGTCCTGGAGTGGAAGCGGCGGGAGCAGCAGAAGCGCGACGAGGAAACGCGGCAGCGGCWGCGGGATGGCACGYCCGCTGGTTCTCGGGAAGAGCCGTCCCCAACGGACCGGGGTGGCCACCGCGGCTCGGGCTTTGACGCGATCGACGTCTTCCTCGAGAGCATGGACGCGATCGGCCTGTCGGCCTTTTGCATCATCGGGGCCCAGAACGGGATYCGGGCGGGGATGCCYCCCGTCGTGAGCGCCATCTGCGGGATGGCCACCGCTACCTTTGGCGGCGTCCTCCGGGACGTCCTGTGCGGGAGGCCGGTCCGGATCGTCCATTCCAACACGGAGGTYTACGCRCCCCCGGCGCTGGCGGGGGCCGCCGTCTACCTGGCGGCCGGGAGCGGAAGGATCGCCGGCCTCCGGATCCCGGTGGCGTCCCCCCTGGCCAAGATCGGCCTGGCGACCGCCACCTGCCTGGGGGGCCGGTACGTGGCCATCGCCAACGACGTCAAGGTGAGTGCCGGACGGCGTTTCGATTCGAATCGTTCGCTGCCTGGCAGCCATTCTTGGAAGGTGTCTGCCCACGACGACCMGGGGTTCCTCGATTCTCACCGTTCGCTTCTCCTTATTTTTCTTTTCTCGAAACCGATTGGTGCCGCATCCATAACCAGCTGCATACATGGGACACGGCACACGACAACCTCGGTGTCACCATACGGAAGAAGCCCACCCAAAACAGGAATTACAGAAACAGGGACTAATAGTGCTAGAGGTGTTGTGCCTCGTGCTTTCAAAAAGCACGGCGACGACGGACCTTGGTCGTGCAAAACACAATTTAAGGTACAATCAATCYGCGTTCGTGCTCTTGTCGGTCAGGGACATCCAAACGGAAGCCTGGCCGGCAAAAAAAACATTGGGGGACCTGCTCTTCTACGCGTCAATGCGATGCAATGCRATGCCGCAAACCAACCGGCCCGCAACACGCTGCCGTGCGCAAAGAATMCTACGGCTTGCCGGAAACTCGGCAAGGCAAACCAGTGCAATGCGTGTCCATCCACAGAGCAGGCCACCAYCCAAGCTGCGCTGTAATAGTTGAATAGTAGTATTTTTGTTCTAAAGAGTTTTTCTTTTTTTTCACGGTAGGCAGCAGAGGCAAGTAGCATGCCATTTTCATTTCTTAAAAATCATTCAACAAGAGTCTGCCTAGCTATTCTTTTTGGCGCAATAATGCCACCGCGTCCCGCAACAAGCCCGGAGTCACCATCACCCCCCTGCAGCACGGGCAACAAGTTGCTCCCGTACCAAACCACCCAACAATGCAATCCAGGTGAAACAGGTGCTGTTCGCATGATTTGGAATAGTAGACATCTTCCCCAACCTGGATCTCTTCTAAGCAGATGGGACAGCACAGACCAGAGGAAGTGGTGCTTATCTCTTGATTTTTGCTAGACAGTTTTCTCATGGCAGTTATGAAACTGCCACTGTGTTTGCGTTGGCTGGGTGGCGCAGGCAGGTTGGTGATGCGACTGTCACTGTCGTTGGGTTGGCGTTGACTGGATGGTGTTGGCGGGGAGTTTTCTTCGCGTTCAACCAGATGAGCCACTGTGGTGTTGGGGTTGGGGTTGCGACTATCACTGTCACTGTGTTTGTGTTTGCGTTTTCGTTTGCGTTTGCGTTTTCGTTTTCGTTTGCGTTGGCGACTGTCACTGTCATTGGGTTGGCGTTGGCGTTGACTGGATGGTGCTGGCGGGTAGTTTTCTTCGCGTTCAACCAGATGAGCCTCTGTGGTGTACACGCTTCTCTCAGAATTGTAGTTTTTCTTCCTCCAAATCCCAATGTCTCTTTTGGTTGCTTTCTTGCACTCTAGTACAAATGAGAACAGTTTTTTCTTTTCTGTCAGTGTCAGGCTTTCCAGCAATATTTTTGTGTTCTCTCCACTAGGTTCTGCAGCTTCAATGTCACCAAGATTATTGTCATTGTTAGGAATGACCGTGGATGGATCTGGCGTTCTCGTGGATGCATTGACCCTTCTTTCTGCATTGTTCTCTTCCTTTGGTTTGCATGCTTTGCAACAACACAAGAGGAATGGAATGAAAAAAAATAATAACAAAAACGCCGCAAATTTTGCATCGTCATCCGACGCCTTGTTTGCATCCTCATCCTGAAACGCCGGCCAGTCACCCCAGTACTACACAAATCAAGGAAATCACGAGTAGACAGCGAATGAACAATGAGCTCATCTACATTCTTTATTGTAAACACGCACTCATGTAACACTGTGATCCTAAATCACGAGTAGATAGTGAATAAGCTCACTCTTTATTGTACACACGTAATTATACGACCCCTTCGCAAACACTAGAGAGCATACGTACCGGTACATTTTCCGACATGTTTTAACGATTGCTGGTGAAGTATATCGCAAGAAGCTACTGCGCATCGAGTGCAAGTACGATTGATTGCGGTGTCCGGAGATGTCGCTGGTTGAGGACACTTGAGTGGTATTATACGGTATGAAACGGTTGTTGGAAGCTCGGGGGTTTGGAGGGGGGTTGCCGTATTTTCAGTGTGTACGGTTGCTTGAGATTAGTAGATTTGCGGTACGAACGCTAAAACGAGTGTGAGACGATACGAAGCAGGTGTGGGTCAGCACCATGACTACGAGTACCGTACGTACGTACTGATACTCGATCTTGCCAAAGAATCGAAGTTGATCGATCTTATTCGCACGCGCCCTATTGTACCGTAAGAGCCTGTTCTTCTCCTGCGAGTACCTAACGTACCTCTAGAAGAAACCAAAATAAAATATCTTGATAACAAAAATTTTTGATTCAATACACTTTTCTTTCTCTTCGCATTGGTTCTCCAGCCTTAATGGAAAGAACAAATGAAAAAAGCACGTTTCCCTAATAAGTGCCCTAGCAATATTTGGGTTCTCTTTTGACCAACAAAGACTGCACACGAACATTCTCAATGAATACGATAAGTACATTACGTAAAAGATCTCAGTCTGGGCTTTTTAAATAAACCGGTCCCATCTGTAGAACCCAACTGACGGTAAAACAGTGTAGTAGATCTGTTTAGTGCAATCGCCCAAATATTGAGCTTATTTCAACTAAATAGGTGCATATTGTCCTATTATTGTGGGACGGAGGTACTATGTATGAAGCCTTAATGAGTGGAATATTTACCGTATTGACTAGATAAATTAATAAAGAATGAGGATATCATTCTCACACATTTGATCTTGTTGTAAATATTCCATCGGATCACATGAGAGATCTTCAGTGATATTTGGATCACACTTTTGTGTACCTTGGCCATAAAATTGTGATTCCGACATAAATTCCGTCTGTACATCACCAACACACTCCTCACTACAACCACAAATCACTCTGAGGCTGGTATAGCAGTGCTCATTTGGCTGTTCTTAGGTAGGAGCGCACAGGTGTTTTGGTATGCTTGTTTGTACTGTATATAGTAGTCTCCTTGCTCACTAATGCCTTGTATAGTGTTTCTAAACTTGTGGAACTTAGTAGCTCCTTGCAATGGTTTGGTAAAATTTTAAAAAATCTTAATATTATATTTAACCTCGTGAACTAGAAGAGGCACTTAGATGGCCAGAACCATAACTTTTGTAAGAAAGAATTCTTCTAGCTGCTCCGAGGGGCAGCACCTCCCTCCGAGGAGGTTTTTGTGGAGGCACGACTGGGGTTTTGTTTTGGGCTGGGGGATTATTGGAAATATTTGTTCATAGTAGTTTGCATAGTGCGGTTGGTTGCGACAGAGACCAAAGAAGTCTTTGGTGATGTGGAGGGTTTGTGTCGTTTCTTCTTGGAGTACGTGTCAAAGACCAGCCCATCTTGTGTGACGCTCTCCGGTGGTTGTTTACTATGAGACAAATGTTGAAAGTACTGAGTAATAGGGCAAGTGTTGGAGACTGAAGCAATGGTTTGGTTGACTCCCCCAGTGTGGCTCCACATGTCATTTGTGAACTGCAAACACTGCATCAACATGCCAGTATATTTTCCCAGTCTCATCCCAACCAAGCAAGAGAGGTATAAATCCCAACCAAGCACAAGAGCTATAAAAGGTGTTTTGGAGAGGTAGCTCATGACTTGCTTCAATTTCTTCCAGTCATTGGCATCCGGTTCAGCAATCCTCATACAGAGAAATGCAATGGCTGTTTGTATATCAGGTCTTGTATGCTTTGCCACATACAATAGCTTTGCCACATAGTGGTGGAATATTCCTGCCTTCTCTTTGCTTAGCTTTCTTGGTTCTTCTTCATTGATCTTGAATAGGTGATTGGAAGCTGGTGTGGCTGATTTGCCCTGTAGACTGGTAGGTAATCCTGAGAGGATGTCCTTGAGGTAGTCAAACATACTCATCATCACCTTGCCCAGCGTACTATAATCAATGGTTGTGCCAATGTAATTGTGAATCTTCCCCCTTGTTTTAGTTAGAGGGGACCCAACCCCAAACTTCTCATTCAAAGCATTAATGATTGATGTCACTACCTCTGGATCTTTGTGGGATATCTTCAAGTCATCAACGTGCCACACAATTGTGCATTGCTTTCCATTCACCACTTTATTAGCTGTGCATGGATCATATGGATTTAATTCAAAGCCCCACTCCTCAAGCTGGCCGTACAGCTTCTCCCAGAACAGGGTTTAAGCCTGCAGGGTCCTATAAATGGCCTTTTCAACTCTGGTGAATGGTGTCTTCTTTCAATTCCTATTCAGGAGATATTTTTGATATATCTTTGGGTCAACCCGACACAACAGTTTGGCCATAGGTCCATCAAGTCAAATTTATACATCCTCCCCCTCTGGCATGTCTGTCTGGAGGAAAGCTCCTGGTATGTCGACTGTTGCCACGTCACATCCTCCAATGGCGTCCATGATACAAGATAGGATCAGGGCATGAAGTGACACTGTTGGGGAGGTGGCATCCTGTTTGCGGATGAAGTCTCTCTGTCTCCTTCCATTGGCACAGCCCCTTCCTTTGATGCTCATATCTCTCTTCTGTTTGAGGAACATTAGATATGGGAGGAGGAGTACTAAAAAAATGTGAGCAGTTTTCAGCTGGAAAAACTGATCTTGATTGCTATTCCAGTACAAACTTGTGTAGAAAGCACTGTAGAAATATTGATTTGCAGGGGAAACACAAGCAAAACACCAGCAGTGCCCTCCATACGGTATCAGCATCCTCCTCCACAGATATATAACATATCATCCTATCAGCAACTCGTATCGTATCAGTGCTGGCTCCTCATCAGCAGTGACTCCGCAGTCTTGTATCAGCAGCTCATTTGTATCAGCGGCTCCTCCGTATCAGCAACTTGTCATATCAGCATCCTCTGTATCAGCGTCCTCTGTATCAACAGCTCTGTATCAGTGGCTTCTCTGTATCGTATCAGCGTCTCCTCCAACAAAGTATGATTGTATAAGTGGCTCCACAGCTGTATCATATCAGTGGCTCCTCTGCATCAGTGCTGTCCTCCTCCGTATCAGCGGTTGGCTGAGTACATGAAAATGTTGAGCTGCTTCAACGGTTACATAAATAATTGTGGAAGAGCTCTGCTTCAGTGCAACAAGTATCTTTGACACCAAGAACAAGCTCTGGAACTAAAGCTCTCAAGCTTGTTGGTGTTGAAGACACTTGCAGTAACCTCACTTCCGTCTTGAACTAAACCTCTCAATCTCAGTGTAGTTACTGGTGTACCCAAATTGTACCAAAAAATGTACTCTGTTGAGGTCTTTGTTATTTGTGTGGGAAAGTTTTGTACTGTGCGCTCTTGAGCTTTCGAGGTAAAGCTCTCAAGCTTGTTGGTGTTGAAGATACTTGCAGCTCAAACACATGAAATTAAACTTCGCTTATGAAAAGTATCCCCTAGAATTCCTACTGATTCCTATGTGCATTCCTACCTGACAAGTTTCATCCGACTTCCGAACCATGGTGACATTCCCTTTGGAAGGGGAAAATCCACTTCCTTGGCTCCATTCAACCTCTAACCAAGACTATTCCAAGTATATTGACCTCCCCCAGCTGGCTGCAGTTTGCCCCAGCTGGAAACATCTCCAGTTCTCAAGGACCAGAAACTCCAGTATTTTCCAAGCACAATTGTTGGTGCTTCTGGCATTTGTGCCAGAAAGCAACAGCACCAACCCCAGCCCCCAGTATTCAACCAAGACCTATTGAAGAACAAAGTCTGGAGGATATGCTACATTATACTCAGTTTTAAAGAATATTTCCCAGTGTCTCCATCTCCATGCAGTTCCAGTATTTTACAGACCGGAAGAGTTTTCCGGTCAGGTTGTTGTTGGTTCCGACATTTGTGCCGGAATGCAACAACAACAACCCCAGCCCCAGTATTCAACCAAAACCTGTTGAAGAGCAAAGTCTGGAGGATATGCTACATAATAGATCCTCTGATGAAAATTCCCAATCATCTCCATGCAGTTCCAGTATTTTATGGACCAGAAGAGGTTTCTGGTCAGGTTGTTGTTGTTTCCAACATTTTTGCCGGATAGCAACAACAACAACCCCAGCCCCAGTATTCAACCAAAACCTGTTGAAGAGCAAAGTCTGGAGGATATGCTACATAATAGATCCTCTGATGAAAATTCCCCATCACCATATCCATGCAGTTCTAGTATTTTACGGACCAGAAGAGGTTTCTGGTCAGGTTGTTGTTGTTTCCAACATTTTTGCCGGATAGTAACAACAACAACCCCAGCCCCAGTATTCAATCCTTTTGAGGAATCAAGCCTGGAGTATATGCTAGACACATAGTACTCTAAAGAAGATTCCCCCAGCATTTCCATGCAGTTCCAGCATTTTACTGACCTGAAGAAGATTCCAGTTACGATGTGGTTGTTGTTGTTGTTGTTGTTGTTGTTGTTGTTGCTGCTGCTTCTGCTTCTGCTTCTGGCATCTGTGCCAGATAATAACAACACTAACCCCAGCCCCAGTATTCAACCAAGACCTATAGAAGAACAAAGCCTGGAGTAAATGCTACACCATACTCAGTATTAAGAAAGAAGATTCCCCAGCATCTCCATGCAGTTCCAGTATTCCACCAGAAGAGGTTTCTAGTCATGTTGTTGCTGTTACCAGCATCTGTGTTGGCAAGTAGGAATAACACCAACCCCAGTACTACTTCCCCCAGTTCAGTGCAGTTTGCCTCAGCTGGATCCATCTCCAGTTCTTAAGGACTGGAAGCACCAACAGTGTTTTCTGGTCACCACTGCAGTTCCGGAAGAGTTTTCCGGTCAAGTTGTTATTAGTTCCGACATTTGTGAAGGAAATCAACAACACCAACCCCAGCCCCCAGTATTCAACCAAGACCTAGTGAAGAACAAAGACTGGAGTATATGCTACATTATACTCAGTTTTAAAGAATATTCCCCAGCATCTCCATCTCCATGCAGTTCCAGTATTTTATGGACCGGAAGAGTTTTCCGGTCAGGTTGTTGTTGGTTCCGACATTTGTGCCGGAATGCAACAACACCAACCCCAGCCCCCAGTATCCAACCAAGACCTAGTGAAGAACAAAGACTGGAGTATATGCTACATTATACTCAGTTTTAAAGAATATTCCCCAGCGTCTCCATCTCCATGCAGTTCCAGTATTTTATGGACCGGAAGAGTTTTCCGGTCAGGTTGTTGTTGGTTCCGACATTTGTGCTGGAATGCAATAACAACAACCCCACTGCAGCCAATACTCTCTCAGTATCAACCCCGGTCCTGTTTCTCCAGTTGAGTGCAATTGCCTCAGCTAGATCCATCCCCAGTTCTCAAGGACCAAAAGCCCCAGTGCTTCCGGTCACGATTGTTGTTGTTCCTGTCTTCTGTGGTGGACAGAAACAGCAACACCCCAAGTGTTTAACCCCATGACTAGCTGTGACAGGATTGATTTATTTCCAGTTTCTTCTTCAAGAAGATGCTCCAACAGCTGCTCCTTTGGGCAGGCTCAGCTGTAATTTGGTGAAAGAAATGTGACGTTTTCCTTTTTTTTTGTTGATTTTTTATTTTTGACTACATGTGTCCTCACCCACTGGGGTGAGACTTGCCTTAATTGGCTTGGCAGTGTGCTTTCCTTGATCACTGCGTGTGGCAACTTGCCTACGGGTTGGGGCTTGAGTACCCCAACCTGCGGGCGTGGCAGTGCCCTTTGATATGATAATGGCATGGTTCTCATCCATTCAAACTGTGAACCAATTGCTTTTATGTCCTCTAGAGTCCAGTGACCTGCCTTGATTGGCTTGTCAGTGTCGTACATAGAACTTGATCGCGCCTCCACAAAACCTCCTTGGAGGGAGGCGCCGCCTCTTGGTGCAGCTAGGAGCATTCTTCTCCCTAGTCCGGAGAGGCTCTGGTTCTGGCCATATAGTGCCTCTTCTAGTTCACGAGGTTAAATATAATATTAAGATTTTTTTTACTTGCAGTAACCTCGCCTGCTCCGCGGATGGACACAGTATGTTTTGCGCATTGCTTGGCATTGCATCGCATTGCACCGCAATGGCTACATCAGCACCGGCTCCGGTTGTCCCACCGGCGCCGACGACACGACGGTGCCCTCCAGCTTGTAGGTCGCCGGCGTCTGGAGGTCGGTGGTCCCCCCTCCTCCGCYKKGGACCCGAAAGTCGACCCGGATGGAAATGGCGTCGCCCCCCCGGACGGGCACCGGCCGGTCCCCCATGATGGGCAGGACCGTCTGCCAGTGGCTCCTCTGGTGCCCGCCGTCGGGAAAGCGCCGGGAGTCGATGGCACCGGTGGATCCCAGGACCAGCCGGGGCCACAGGGCCAGCCCGCTGAAGGAGTGCCCGGTGGCGTCGGCCGCCCGGAGGGCCTCCGACTTGCCGAGCTTGTTGGCCTGGAGCTCCGCCACGAGGGTTTCCGTGTTGGCGACGGTCCGGGCCTCGTCGACGGCAAAGTCGAGGACCCGGCGGTTCGACACCTYGTGGTCGAGGATGTTGGCGAAGGAAATGTCCTCGACGATCTGCGGGTCCGACAGGAGCTGCAGGCCCTCGTCCCGGCAGTTGAACCGGACCGGGTCCCCGTCGAGCTTGGACCAGTCAAATCCCGGTGGMCCAAAGAGGTTGTGCAGCGTGTAGGAGGCCGGCGCCGCGTAGGTCTGGACCCGGCTGGGGATCCAGGTGGAGTCGCTGGTGGGGTTTCTGGCGAACCGCCTGTGGGCGTCGGCGATCGTGGCCACGACGCCCTCCTCCGAGGCGATCGATCCGATGATCTCGGCGACGATCAGGTCGGCCTTGTCTCCGTTGGGGAGGCTCACGTCGGTCGAAAATCCCTCCAGGACGGTGATGACGTCCTCGAAGCCCTTCTTCCGGACGGTCTCCCTGGCCATGGACGCGGCCCTCGGGTTGGCCTCGATGGCGTAGACCTTCTCTGCGCCGAGCTCGGCCGCCCGGATGGCAAAGATGGCAAAGGGKCCCGTTCCCAGGTCGAGGACGGTTTTCGCTCCCCTCCCGTCGTCGATGCGCTCGGCCATGGCCTTGTAGAACATCGGGGTCCGGTTCTTGTCGTTGATCATGGCCTGGTAGGCCGAGGCGTCAAAGCCGACAAAGTTTTTCGTTTCCTCCTCCATGGTGTTGAGGCCGTCGACGGCCTTCCAGGACGCCCGRACGGGAACGGTGGTGGTGGAAGGGGGGCCTTCCGCTGCCAKCGAYCGCGGCGGGGCGATGGAACACGCCATTGCCAAAGCGGACGCCGATCGGGCGGCCGCCATCAGGGCCGACCTCCGGGACAGGACGGCGGCCTCCCCGGGCTCGCCGTGGTGGTGGTGGTKGYSGTTGRCRTTGGCRTTGGCSTTGGCGTTAKAGTGGTCGGTTCCGGCCCGGAGGGCGGTTCCCACGCGGCARGCGTGGTTTCCGCCTCCCCCCGGYGTGGCGACAAAGGCGCCGGCCGCTGCCAGCATCGAGGCCAGCTGGACRAGCAGCAGCGCCGCCCGCAAGAGGCCGGCAACGCCCGCCCGCGCCGGTGCAAGGTTCCTCCGATCGTCCCTTCCGGGCCTGGTTCTCTTTCCGGCCGCCATGCTTCGTTTGCGTTGCGTTGCTTTGCTTGTGGTGTTGCGGTTCGAGTGGTGTTGTGGGTCGTCGGATGCCCTCGCGACGTCGTAGTAGTGCTGTCTCTTCGGTATCGAGATTGTCCGTTTCGATGCAACAGAGGACTGCTCTGTTTGGTTTTGCTTGCTTGCTGCTCCGTTGGGTCCCGTGGTATGGTACGAAGCGGTTTCGGTGTCGACGACGACGACGACGACGACAACGATGATGATGATGATGAGATTTTTGGATTTGGGATTTGAAGAACAAACCGATTCCAACAGGAGACAACTGACGTGTGGAGCTTCGTTTCTCGGCGATGACATCGTACGTACGGTACGGTATGTTTCTTCTCTTCATTGGTACAGTACGGTACGGTACGTAACTGGTGCTGTACTGTAGCGTAGCGTACGGTAATTCGTAACGTACGGTACGAGGTACGGTATGGTAGGCTATGGAAGTGTGGGTGGATGGTGGATACAGTAAAYACAGTATGTACATACTCTAGTTACTATGACTATGTACTAACATACCGTAGTATATCACCTCTACTTGAACGATATTGCGCGATTTTTTCCGACTCGATGTACTACGTACTCGTACTCCTACTAGTACTCCTACTCGTACCTACCGAACTCGGTGTGCAAAAGAATTGGTCATTTCAGTAATTTTTTTGTGTTGAAATCAAACTACTGAGTTCATTCATTTCGAAACAAAGCGACTAGAAGTAGTACTTCCTACTCCCGTACCGTGATCCTGCCACACAGCTCGGAATCCGGTGGCGCTGGCAGAGTGCTTGTACACGCCATCCACTCCACTCCGATCCATCGATTGCTCCCCATCATGAAGCGACCACAGCTGAGGGCACACGCGTCGCTGCCGTTGTCGGTGGGAACCGCGGCCCTGTCGTCGGCCCGAAAACAACAGCAGGGACGAGCCGGGAGGTTTTCTTCCCTCTGGTCCCCGGTGGGGCTGGTCCTCTGCTGCGCTTGCTCGGTCGTCTCCTTTTACGCCGGGGCCTCGATCGGGTACCACGCGGGCGCTGCAAGCGCAGGCGTTCGCCGGCCCCCCGGCAACGACGCCGTTTCGCCGGAAGAGCCGGGGGCCCCCGTCTACGATGCCGGCGAGCTCGAGTGGCTCCGCAAAACCAACAAGGAGCACACCCACCAGAAAGAAAAGCTGGAGCGCCGCATCAAGACCGTAGAGAGGGATCTGATGCGGTGCCACAAAGCCAACAGGGACGGGGACAAGGACAAGGACAAGGACAAAGACGAGGACGAGCCAACAAACGACGGGGGAAACAACCCCGGGCCCTTCCACTCCGGGGACTTTTCCGAGGCCCACACGGGACAATTCGCCTCCGGGATGCACCTCGTCGACCGGGAGGACTTTGCCGGTGCCTTTGACACGGGCGTTCCYCTGGAYCCGAGCGGTTTCGGAAACGACAGGGTCCTCCTGCTCTACAGCGACCCSTCCGCCTTTCCCTCMRGCGGAGAAAAAMCAAGCAAAAGCCCGGTGGTGTCGGCCCGCGACGCCACGGCCAACTGCAACAACCTGCACATCGTCTACACCCAGACGGGCCGCAAGAAGCAGTGCGTCGCGCTCATGGGGCAGTACGAGAGCTACCACCTGCACCGGTTCATGCGGGTCGACAAAACCGAGAAGCGGGGGGCCGTCGATCCCTCCCTCCCGCTGGTGCAGGTCAGCCGGGGGTACCAGCAGAACGGGCGCAAGTCCCACAAGGTGCCGACCGTCGAGAACTCGGAGACCCACTGGGACAACCTGGTGGCCTACCTGCAGAGCCTGCGCGGGAAGGACAACTTTTTGGAGGCCACGCTGGACCCGATCCTCAAGAAGGTCGCCTCCCACAACGACCACAACACGGTCGTTGTCATGGTGTGCAATTTCGGCCAGTCCGAGCTGCTGTGGAACTGTGCGTGCATCGTGTGATGTGTTGTGTTGCATTGTGTTGTGTTGTATTGTATTGTATTGTATTGTATTGTGTTGTGTTGTGTTGTTTTGGTGCAGTGCCGTCTCCTTGCTCACTTCTCTTGGATGGGTGTTTTTTTTTGGGGTGTTTGTGTTTCGTGTCACGGCTTTGCAACGCCCTCTCTCTCTCTCTCTCTCGCACCCGCGACCGCATTCTGGAACAGTCGTTTGCAATGCCCGCGCCAAGGGATTCGGAGACGTCCTCAACAACATCCTGCTCTTCGCCACGGACAAGGAAACCCACGAACTGGCCACCGAGTACATGGGCATCACCTCCATCTACATCGAGTCCATCTTCGGGGACATGCCCCGGGGCGCCGCCCGGGCCTACGCCGACAGGACCTTTCGCCAGATGATGGCCGCCAAGGTCTACTGCGTCCAGATGGTCTCGGTACTCGGGTACGACCTCCTCTTCCAGGACGTCGACATCGTCTGGTACCAGAACCCGCTCGAGTGGTTCCACGACACCAACAACCCCCACTACCACTTCGACATGTACTTCCAKGACGACGGGAACCACTCCCTCTTCTACGCCCCCTACTCGGCCAACACGGGCTTTTACTACGTCCGGAACAACCCCCGGACGCAGTTCTTTTTCAACTCCCTCCTGATGGCGGGGGACCTCATCCTCAGCACGAGCTCCCACCAGATCGCCCTCATCGCCCTCCTCAACGAGCACGTGAGTCTCTACGGCCTCACGGTCAAGATCTGGGAGCGAAACAAGCGCGAGTTCCCCGGTGGCTTTCTCTACCACAACCGCAAGGCCGCGGGCTTTATGAAGGAGCTCATGGCCTTTGGGGACAACCACAACGACCGCGACGAACCAGCCGGCGACAACAACGACAACAACATTAGCAATAGCAACGAAAACAAGACGTACATTTTCCACATGAGCTGGACCAAGAACAAGAACGACAAGGTCAAGTTTTTCCAGCAAATGGGAGAGTGGTACCTGGACGGCTCGTGCAAAAGCACCGAGCCGAAAGATCTCGCGAAGAAACACAAGCCAAAAATCAGCGACGAGAACAACAACAACAACAACGGCTGCTGTCTGGCGATGCCCAAAATCCAGTGCCACTACCGCGACAAGCCCAGCAAGATTCCCTGCAATGATTCACCAACGATCGACAAGAAAGGAAAACCCTTTTGGTAATTGCTTCGGGGAATCATCGGATCGAATCGAATCGAATCAGGTCGAGTGGAGTCGAATCGAATCGAATCGAGTCGAGTCGAATCCGCTCCGCGACGGTTGGGCAGGACGCGATTCGATGCAACGCAGTGCGATGGCTTCCCATGCCACGGCATGCGACGCAAGAAGTCGGGGATGCACGGTGCCAAGCAAGCAAGCACGACACTCCGGTGCCCCTTCGATCTCCCGGGACACCGGGCTGGCAAGCCCGCGGCCTTTCGTGGCAGAACAGGAATTCCCCCGCGTCGCGTCACGCCACTCTGTGCCGGTACCCCACCCCGCCGACGGCTGCTCGCTCGCTCGCTGCCACCAGCCGATACGGCATGCGTGCACTCCGTTGCTGCCTGCTTGCAAACGGCAACGCGTGCGGCTTTGTTTGTTTCGTTTGGTTGGACAGCAACGGGGACAGTTCTTTGGCAGACGGCCAACCAAACCAGAGCAGCCGAGGTTGTGCGATCCAGGGACATTCTTCAAGCAATGACAAACGATAAGATGCTACGAAAGGTTACAAAGTACTAAAAGAAGTAAAAGTAGACATAGAACCAGGTGAAACAAAAGAACCATAGAAGAGTTCTTTCTAATTCAAAAAGTAGCAGAGCTAACAGTGGTTTTACTAGTGCTTGAAGACAGAGCCACCTGGGATATCTTTTTAAAAATAATAAAATTCAAACTGTAGACCATATTTGGATCATACCGGTGGTGCCTCAATAGTTGAACTATCAGGAAGAGCACACTTGTCATAATAAATGATTACACAATTTATTCCAGTTGAAATAAGCTCAAAATCACCACTACTACTCACAGAAGTAATGGGCCTGGCTTCTTGCTACTACAAAAGGATGTCTTCTAGTAGTAGCAGCAGCAGTAGTTCACGAGCGTAACAGGAATATCAAGTTTTAAAATGATACTATTCAATCAATATTAGTGAAATCCAATGCAATATTTGTAAAAGTACACCAAGATCATGTTTGGGATAGCTATTATGCTTTGCATTTCTTCTTGGTGCTGGGAGATCTTGAGATAGACAGCAAACTTATTCTTTTGGGAATCCATATTGTTTACTGCTTGTTGACTGTATTCAACCATTAATGTATGAATTGTTTCATTCCAGGACTAGTAACAAGTAGCAAAGCATCAAACACGCACCAAAATGTTTTTGATCTCCCCATTTCTTGTGGTGGGTGGTGCATTTCCTCTATAATGTTCCTGAGCAGCAGAATGGTGAACAATCTCTGAGTTGCTCCACATGGTTAGCATGGGCCACCAGACAATCCAGTTTCATTCTTTCTTATTTCTTTTCCTTTTCCTCAGTCATATTCTATGCTTCCCCAACAACCTTTCAACCCCATTGATATACTGATCAAGCAGTAGCATTACTACTACTACAAACAACTCAAGGAGGTACCAGCAACTGGTACATATTGAATGACATGCTTGTGGTGTGAAATAAGATAAATATACATCAGTGTAATCATCATCTAACAAGCACTGCTAGTAGTAGAGTGAAATTTTGGAGGACCAAACAATTGATAACTTGGTGCTGGTGATGTAATTTTGGACCAAGACATTTACTAATGCTTTTCCCCACCATTTGGCTCATTTGTGCCCACTAGTAAAAATAGAATATATAATGTGTTATTTTAGAGAGTACTACTTGATATATCTGCAATCATACCTCAACAAAGAGTGGTTACCAAAATAGTACCTCTTAAGAAGTGAACTGTGACCAGGATTCTATGTCAATAGTTTTTTTTATGAATGACCCAACACTAGAGAGGACCTAGTAGAGAGGGCCTTGTGGTTGCCATCAACTATCAAGAATCAATGTATGTAAAATCCATAAGTATCACTGCTTGCTGTGACACATAACTAATACAAGTGGTGGCACTAAGCTAGTACTACCAGCAGCAAAGAACAACCACCATCCTGCTTCTTTGTTACCATGTTGTCTCATTTTTTCCAACCCTGATGATTTATGATTGGTGGTGCTAAACAACTCACCAATGTCAACTCCAATAGAGGAGAACATCAAGTAGCAGCAATTATTACCTAACTTGTTTACAGCAGCACTCCACAACAAAGAACATCACCACCAGCAAAGAGGAGCAATTAATAAGAGAAGTTGACCCAAAGGAAGCAACAAGTAGAGAAGTGTCCATGTTCATGCTGTTTATCTTTCTCAAAATTGGGGCAATCTTGGGGAAAGAAAGAAAGAAAGTTGAAGAAACAGCATCTGATGCCCCCCTGCCTTTTGTGACAAACAACCTGGAAGAAGACATAAGAAATGATGAGAAGAACAAGAATAATATCCCACATGGTGGTGATGCTGCTGCTGGTGTGCAAAATAACTTTCTTTGTGGTGCTGCTGGTGTTGGTGGTGGTGCATGCAAAATTCTATTCTCCAGTACTGATTATGCACTTTCTATAGTCATTACAAAGAATTGATCAGTGTGAATACACATCTATGTGGGACAGCAAAAAGGGGTGATAATGACGAATGATTTGGGTCAGTTGAAGTAATTCACTAGCTATTCGGGAATCACAATTCTCACATTTCCTGGTCCTTTACGAGGGACAACATTAGTTCTAAATTCTAGCTTGGGTAAGTTTTTGTTCGCGATGGGTAGAAAGTGAGGAAAAAATACAAAATACGACCGTTAAAACTCTTTACACCTCCATACCGGCCGGTTTGGTACCCCTAAGCATTACTATATTTGAATAATACCAATTTTTATCAAATAATTAGATATAATATTGGGGTCATAATTACTTAGGGGTATTGACAGCCAACCGGCGGTTAATTGGACACAGAAACGTTGAAAGGTGCACTAAAATCAACCATCACACTCTTTTCACCAACCAAAACTAGAAAACCCTGCTGTACGCTACCTAAATCCTACCGGTACATTCCACTACGTACTCGAACTCACACAACCCGTAAGAGCTACGGTAGAACGAGCAGAAAAAAATTAATGTCCTTATCACAAAATCATTGTTTTTCATCAATTGTGCCAAAACGAGTAGACGACTCAAATCGATCCATCCACCCAAACATCCATCGGCCAATAATTTTATCGGGAGAGCACCAAGCTCGATACACACCGTGCACGCAACAATAACCAGGATGAGCGCAACTGCCAATGGAGGTAGTGGTAACGCAAGCAAGGCCCCAGCCGTTAGCACCGGCACCCCCACCGGGCCCTCCCGTTTGAGCAACTATTCGTTTGTGATCGGAACCACGCTGATCTGCGTCTTTGTGGTAACCCTGAGCTCTATGGAAACCCTGACTTCCCATTTCGGAAACTTGGCGGGGATGTCGTCGCCGGGGTCGTCGTCGTCGACCATAGAAATCAAGGAGATACCCGGAAACAAAATCGACACCGGCAGTAGTCTCCGAAAGAAGAGTAAGAGCAGCAAGAGAAGCAAGAAAGGATCAGCGACCCTAGTAAAAAGCGGAGCAGATGGTGCGGTGAATCCCGCGATTGTGAATTGGGATGTAGTAAACGAACCGAAAAAAGAAGGCAAACCCAAAGAGGAAAAAGAATCGAAGACTGACGAGAGCGGCAGCAAGAAGAAACAAGGCATCGAAAATGGCAACGGAAACAATGACTCATCGTCACCAACGCCCTTCACTTCCGCGCTGGATTCCGTCATCGACGCCCGAAAGGACATGATCAAGAAGCTCAAAAAGCAGTACGGGAAAGATAACTTTGACACCATTTTTCGCTACGACAAAGAGGCAGACGACGCGTCAAACAATGAAAAATATGACGGGGGCGTTCCGACCCATAAAAAGCTGCAGATGAAGTACCGGCCGATTCGTCCGCTGGCCCCTAAGGATCTCTACCGGACCAACCACTGGGGAAAGGAATCGGACGAGCTCAAGGAGTACTTTCTTAAATCGGATGCCAAGTACTGGAACAGCGTTGAGAACTTACAGCGCAAAATGATGATCAAGCTTTTGCTGCAGAAGGCACCAGATGCAAAAGGGAAATCTAGCAACAAATATGTCTGGGCCACCGGCGGTCACTCGGCCGCTGCTGGCCACGGGAATTTGTTCAAGGAATCTTACACCAAGGTCATGGAGGCCACGGCGGTATCGGTCTTTGACGCCGCCGGTCTCGAGCTCGAGGCCAGAAATTTTGCCATGGGAGCGACCTCTAGTGCGGCCGAGATGTCCATGTGCTTCAAGGAGGTTTATGGAGACGACGTTGACATTTTCTCCTGGGATTTTGGCATGCTCGAGGCCCGGTACTACCTGTCAGGACGGCTGCTTCATTACGCTACGAGGGGTTTTCTTTCCAACCAGCAGGATCCCCAAAGCATCGTTCCCGCCTTTGTTGGGCTCCAGGAATTGGACGAGTCCCGACGGAAGTCGATGGTTGAACTCCACGACGCCTTTCGGGGCACGGGGAGCTACGCCGAGGACTCGCTCGCAGAAAACAACGGCTTGGCCCTTTTTTTGACCGATACGTCGTACTGGAAAATAATGACGGAAGCAGTTCCCGAGACGTCAGGCTTGACCTCGGCCGAGATCGAAGAACTGCCGGAACTCGTCCGGTACTTCAAGTGCAACGGGGGGATCGAAAAGGGCGATCCCTTTTGTGGCGAAAAGAAGTACTCCGAGGAGGTTTGTCCGAAACGCGATGGCCAGGTCTCTTGGCATCCGGGATGGAAATACCACGCGCTGCTCGGAAATTCCATGGCCCTCTTCCTGACGGAAATGCTTCTGGGAAGCGTCACCACCCTTGAGAAGGAAGTTCGTGAAATCAAAAATGGAAAGGGCATTAGCGACGACGACGCCCTGGCAGAATTGTTGGGCCGTCTCCTCGAAGAGGAAAAGACGCTTCAGAACTTCATCCACTCTGCCACAACAAAGCAACTTCCTAAGTCTCACGACAAGGTTTATTGGTACAACAACACAGAGGATAACTGGGAAATGTATCCAGAGGTCCTAGAGTACCTTTCGGTGAATGCCACCGACGACTTTAGAGACCGTTTCAACGCTCTCGACCGCCAGGCCCTATTTGTCGGGCCCAGCATTTGCCACACGGCTCGCTTGCCGTCCAAAACGCGATTTACCGGTACCCTGACCAACCAGCCCGAGATGACCGGCGAACAAGCCATTTTCGGCCGGGAAACTTATTTCGTCGGGATCATGGAGGAGGAGTTTCACGACCAAAACGTGGCGAAACAGCAGGAGGGCATCGTGAGCGACGACAATCACGAGATTACCCTGGTCTCTATTCTAAAGGAACGCGAGAAGGATTGCGGTGAGGAACTCGCGGCACCCGATTACCACGATTATTTCATGACGCATTCCTCCGAGGGCTGGACGTCCCTCACCTTTCCGAACGACGCCGAACAGGCCGCCTACAACTACAAGCAAAACGCCGATCGTTACAAGGGCATGCTAATCATCGTGCCGCGGTTCTGTGGATTTGGTCAGTGCGAGGAGGGCTTTCTCGGCTACCGCGAGTACAACGAGGGCAAGTGGGAGATGGTTGTCAACGGGGTCCCCGTGACGGCCCTCACGATGATGGGCCACGAAGCCATATTGCTGGAGCACGAGTCCGGGATAGTTTTCGACCGGAACAGCGAGGGCCGCTACGACCTGGAATTCCGGGTGAACGAGCCCAACAGCTTCATCAAGATCTCGGCATTCATAATGTATTAAGAAACGAAACAACGCTGCATGGTTGCGTACGGTCCCTCTGACCGTACAGCACCGACGAGCAACCCGAAGCTGGCTGCAGGACTTGTCAAATCGATTCGAATCGATGGCTCGCGTCTCATGGCGTCGCATCACGTTGCGCTGTGCGATCGAACCCAACACGTACGGTAGGGCTGAGCAGAATCGAGTCCCGGTGAATGCAAGCCAGGTGCTTCAGAACAGGGACGACAAATGCGCTGTTCAGCAAAGAGGAATGGCCATCACAATCGGGCGTACTCGATTCGCTTTCGAAAAGCGAGAACAAACAACATGCGGTTCACCGCTGTTGATGTCAAATGGACAACACAACAGCTACCGAATCGAATCAAAAACTCCGAAGAGTGCCAGACTACATCCTAACATTAAATTTATTTATTAAAATCCCGGGTATTGATTCTATGTGCCATGGCTTGTTCCAATTCTTTGCACCGTCGAGTACCCTATTGCTCTTGTAATGTACGTTAGGCATCACTGTCTTTGTGGAACATTCGTTGAAAGAGGGGCATCAAATAAGAATGCGATGGCATTCTGTCGTTTCTCAGAGGCAATTTGAACACTGTCTACCAACGCTCCTGCAAGAGCAATCTCGCGATAGCTCAGTTGGTAGAGCGGTGGACTGTAGAAAGTCTAAAGATATCCATCGGTCACTGGTTCGATTCCGGTTCGCGAGATCTTTTGCTCGTGGAAGTCTTCTTTTCTCCGTGACCAGGACGCAACTCAAAAACGTGTTGCTGTGCTCGAACATCGAAGACAAGTCTGGGATTTCTCTTTCAACTATCAACAACAGCATTCAGCCCAATGCAACGAAATCATGGCCAGACATTCCAATGTAGCGAGGAGGAGAGAGAATCAATTTTCGATTCATCGGTCTCGAGGATATTTTTTTTGGCAGTTTTTACTCGTTCACGGCACTACGCGCGCCTTTTAAGTTTTGCCTGCAAATTGAACGGTATTTGTGCGAGAACGAATTTACAATCTCGCAAAATACTTTTCTGTGAAGATATGAGCATCGATATGAAAGGTATGATAGTAACTAACCTTCATGTTCTGCGTATCATTTGCCTTTTCAGCTTCAACTACGACTCGTACGTTCAAACGTACGGGCGAGAAATACGAAAATGCATATCGGTTATTTTGTGATGGGTGAATAAACGTTTTCGGAAATCTCGGTAAAAATAAGCAGGATTTATACTTACCCAAACGACCAGCATCTATTTTCAATTTACAATACCTACGACATACATCAACAATCATGAAGACCGGACTTTTCCTCGCATCCCTGTGCTCCCTCAACGCCTCAACGTCGGCCTGGACACCGGCTTCGTCGACGTCAACATCGTCGCGCCGGGGCTTCCTGGACCAGGCCGCCAAGATTGTTCCCCTCGTCGTCGTCGCGGCCCCCGCCTTTGCCGATGAGGAAGTCGCCGCCGTCGCCCCCGAAGCCGCTGCTGCCGTGGAAGCAGAGCCCGAGACACCGGCAGACCCCGCGCCAGCCACAGACGAAAACGAATTTATTGCCCGCCTCAAGGCCCAATCGGAAGCGAACAAGGACAAATACCTGGCACAGTCCCGAATGAACGACAAGCTCAGCAAGCGCCAGTTCAATAGCCAATACGACCGACCCTCCTACGTCGGCGTTCACACAGCCGACAACTCGTCCGTAAAAATGCTTCTCAAGGCCGATTTCGAGCAGATGTTGAAGGAAGGCAAGATCGAACAAAAATACGAATCTAAGGTCGTCAAGAAGACGGGGGAGATCTCGGACGACTTCTCTAAGCCTATTTGGATGTTCGCAAACTAAACAAAATGCCAATAAAAGATAAAAGTAAAAACAACACAAAATTCGAAAAGAGGATATTAGTTTAGTAAATATGGGAAAAAAACAAAACCGCAGCAAACGGACGGTCTGGCGGTGGATTATTGGTTGGATAGCATCGGCCATTGGTGCAGGTCTTCGGAAACTGTTGGGCAAAAGATTATTGAATCTCAACACCCAAAACTGCCGGTTATTGATTACGAGTTATACCGTGTTTCGTTTGTGTCTCGTGGATGTATTTTTCACTTTCGTTTCAATGATGTGTTCGTCATGTCTAGCAGACGTCGTTGAACTGTTTCTCGTCATCGGAGTCTCATACTCCTTTCGCATCGAGCAGATTCAAATTGCGTTCGATGCTCATGTAATTATTGCACACATTGCATCAAACACGGACGATCTCTTCTCCGACAGTCGTGTTGTAGCCCACGGCCCGGCCCATGCCCAAGTAGTACGAATCCTCCATGTGGTGGGCCAGGGATTCCCCCTTTAGAAAGCTCTGAGCCAGCTCGAGTTCTCGGGTCGAGTAGGACTTGTCGATGCCTACCAACGAAGTCAAATCCGACATGTCAACTTTTTTCAGGCGATCGGCGACACCCTTCATCTGGGAAAAGACCGAGTTGTTCCCGCCGCCACTGCTTTCGCCTCCGTCCGCCTGGTTCTCCCCATCGCTCTCGCCGGGAGTCGTCATGGAGTTCGCGGCCTTGACGAGGTCGTCTAGGAGCATTCCCTCCGATAGGATCCCCTTGGTGACCGACCGGACGTCGCGGACGGGGTCTATTCGTTCAAAATCCGATTCGCCCTCGATCCAGATGGGATCGGTGGCCTGCTCCTCGATCAGGACGGTCTTTCCACAGTGCTCGTAGTCGACGTTCATAATGCCTGTGGGCCGTGGGACACGGGCGATAATATCCTGGGAGTTGACGATTCGGTAGGACTCGTCGATGTAGCCCTTTTCGAGAAAACCATCGAACTGCTTCGCAAAAGCGGAGTTCCCAGCCCGGGGGGACCCGAAATTGTACATCTTGAGAGACTTTGGCCGGGGCGGGGCCTTGGGTGGTGCCAACGGCGACTCGTTCTTCTTCCCTCCGAGCGTGCTGGCGATTCCCTTCCACCATGGCTCGGACGGCGCCTTCTGCGGGAGGGATCGGCCGGCATCGATGCCGCTCTCGGCAATGTCGGCCGTAAACAACGTCGCCAGGGCCCCTCCCAGGGAGTGGCCCGTGACCAGAACCTCGTAGTCGGAGATCGACTCGCCCTCGCCGACGGATCCCAGCACCAGCGTTTTCAGTCGCCGCGAGATAGAATCCATCGACTTTCGGAACCCCACGTGGACCATAGGAAAGTTCTCGTGGTCGACGTTCTTCAAAAACTGTTCGTCGTAGTCTCCTTCGACCCATGGGACCTGGAAGATGGAGGCGTCCGTCAGCAGATCGATCGGCTGGCAGGTTCCGCGGAAGCTGACGACGATGCGTTTTTCTTCCAGAGACCGGTAGACCCCTACGGTGGCCCCCGTTTGGTCGTGGTTGATAAAGAAACAAAACTCGAGGTCGCTTCCCCCGAGAGTCTTGAGTTCCTCGCTCACGAGATTGTCGTCGCGTTCTCGCAGCTTCTTTTCGTAGAGCTCGCCCCAGGTGATCCCCGGCATGCCCCCCAGTACCTCGTACCGATCCGTCTTTGGGGGCGCCGACGGGGGAACCGGCAGGTACCGGAGCCTCAGCTTTGCCTGGCCCTTGGCCGGGCCCTCGTAAAAGGCCCCAAAGGCGGCTCCCGCGGCGGCACCGATGGGGCCGGCAACCATGGCCCCGGCTGCGGCACCGGCAGCCATCTGTCCGTTCTTGTTTTCCAGCTTGGGCTTGGTGGTCATCTTGAGCTCGCCCTCCCACTTGTAGTCCTGCTCAACCGTGTCACGTATTGCGTCCGCGATCTTGTTGTTGAGTTCCGAGGCATCGATCTGCGGGGCCTCCCCGGTGGCCCTGGCCTTTTCCACCAGGGACCGGATGACGTCGTTCTTGATGGTCTCCACCAGATCCCCTCCGACCTTCGGCATGAGCTCCCTCAGATCGACAGAGGTGCTGCTGATTACGGAGCCGTCCCCGATGACGTCGTCGTCGTAAAGGGTCACCACCAATCGAACATTGGCTGGGTCCTGGACGTACAGGTAAAAGGGCCGCTCGTCCTCTGGCCAGATTGCCTTGGAGGGCTTGAGAAAGGCCTTTGGGACGTGGTAGGGCAGCCCCCTGCCCGTCTTTCTCTTGCTGGCGTTGGATTTGTTCACGTTGACGTTGGCCCACGCCGTCCTAGAACGTCCCACATGGGCGGAACCACTCAGGGAAAAGATCCCATTGTGGTTGGATTCCTTGTCCAGCACAGTGAGGTCCTCCTTCCACAGGGATCCCTCCACAACGGCGCACATGAGGCAGGCGTCCACGCCATCCCCCGAGGCAACCTTCTCGATGGTATCGTCGTCTTCCGGGAGATCCGTGCACTCGATTGGGGTGACCTCCACCATGCCGGTGTAAAGATTGCGGGTAAAGGCACTCGAGACAAAAGCCACGTTCATTCCCTTGGACTTGTAGGTTCATTGGCGTTTGATTTCATCGGATTGCGCATCATTTTTCGGATTGAATCGAATGTTGTTGCGTTGTGTTTGGTTTTGTCGAGTATTTTGTTGTTGTGTTGGTTGTTGCAGATTGGTTTTGTTGCGGTGTTCGTGTGCCGTTGCAAACATAGAGCGGAACGAAGTCGAACGAAAATAGCAGAATGGCAGGTAGCAAAAAGTTTTGTTTCATTAGAAATGTGGTGTACAAACCAACCATCGATCGATTCCACTCGTCGATCTCACAATGCAGTGGTTCGTTCAAGAAAAGATCGCAAGTCTACCGCGATGACTATCTAGGCATCCGGTGCCGTCTCGGGCAAGCTGGCTGGCTAACTTACCCCACGCTCCCATCGCGAGGAATCGGGATCCGGTTCGACGTACGCGTCAAAGGCCAGCCCGGCACAGAACAAGGCCGTGTCGACGTTGAATTGGCGCTCTTCGGTGGTTTCGTGCGCATCGCTCGCAACGGAGGACATTCCGAGGGCGGTCGGAAGAGATCCGGCCCGCTCCCGGAACCCCCGCGTGCGTTCGGGACCGGCGAGAGGGAGAAGGGTTTCGAGCGGAGACCGCAGCGGGACCGAAAACGCGTCCGAGGTCGGGGTTCTTCCCATTGCCAGCATGGATGCGGCCAGCAACAGGGGACGAGGAGCTAGCATGGCGGTGTCGATTTTTTTGCTGTCCTCTCGATGAATGCCTCTTCCGTCTGGTACGGTGTTGCGCTTTTGGTGGATCGAATCTGAGGAACGCACGTCGTCGTCGTATCCAAAAAGTGGCCTTTTTCTTGGTTGCGTTTCGATCTCAGAAATTCGGTTTGATCACTCGTCGCCTCTTCGCAAGCACAAACACTCTATTACAATTTTGTGGGTATGCAAGACTTCGAATAGTGTTGTTGGAGCCAGAAGGACAACTGCTCAGAATCCGAAGCAACGAGAAACGTGAATGCGATGCGTACACCAGGCTTGCTCGAACGCGGTAGTAAGAAATTCTAGGAAACGCAGTACGTACCGGTATGTGACATGTGATCATCATTCGTTGATGCGTGCCGTGTCGTGTTATGGTTTGCCATGCTGTGCTGTACTGCAGCTTACCGTGTCTAAGATGATGACGGCAGGTCGAAACCCGTGACTAAATAAAAGTAGCAGACAATCTTGGGTATCGTACGTGCGGTAGGTACAAGGTATTTTTGAATTTCAAGGTACTTGGGTACGGTATGAACCCTACCTATTGAATTCCAAGGTAACATCATGATGAAACCATGGCGTCAGCGGAAGGGAAAGGTTTCAAATACTGCAACGCTAATTTAGTACCTACCTTTAGATCAAAACTGCGTTAGAGAAAAAAGAATTCTTTTTGTTGTATGTGTGATCGTTTTGAGGAAGTCATGAAGTACCACTTGTAGTAATATACTAGTAACAGGTATGGGAAATGATTCTTCTCTGTAACGTCTATGGCTTTATGCTTCTCTTATACTCTACGTTGAATTTCGTTCGGATTTACAGTATTATACACGGCTTGATGGTTCGGATTGCTTGTATCTTCGTTCCGGAGTAGGTGGGTCACGTGTCATTCGTTCAGAGGACGACGGGTTCACCGTATTTTTATGGGGAAAAGGGCTCTTTCGTGGAACAGCTGGATATGGTTTTGGGATATTTTCGTTTCGTGTCATTGCTGCCAATGTTGCAGCTCGTGAGTGTATGGTTAGACGAAACGAAAAGGTTGGCGCGATGTCAATATGGTGTGCATCGTCTGCCTTTGTTATACAGTTGTGGACTTGGGCATTCGACTCGAAGGAATTACTAATTTGGCTAGAACGCGGTGCCTAAGCAGCAATATGTCGAATGCATCTTGTCTGGAATCGGTGTCCAGCCGTTCAAGGAGCAGACACCACCACTCCCACTGGTTCGGAGGCACTGGTCTCTATCGAAGACGGAACGCCATCAACAGGTACCGACTTTGGGGATCTCGAAAAGGACGACGGTGACGCCGGCACGATGTCGTACAGCCTGGTGATCGACCGTTTCGTCGGGGAATGGATCTTGCTGTAAAAGTCCCTCGTGTGCGTCCGCAGCGGCCGCGGCGTGGAGGGTGCGTCCGCCTCCGTGCGCACGGTCTCCTCCGCGGCGTTCCGTTCGTCGCTCTCGCCTTGGTCGTTTTCGCTCGACGCCTCCGTTGGGTTTTGCTCGTTCCGACTTTCTCCGCTGCTGAGAGTGCCGGTGCTGCCGCTTCGAACGTGGCCAAAGACCTTGTTGGCTCGGGACTCGGCTTCCTGCTGCACCTGTGGCGAGGAGTACACGTCCTCCGGAAGGAAATCGTCGTCGTCGCAAAAACACCTGTACTCGAAAAAGGGCCTGGAGGCCACCGAGGTTTTGAGGTCGTTTCCGTAGTTGCACGTCGTTTTGCGGAGGATGACCTCCACACCCTGGTACAGGGCCTGGTTCGCCGTCGACCCGCAGGACGCGTCGCCGTCTACGACGGCGGCGCTGTCGCAACGGTAGACGGACTTCAGGATCTCCTTCATAGAGCTCACGGCGGAACAACAAGAATAGCTTCCGGGCGTTTCGTCGTTCGACGTCGACACGAGGGACGCACCCGATCCGGAAACCATCGATGGATTGAACAACTTCAGCGACGGCGATGGACTGGTTGACTTGGGGATGGAAGCAGTGGCAGTCGGACCGCTGATCATTGTTCAGGTCGTCTTTGGTTTTGATCCGTTGGGTAACTAAGTGTTTGGTTGAAACTTGCAAATGCTAAAGGATGTGAATTTTGGTCTGAATTTTCGAATTTGTGGCACATTCATGCGACGATGGGACAGGAGCAGTTGTGTGAAGCTAAAAAGAAACGAGACTTCATATTGAATGTGCTCAATGCGTTCCAATTCGGAACGCATATTTCTGTCAATTCACCGACACCTTTGTCCGTAGCACTGACATTCCCGGTTGGTTCGAATCACACAGAAATCGCAGCTCGCACATGTGCACTCCGCCACCATTGTGACGAGAGAAAATTTCCGTTCATGCTCGCTAATGGAGCGTTGGATGTTTCCACGTTTGAACTAACGGACTGAGTATGGAATTCACGACCTGCACGCGTGCGCGCAACCCTTAAATCCCACTGAATAATATCTATGCCAGTGTGACCCGCGGGAAATCGCAAAATTGATTTCCTGGAACGATGACGAAAGACCTGGATGATCAATGCGCTGCGCGATATAGAACGGCTGTCACCTGTGAGTATCAACCCCATTGAGGAATGATAAGGATGAAGAACATCGTCATTCTTTTAATCGGACAGGAGTCCCGATTACTTAACAACCATGTAGCTATACAAATTCTTCTTCTAGTCCTTATATGCCTAAAAATATGCCGAAGAACGAGATCGGTAGGACAATGCTGGTCAACCTCAAGAAGATTATTCAAAAGAACAGTTCTATTCCTTCCATGGAAGCACAACTTGAACTTTTTCATACTAGTCGAGCGTTTGATGCCCATGCTGGACAATGAAGTATTGCGAACATGGGGACAACTGATCAAGGACAGAACAAAATCCACTTAATCCACCAATCAACCAAGTCGTCAAAAGCCATCAATTCAGGAAGCAATCGACGTCAAACAATCCTAACGTTCGAAGCTCTGCACGTAGTACTTCAAATAATAATCGGGCTCGATATTATTTCTTCAATACCGTTTCCATTGCAAATTTTCGGAAATATCAACCAACCGATAGAACCTGTTCCCAATAGAATGCATTACTCAAAGTGGCATTGATTGGTAATCCGGTCAATCCACACAAAAGGGTGGATGCCGTACGTCCCTCCCCACAAACGACGCCTTGTTGGTTTACCCACCCCAAAACAAAGCGCTTCTTCCGGAGAGAGAACTAAAACGACGGCACTACAACGCAACTACAATAAGATTGATGGAAGCAACACCAGTGATCGATTGGAAGACGAGAACTGCAGGCTGTTCTGTGGCACCTTTTCGTCCATACGCTGCATCAACCTTCAGGACCGCACCAACGATTGGGAGCGATTTCTCCGTCAGGGCCGCCGGATCGGTCCGCGGTTTTTGAACAAATTGGAGCGGTTCGATGCCGTGAACGGCGGGGAACTCGTAGCTGCACTACAATCAGGAGACGGCGACGGCGACAACACGGTTGCGATTGTTGCGCCGAGGGAAAGATGCGTTGGTACCCACTGCGCTCGAATCGGCATGGACATTTTGCTAGAGTGGGACACGACGGGGAATGCGCAGTGGGATCGGCACGTTCAGCCCGGGATCACCAAGCGGCTGACCCCGGGAGAGATTGGCTGTGCCTTGTCCCATGCATCGTTGTGGAGAGAGCTTGCCACTGGGAAGCCGAATCGCCATCCGGAAGAGGGGAACGAATTGACAGGAACCGCAACAGGGTCGCTGCTATCAACCCCCCTCTTGCCCATGCTGATTTTCGAAGACGACGCTGAATTTCTGGCATCGTCCCCCAATGCACAACAAGGAAAGCACTATAGCGACAAGTCGGCCGATCGGTTCCTCGAGGCCTTTCGGTTGGCACGCCGGCAGTTGCCGACCGATTCGTGGGATGTTTTCTATCTCGGATTTTCGGACCGGGGCGAACGAAGGGACGTCCTTCGCAGCGGCGCTCCACAGAGAAGAGAAGCAGGGGCCGGCTGGCAGGGCGCCGGAGAAGAAGACATCGTGGTGGAGCTGTTCCGGCCCACGTACGGGTTTCATACCCACTGCTACGCGATTACGCAGGCAGCCGCCCAAAGGCTGCTGCAAAACCTCCCCATTGTCGGTCCCGTAGATGTTTGGCTCGCGGACAACGAATGGTTTGGTCTCGACGTCTATTGTGCCGTGGTTGCAAACGAGGGCTGGAAAGGAACGGGCAGCCCGCTGGTGGGCCAGAACCGGAGACGAAAAAGCAGCATTGTCCAGTCTGGCCGCACAAAACAGAGGGGATCGCATTGGAGAACCAATTCGAAGCAAGGCTGAAACGGTGCATCATACGATTCAATCCAATCGACAAAATCCTTGAATTTTGGCGGGAAAGAACTGATCGAATTACTCTTCTCTGTAGCTTTTGTTTCAAAGGCGAAAAGGAACGACGAAAGCGGTGATCGAGACTCGATTCACAAATCGACCAGATCGTATCACACTTCTTTGCAGCTTTTGTTCCCTAGGTGAAAAGAAACAACCGAGACGACCATCGAAGTTGGATTCGCAAATCGACCACATTCTGGCCAAACTTAATTCTTTTCTCGAAGACATAGTTGCCCAATACTTGCCGAAGGAAAACATCGGAGTGCAAAAAAGGAAACGGGAATCGTTTGAACCAAAAACTCGTGCAGTTCTGGATTCAACAGTGCAAAATGATTCGAAAATCATACCATTTAGGACTCTGGAGTATTCGGGTATTCAGCAAGTGTTGAAACCAATATCCGGCAGCTTTAACGACACAATACTTTATATAGATGTATCCGCCGTTCTCTGGAGAAACTTTGAATTACTAGTAGAATCGAATCTAATATGTTCGCACTCAATTCAAAATTACTCGTATCCTTCATGGCGTTGTTTTCAAGAACGAGAAGGATTCCGAGCTTTGTGTTCTATTTGGTCGATGTCGCTCCCTTGGAAATAGCATGAAATGACTGGAATATGGTATGTGCAATAACTTCTGAGAAATTCACAAGTTTCGAATTTTCTCGCGTTATCGATGGACCATACTAAAGGGCTTCGAGGGATCTCAATTTGTTCGTAGAGATTGGGAGTATCTCTGTGCGCCTAGGTACTGTTAGAATGAAAGCAAGAATCAATCCATTCATCGTGTGCTGTATGCAAACACCAATTGATTCCGTAATGCCACGTCGTACATGAAGGGATATCTCGCTCTTGGGGAAATCAACCGAAATTGATTCCAATCACTTCTCTCGTCGCAAGCACTAGCCATTTCGTCCGCAGCGCACCCCTGCTATCACTTATCCCCTCATCTTTCTCTCTCGGCGGCCCTGCTGATTCTCAACCCTTCGCCCAAGCCCTTGTCTTGTCGCACTATTGTTTCGCTGAGTCACTGCCCTTGGTCCGTGTCACGGTGACGCCGCCCCTGCTGCTTGTCTGCGAACGGTCTCCCGGATCGGCCGCCGCCAGTTCTCGTTCTTCCTTGAGTTCTTCCAGCCGCACAAAGATTCGGCGGGCCTCGGGCGAATTCGGGGGAAGGACCTCGAGGGCGTCTTCCAGCAGGGCCACGACCTTTTCCTCGGAAATCACGCCTTCTCGTTCCGACGACGACGACGACGACGATAGCAGCCGGTGCATCTCGGCCAGTTCCCCGTTGAGTTGCACGACCTTTGGATCGCCGGGACCCCACACCTCGGCTAGTTTTTCTTTGGTGCGCGTGAGCCTCGCAATGCCCCGTTCGTATCGGCCCGTTTGCTTGTACAGCATGGCCAGTTCGTGGGCGGTGTGGTTGGTCATTCCGTCTTCCCATCCAACCACCTCCTCGAGGCCTTCGAGGGCCTCCTTGTAGTTGGCCTCGGCGAGACAGAGGAGCTGTTCGTGGCGGTCGCTGTTGTCGTTTGTTTCTTCGCTGCTCGTGCGGCCTGGTGGTGGTGGCGACTGTCCCAGTTGCGACTGGGCAAAGGCCAGGTGAGACAGGGCCGAGCATTCTTTTTTGCGGATCCCGATCACGATCGGGTTCGGTCTTTTCTTCGATGGGTTTTGGGTTGGCATTTCCTGGTCGTGCCGTTTCTGGCAACACGCGTGAAAGATCCACCGGGCTTCTTCGAAGGATCGCGAGGCGTCTGCAAAATTTCCAGCGAGCTGGAGCAGCTTTCCAAGAAACAGGAGGGCGTCGGCGAGTTCTTCCTCTACGACCGCAGCAGCTTCCTCGCCACCTCCGCTGCCGTCATCGGCATCGGCGAGCTGTTTTTCTCGCAGAATCAATAGGGCTTTGGAGGCCAGCACAATGGCCTCGGGAACGTCGCCTTTCAGCTGCCTCGCTGTCGCCATGGTGAGGAGCTGCGAGTAGGAGTACGTCTGCTCTTCGTCGGTGGTAGAAAAACCCCGGTGGCAGACCAAGTTATTGAAGGCTGTTCTTCTGCGTTGCGTAAAGACCGAGTGGTTTCGTTTTTGGGAAAACGAAGTCTTTGGAAGAATAGGTGGCTGTGCCGAGTCTCCCTTCGCCGTTGTCAGAGACGACATCGACGGTGAATGCTTGCCACGCGCAAGCATCGATGTTGGATGAATGGAGTGGCCGCACCCACGCCGGGGGCGAGGGCATGATCCATTTGGTTCCAGAGAGCGCATTTGGGTTGCGAATCGCAACAAACGGAGATGTTGCGGCGTTGACCTCATTCTATTGATTGTATCGGAGTCTACAGATCGTTTGTTTCTTTTCGTTCGATCGAACTCGCAAGATCTCAGCAGAAAAACACAATGTTTGGGTTCTTGCTTGGTGATTGTGTTGCGTTACTCAGCGTCTGCATTCGTCAATCATAGCATCATCATTCTCTATGATCTTGTGTTTGTTGGGCAGACATGTTGGTGTTGGTTTCCAACAAATGTTTTACTGTTTTGAGAAAAAGCATGCGTTTGTAATCCGTGACTAGTAGTACTACGGGACTGGTGTAAATGTGAGGACATCGATTCCCAGATTCCCAGATAGCTAGTGAAATGACCTCAGTCTGACGTTTTCTTTTTCGATTTTCAGACCGTTTGGAAGCTGTACCGTACCGTACGGTACGGTGATTAAGAATAGATTCATTTGATATCTGATACCCTACACGCTTTCATTTTCGTGTCAAGGAAATCATCGAGGCCGAAACACAATTGCAACCATAACAACACATCTAGCAGCGCAAGGATGCAACAGCACCATCGCTTTTTTCTCGTCGCATTCGCAGTCCTTGTTTCGACGTTGTCCCAGAACCAATCCCTGGCCCTCCTGATTCCGCAACAGCCGCTCTCCCCAACGACGCACGGCAGGGCTGGCCACCGGCTGCAAATGTCGGCAGCGGCCACCCCTTCGGCCGTTTCCTCGCTCTCGCCCGTTACCGACGCATCGAACGGCGCGGTGGTGGACGACCTTGCGGAGCGGCTGAAAGGCAAGCGGGTCGCGCTCTATTTTTCGGCCGGCTGGTGCCCCATGTGCACTTCCTTCGAACCGGCGCTGGCCTCCTTTCGACAGGCCGCGAGCGACAGCGGCAAGGACGTCGAAATCGTGTACGTCCCGTCCGATCGTTCCGACGCCGACGGATTGGAACGGGCGAGGGCCATGGGCATGCTGTGCGTTTCGAAAGAGCGCGCGGCCGACTACAAGAAGGAATTCAAGATATGGGCGGGATCGGAGACCCTTGCCTTTGGCTTCGGACGACGGTCGGGGGTTCCGGCCCTGGTGGTCCTGGACAACTCGGACGGCAAGGAGCTGGCCTTTCTGCCCGCCGAGTCGCAGGGAGCGAGATGCCTCGGCGATTGGCCGCTCGACGACGAGTCAAACGGTGTGTGGTAGTTGCGATGCAAAGTTTGACAAAGTAGTAAACTACTGCTTCTTGGTCGAACCCATTTTAAGCATGGACAAACGGACATGAAATACAACGACTTTTGCATGTTCGATAGTACATTTTGTTAGAAACAGAGTGGATCCCAACAGATGGACGAAAGCACATGATACTATGAGGAGGGTTCCCAATTATTCCAATCAGCTAGCATGGTATCGACGCAGCACGCACTCGTGTTTTATAGCGCGGGGACTAATCCCTCGTAATAGAGACAGCGAGCAATAGATTCTTGTCGTCAAAGCGTAGAATTAAATGAGGCCACACTACAGAAATACCTGATAGGCAGTGTTTTTGTCAATCCAACACCTTCTGCGTGAAAGCGTCCAACCCAGGTAGACAGGGTATCACTACAGATCACTCGAAAAGATACTAGTAATGGTCGACGCGAGTGGACAGCAAAGCACAGCAGTCGTAATATAGAACAAGTAGTAATGTTTGTTTGCACTGCAGATCGCTACTGTTGCCATAATTGTACAGACTTCACGACCGGTACGGAGTGAGAAGGTCTCGGAATGCAACTGGATGCCAGATCGAGAAGGAGGATTGTCCGGCATTTCTTTCTAGCCAATTTGCTTTTTCTCGCTACTCTCCCCTCCTTCCTTTCCTTCAAGTGAGCATTTATTGCATTTCTTTCTTTGGTTCGTGAGTCTGAAACACTGCGCGTAAAAGCTGATCATGACTTGTATTTGTTAACTGCTCTTTCCTATCCGTTCTATTTTATTTACATCGTGGCGGTTTCCTCCCATTTGTCGCTGTTGTTTTGTTCGTTCGTTCGTTCGTTCGTTAGATGTAACAACGCTATTTTGGTGGTTGCTTACTTTGCCGTCGGAAGGCAGGCATCGGTGCTGGGCAGTTTGCCCGTGAGAATAGACCTCATGTAGTGATAGATAATGCTGGCCGAACCAAGTGTCAGTCCCACCACCACACCGGCATCCAGTATGCATCGGGGCACGGCAGGGAGTTTCTTGACCACCGCCACAATGGCAGCTACGCCAAGGCTCACGCCCCAGCTCACGGCCAGGCGCTTGCGAGTGGCCTGGAACAAGCCCATGCTGTAGAGGGGAGCAAAGAGGTAGTGCAGCGGATTGTTCCCCTGTGGTGTTCCAATGATCAGGGTAAAGGATCGCTTGACACAAAGCGGTGCAAACTTTAGGTGGAATCCTTTGTATCCTTCCGCATACGCGAAAAACAGGCAGCTTGCGGCGTACAAGCTGGCAAGCGGATCAAAAGATGTTTGAAAGGGGTATTTCGTGTCCCAAAAGAGTTTGAGAAAGAGAAGCAATGGTGGAAACAATTCGCATGAGAAAGACGTTTCCGAGACTACAAAATGAATCCTCCTGGTGTATCGTGTGGCCACACAAGCTTTTTATGGTCACGCAACCCGACTCCATTCCATCGGCAATGACACACGAAACCACAATACACAGCTTCTTACCTCCAATGCACGGGTGAAAATGCTAGGGCCGAACCGCTCTGGAAGGGTTCGAGGGCAATGGGCAAGACTCGCGCAATAGCCTTGGCGAGGATGTAAACGACTCCGAAGGATCCCCAAACGGAGCCAAAGGCTGCCATGGATTTGGTAAAGGGGCATTCGACGGCTTCCCCCGAGGAAGAAGCGAACAGGGACGTCTTGCTAGCGGCACCTCCCGAGGGAATGGAACGAACCAGATTCAGCATCGATGATTTGTTTCTGGTGGATCTTCGTCGCTGTGTGGGTAAAGACAACGACCCCAAGGGAACCGTCGGAGCCGACGAAAGAAAGAGGGGTACATTGCCGGAGGGCACGCTCGCTCTGCTAGGAACAAAGCCTTCCGATACAACGACGGAGACGCCGAGCCAGAAGAAGACGCTGATTATTGTCGGTAGGCGGGTAAAGTGCATTGTTTGATCGTGGTTTGCTGTCTGTTTGTGACCGCGAAGAGCTGTGGATTTGTAGTGTGCTTTGTTTGATTCGGGTCGGAACTATCGGTGAGTTCTTATTCGTTTTTTCGATGGAAAGAGCTTTACTTCGGACGGGTGCAAGAAGCGTTCAACAATGAGTTGTGGTGAGATTTATGAAGTCGCGATGAGGTTGAGAGTTGCTGCTGTGTTTGGTGTTTTGTGCGGGTTCTGATGATAACGAGAATGCTTTCATGTCAAAGTTAGGCGTCAAACAAAAAACAGCATCGAGAATTGCAAATTGTTGCCCAGACACCCCTTGTTTCTAATCTTGTTATCCAATGGCGGCGAAGTGTACGAGTTCCTGAGCCGCATGCAGTTGGAGTGATACAGTGAAACCGAGATTTAGGGGAGAATGTGGAGAAATCGGGGTCAAACATTGGCCTATGAAACAACCGATTTCATTCGAAGACCAGCTGTTTTTCAATTTCCTATTCCACGACCCGCCTTCGACTTCTCATTCCTCGCTCAAGAAATCTTTCGTCCTTCATTTTCAAAAATAAATTCAAAAATATATTCCAGAATCTTATTTTCAGATTCTAGATTCCAGATTCTATTTGTGTAAGATTTTTCAGAACTCTGATTGGTGCTTGCTGAGCAAAGAATGAATCTCTTGCAAGCTTTTTGGAGTTTCTAAAATTATGGCCCGTTTAGTGCGTAACTCGTACCCATAACCTATCTTGATTCTGCTCGACCTAGTTCGGGTCTACTAGGGAACCTACCTCATACACGTACGTAAGGACACTGAATCCCGAATCTTTTGTAATGCAAGTACGTATGTACTGTACGTTTTCCTACCGGTAAAAACTGAACACTCAACGCAGTATTCTGCACGAAAAGATGAGCAATAGAAGGATTCACTACTTGTACTGCATTCAGTTGAACTCGGCTTTCAAAGAATGCTATCTGGTACGATACGAGCCCGGAGAATAGAACACAACAAAAATACAATGACCAGGGGGGAAATAGGAAAGGAAAGCACCAGTAGCATCATTCGTTGCCATGGTTCGACGGCGATGCTGATAGCGCTTCTGCTGTCGTTGACATCGGCATGGACATCGGAGGCATTCGTTGCTGTGTTGAAATCGCCGGCGGAATCAATGACCATGTGTAGAACGATAGGGGTAGCTGCGATGAGATGCTCGGGCTCGGGAAACATCTCCCCCATGCAATCGGGGTTCTCGACAACTCTATTCTCCTCCAACGAGGACGAAGACGATGGATGGGGAACGAGTCCAACAGAAACAGAAGGGTCAGGAACCACACCGTCGACGTCGCTCGAGACGGACCGGAAACTGAGCGAGCTCCGGTCTCTCCAAACGCAAGCGTCCAACAGATCACAGGCAACCACCACGAATTCTTCGTCTTCGGGAGAGGAGCCGGAACGAGACATGTTCATACCCATCATGGCCGTCGTTTCGTTGGCGGGATTGTTTGGCGCCTACGGATACGAAACGCTCCGCCTAGCAAGCCGTGGGGAGCTGTATCTACCGTTTTGATTTCATTCTTCGGAGACGATAGGCAAAGACGACGTCCAACCGACAATTCCTGTGCACACACGGACACAAAGCGCGCGGGGGACCCGCAAATCGATTGATTCCTATGAATGGGAATGTGAAAACTAGACGTGACGACGACAATAGTGTTGTTTCATAATGGCTACATTTAAAACATTTACTACTTTGTACATTAACTTTACCATTTGCTGTCACCACCATCAGTGAACAGTTACAAAGCAAAAGTTTGGATCGAGATTCTTGTGGATGTTATCATCTACTGTGCATCCACGAATGGGTTGGCATGATAGGCGTATGCAGCCTTGCTGGTCGCAAGCGATGGCTTTCGCTTTAGCAGATCCTTTGTCCATTGCCTACTCCTGTTTAGAGACCGGCCTGTGCTGAAGATGGTGCTTGCAGTGCTCCTGTTGGAAAAGCTGTCGCTCCTCTTCAGCGGCGTTCTTGGGCTTAAGGCATCACAGCTGCTGCTGGCGGCGGTGGTTTTGGTGCCTGTACTCTTGACGCTTCCGGCGGCGCTCCTGGTGCGAGAAATACCCTTCCCTCGGTTGCTTTTCTGCTTCGCCGGGACAAGCGTGCCTCTGGTGCACTGGCTTTGGATGCTGCTAGCGGTGCTGTTGGTGGCGCAGCTGTTGTCGTCACCGTTGTCGGTGCACCAAACAGCTTCCCCTCCATCGTTTGGAACGGCATTCCTCTTTCCCCTTCGCGGGGGCTTGTTGGTCCCGGCTGATACATCGGCGAAGCCAACACTGGAAGAGTCCTTCCGTCTTGGTTTCCGCCGTTTTGAGGAAGAAGATACATTGGTTTCAACCGTGGCATCGTCTCGGACGACGGATTTCTTCTGTCGTTGCTGATCGATCATGCTTTTGCGCGTTTTGGGAGAGGGGATTCCAGGGGGATCTTCCTTTCGGGCCTTCATGTTCTGTTGATACATGGGAGCTTTGGGAATCACTATGGACCAAAGACTTGCTTTCGATTTCGGCTTTGGTTGCTGTTCGATAGAGCGCAGAGATTGCTCCTCGTGACTCTTTGGCCGATGCACTGACTGGGAAAGTTCAGTAGTCGCCTTCCTATCTTTTCTCGGCACCTTTTTCGTTTCGTGCATACCCTCGCGCGTTATCTCGTTGACCTTTTCGAGATTTGCAACTCTCTTTTTCTTGGGTCGTGGAGATTTCATCTTCGTTTCATGTAAAGATTGCGAGAGTCCAACAGACTTCACATTGCTGGCCTTTTTCGGCACTTTCTTCGCTGCGTGTAATGATTGGGAGAGTCCAACAGATTCTTCTTTGACCTTTCTCGGTACTTTCTTCGCTGTGTGTAACGATTGGGAAAGCCCGCCCTTGTTCGCCATACCAGCGTTTTTCGCTGCCTCGTGCAGTGATTTGGAAAGAGAGGATGCGCCCTCGTAGCCAATTTCCGGAGTCGTTGTCTTTGCGACCGGTCTTGGAGATTTCTTGTAGTAGGAACTGGATTTGTTCAAGTTTTCTGTAGGCTTAGAAGTACTTCGTCGTTTTTCTGAAGCCTTGGAGCTCTCTCTTTCTGCAATTGGATTCTTCGACCTACTTCTTCGTTTGTTCGGAGTCTCTGAGGTGCCTCTCGATCTCCTCTMTGGCCTCTTCGAGCTACTTCGTTCTTTGTTGGGATTCTTGGAGCTGCTTCTGGATTGCCTCTCAGGATCTCTTGACGTACTTCTCGATCTCCTCTCTGGCCTCTTGGAGCTGCTTCGTTGTTTGTTGGGATTCTTGGAGCTGCTTCTGGATTGCCTCTCAGGATCTCTTGACGTACTTCTCGATCTCCTCCCTGGCCTCTTCGAGCTACTTCGTTCTTTGTTGGGATTCTTGGAGCTGCTTCTAGATTGCCTCTCAGGATCTCTTGACGTGCTCCTCGATCTCCTCTCTGGCCTCTTGGAGCTGCTTCGTTCTTTGTTGGGATTCTTGGAGCTGCTTCTGGATTGCCTCTCAGGATCTCTTGACGTGCTCCTCGATCTCCTCTCCGGCCTCTTCGAGCTGCTTCGTTGTTTATTTGGTCTCTTCGAGGTGCTTCTGGGTGCCCTCTCTGTATCCCTTGATGTACTTCTAGACCGTCTTACTGGCCTATTGGATCTGCTTCTTGGTTTTCTCTCGGGCTTCTTTGAGCTACTTCTGGATCGCCTTTCAGGTTTCACAGAACTCGCTCTCGATCGCCTCTCTGGCTTTGTGGAACTCGCTCTCGTTTGCACGTCTGGAGATTTCGACCTGCTTCTGTCAACACCGGATTTCTCGGGTCCCGCGTCTTTCTTTCGGGGAATTGCTTTTGGCGTTATTTTTGGATTCACAGATCTTCCGTTTCCAATACGAGGACTGGCACATTCCGATAGCGTTGACGAACTTACGCCGTGAGCATTCCCTACGTGATTCAACAAGCTTTGAAGGTCGTCTTCAAATTGTTGGGCTAACTTATGCGTTTTCTTGTCCATGGTTGTTGGCATCGATTTGCATGTCTTGTCGGAACGACGTGATTTTATTGATCCAACGGGAAGCGAAGTGCTGGTGTGAAGTGATGTGCGTGGTTTTCGTGCAGCTGAATCCTCTGAGTAACCTGCCGAAGCATCCGAGATGGCACTCTTGGATTTTTTGGCTGTGGATTCCCCCTTGTTGATAGCGCTCTGAGAGGTAGTAGTTTTCTTTGACTTGTTAGAAGCTGTGCGATGTTTGCAAGGTCCCCGGTGCGTCGTTTTCTTTTTGGGTGCAACGGGGTCGCACTGGAAAGTGCATTCGGAGATGGAACAGGTGCTATCGGGTATGGTTGCCATCTTCACGGGTGGCGTGTGAGATTTTGGAGGTTGCTTATTGGTCTTTGTGGGTGGTTTGTGGGTCTTTGTGGGTGATTTATGGGTGTTTGCTGGTAACGCGCGAGAATTCTTTCCATCCGACGACTTCTGTGGCTCGCCAGCAGACCACAGGTCTTCAAACTTGGTAATATTGGGCAAAGATGAGCGTTCGCTGGAAAGGAGCGTCGTAGAGACATTCATCACGGCGGATTTTGGAATCTTCGCCATGGACGATTGGCTCAGCCTTTTCGATTTCGTGGTCTTGTGAGCAGCTTGGCGAGCAGTCGCATATCGAGTGGGAATTCCCAGCTTCTGTCGATCATCGCTGCAGTCGCTATCGCCGTCCTCTTCCTCAATGGTTCTAACGCTTTCCATGTACATTGCTCTGGTGAGTATCGTGCCAACAGATCGTGTAGAGGGTTCAACGGTCCTTTGTCCCGCCGAGGACATGTCTCGCACCGAATTTGTATGGGTGCTCAACTCTTTCGCCAAGTCCACAGACCATGGTTTGCTCGCGCTTTCAAAAAAATTGTCGTAATCTACACTCCTGGTGCTCATGTTCATCGCAAACTGTTCGTAGATTTCGTCCTCGTCGTTTTCGTCGTCGTTATCATTATCACGTCCTTCATTTTCCTGTGAGCTTTCGTTTTTCCTCCGCGCACCCGTTATTCGGGAGTTGATCCCCTTCAAATTCTTCCTGAAACTCTTCAGCGTCATCTACCTATCAGATTCGAATGCTATCTACTATTTTGTTTCTCGAAATGACTGCTTATGTTTGGTGATTGTATGTTTGCAATTGGTTCTATCTACCATGTGGTGGGTGATTTGTGGCAATAAATTAAATTTTGACGGTGGTGCTGGAACTGATGTTCTAAATTCTGACAGTGAATATAAAGTAAAACTGATTTCACTAGATCAAAGTACTACCTTTTGTCGAACAAAGGAGCAAGCCCTTTATCGCTGTTTCGATTGCCGATAGTAACAATTCAAGCATCCGACACAAAGTAATATCAAAGGCAACAACGTGTTCGATGAAAGAAAGTAAAGAATGAAGAAGATAATTCACATCTTTTCAAAAAATATCATTTACGGACACAGAGTCGAATTTTTGTTGTAAATGCTTAAAATATCTGTCGGTGACTCATAATTGTTTGAGTATTATTTGGATGGATAAAAATATGAGCAATTTAAAAGAACGTCAAAGGAAATTATCGACCACTTTTATCATTATTAATAAAACAATGTTTTCCGAAGTTGCCAGGCACAATATTTTCAGTACGTAGTTGTGACCAAAAATGCTTTAGTACCCATGAATTTGTTAATTGTTGATCTCCAGCACAATCTGTCCGATACTCAATTCTCGACGATGAAATTCCTCGAAAAAATGTTTGATAAAAATTATGGATATTTTTTTAATCTTACTGAAAGTATTTTCGATTACAGTACTAGGTACGTAACGTATCATAATACGATACGATACATTGGATGTGGTAAGCTGCAAACTCATATTTCATCGATTGTCTCACCCTAGGTGCGAGCATGCGAGGTCGGGCAATTTCTATCCGGAGCGACGGATGGACTGTGTTTTTGGTTTTCGATGAAAAGTGTGAAGGTCTACGGTACAAGAGGTACCGTAGAGTTGTGACAGAAGCGAATCCTTACTAAATCGGGATACGATCTTGTGCGTGTTGAACACGAGGAAACAATTCGTCATTGCGTGGAAAGGAACAGAACTGTCTGTTTCCGCAACGAACAGAATGACAAATCCATACGGTACGGTACGGGAACTTCTCGACTTGATGTAAAACAAGGAAGCATCTCTACATTCGCTACCACATCTGTCAAAAGTAGGGAATCGTCCGAACACAAATATCTATCAGTTCCTTTGCAAGATGAAAGAACGGTGCATGTCTTAGCTGCTTATTTTAAATTACTTACTTCCTCGCGAGGGTATTTCTGTCCTCGTATACTATTCCAACATGGCCTCTTCGAACGGAAGATCTCCGATCATAAAGCGGGAAACAGGGCTCAAGGGATGGGTAGATACACTACAGACCCTATTCGTCTGGATGGCAGTTGTCTTGTCGCTGTGCTGTTCAGAAACAACGACCACTACCTTTGCATTTGTGGGCTATTCGCCGAAGAAATCGACAACCATGACCGTCCAAAACCCTTCTCCAAAATACAACCTAAATACGAGGGCAAATAATTTGATTTCTCGAAGTAGCACGAGCGACGACGAAGTTGAACAGACGGCCACTGCCCCAACTGCCCCAAAAAACCTTATGGACGACGACGAGGACACGATGGTCGAACAGCTGCAGCAAAAGAACACTGCTGTTCTGAGTACCAAAGAGATCGATTCGAAAACTACGAGCCAGCGGGACCAGCAATTGGACCTAGTCGATGCCATCTTCAAGGGCGACAGTCCGAGTCGACGCAACGATGTAAAGAAGGTTGAAGACGACCGATCCGTCCTCGAAAAGATCGATAGCTTCCTGGACAAGCCATTCTTTGATCCCGATGCCTACGACGACGACGACAATTCCTTCTTTGGAAAGTTTGCCCGCCTCGTCAAGACGGACTACGAATTCTTCGAGGCGGTCTTTGTGGCGTGTTTCTTTTTGCTGCTCATCACGATCACCAAAGACGTCTTGCGGGCGCAAATGGCGGCGAGCTCGGTACCCAGCGGACGGCTCTTTTGAGAATCGAGCACAGATCGGTGGGTTTGCAAATGCGTTTGACGTTGCTCGAATCCTTCTGAGATGCACAAAAATAGCAAAACACGGCACAGAAGCAAGATCTGAAAACCATCAACATGACGGGTATAAATTTCGCAAACATCTTTTTTCGTGTTGTCACGAACTCACGCACCTGTAAGAAAATTTGAAAAGCGGACTTGGCATTTCAATCCTTACCGAAGCCTATCGTGACAAATTATACCTGAGATAATCATATCATACCCTAGGGCATAACCTTGGCGATATCAGAAGGGCTTTGGATTGGGCTGAATTATTGTCTTAGCCTTGTCTTAGCCATGTTTGTGCACATTCACAAATCTCGTCTTCTAAGAATAATTAATATTAAAATGAATGACCCACTACGAAGTGATGAGATGTCACATGTTTTTTGATTGAGAGACGTGTTTAGGAATCATCATGGTTTGCATTTGATTTAGAACAAGCTAACAGCAATCTGAGGGAACAATAAAGATAATAGTGGGTGGTGAACTGTCAAAGTAGGTTAGTAATATCAGTAGCTGTTCTTGCTGCAAGTAACAAGAACAACTAGACCAACACTATCAGAACTGGAATACTCTGGAGTACACGTTTTGCTTCTTCTTTTTTGGTCTTGTGTCAATGAGAAGCATAGTATGGAATCAGTAGACATCACTTCTACCAACAAGAAGAATAAAGCCAAAAAGTACATAATTCCATCATTTCATAGTAGCAAAAGAAGAACAATTGGCAAACAGTCTACCACAACAAGGACTGGTTTTGTTTAAAAGAAGTGGCATGCTACTGGTACTAAAACTATTATTGTGTAAGAGAAGTGATGAATTGCCAGATATTACATGTTTGAAACAGTAATCTCTGGAAAAAGCATACAAATCACAACAATTCTGCATACTAATAGACAAAGAAKAAGAAGATTTCAACAATTTTGCATCTTCTTGCATGCTGTATGATTATACCAGTCTCCTCTTGATTGTTGAAAGACTTGTTGAAGAAAATGTGTTCTGACCAATCAAAGATCTTTTAATTTTGTACTTCTTGTTACTGACAAGAAGCATGAAAAACTGATCTTCTTTACCACCTAACTGAACCACATCCTGCCTGTCTGGGTGATTCCATCTGACAATGATGATGACAACAAAATAAGAAAGATATGTTGCCCTCTAGTAGGGACACCAGTTGGAGAGGTCTGCTCCTTCCTTCCTTCCTTCTTCTTCCTCTTGCTACTGTACTACTAGTAGGATGTAGCAAGCTGCTACATGCTGTCAAGTTACCAAGAAATATATGAGATACTAGTAGTATCTCATACATTTTTGGGCAATTATCATGGCATCCAAATGATATAGAGAGATGTTGCTTTAGACACAAGCAAGAACAACTGTAGTATTGGGTGTTTGTTCTGCACCACCAGTCAGGTCCTTAAACTTGCTAATGCTGCTTTGGATAAATAACACAAACCAAGTGTAGGTTGGGAATTTGCAAAATCTATTGTATAGAGTTGGCTACATGCATTTAAAAAATTGCTTAGGCAAAAAAGTCATTACATGGTTAAAGATAGCCCAAAATCCACTTAGTAGTAGAAAACGCATAGAAAATTAAATAACAGTCAAGAACTCACTCTGACAACGACACCCATGATAGGCATATGAATACTATGCCAGTAAGAAGACAGTAGTAAAAAGAGGAATAGTCATAGTGTTGGGGAGTAGGGGGGCTTTAGTGATACCAGATATATATATTCAGCACCACATTTATTATTTCTATAATAATACTAGGAATAAAAAATCATGGACTTTCTCAGGCATGCTGAATTTCTCGCCCTCATTCCCTCCTTGTCTCCATAGTAGTTGTCCTCCCAGGATTCAAACAAACAGTTGAGGCCTTACTCTGTTCTTCTAGTACAACATCTTCTCTGTCACAAACATCATACAAGAAGAACAAGTGGAGAGGATCAATGACAAGAAGTAGTAGATCTGTTTGCTTTTTCCCTCTGCGAATGCACTGAAAAGCAGGTTCTTGCAATTTTTCATGTCTAAACCTGTGCATACTGCAGTTCAAATTTTACGCAAAACAAGATGCATTAATTTCTCCTCCCCCCCTCTTCCCTTGTCACATCTTCCAAGAACACCAAGAAAAAAGATACAGAGCATTCTCAACCAAAGTATCAAACCAGTATCACATGGCCGTACTAACAGCAGTGGCCCTTCTTGTATTTGCCAACAACAGGGTGATACAGTACAATTACTACTACTACTGGTGCCCATGGTACCATCAGTCATAGTAGTTGTCTGATATTTCTTTTGTTTCTGATACCAACTACTAGTAGTGGTACACTACAACATGCCTGATGTTTCCTTTGATAACATTAAAAAACTTGCTCATGACCTCTTATCACCAGTGGCAGGATTCAATCCTCCTCATAAGTTGCACTACTACAACAACTAGTAGTAAAAGGCCCCCTCCTGCAAAACAGCCCAGCAGACCAAACAAGAAGTCATAGTCTCTAGTGCTGACTTTTCAAGGTATAAGGACATAGTAGTGGAATCAAGAGTCAGTGATTGACCAATGGACAAGCTTGAAATGTTGTTACATCTTGGCCTGTCTTTGCAGTGGTGCATTCCAACTGCAACAACACGGTACTAGTAGTAATTGCCACTTTTAGAATAACAAGCCTCCTTACATGTGGTAGCAAGAAGTTTATGAAGGAATGGAACAAGAAGGTGCACCCATCAAAACACTATGGATTGGAAAGGTTTCAAGCTAATTTTGGCATTGTATTTGTGGCTCAGACTTCAAGGAATGGAAAACTTTATCCTTCCAGCTAATTGTGGGTTTTGTTTTTTCTATGCCAACAAAAAGAACACCAGCGCCCTTGCTCCTCCTGAATAGGTACCACTATCATCAACAAGCCAGATACAAAAAGATACAATGGAATAGCAGGAACCATTGTGTTGTATCATTAATCAACAATGAGGAAATTGAGGAGGGTGCAGGAAGTCACCACCAGGGGGGAAATGTGGCAGAACTAGCTCACAGCTACTAGTAGTAGTGCAATGATGAAGAAGATGCCAACAAGTTAGAAAGCAAGAATATTGCTGTGTAAAAGAACATGCTGAGTGTAAAAGCTTCAACCACCAGATCTTGTTATTCATTTTCATGAATAACAATTCTTGTTTGGAGTATGTAAGTAGGTGAGGAGTAGTGTAGGCTATTACTTGTACAAATTAGGCTATTACTTTTACAATTTGCTGCAAGCACGAAGACAATTCAACTTATTCTGGGCAGGATTGGTACTACCAGTGGTAGTAGCGCGATCACAGTTTGGGCCCTTCCTAAGTCTTGTGGTGGAACATTCTAAAAAATCTCCCCTCAAGTTGTTAAGATGCTTTTGTTGCTGGCCTTCTTGTCAAATTACAGTACTTTTTTCTTCTTGCCCTTCATGGTTCCAACAAGATTCTTTTATGGAAGTTCATGAATTCCTTCCTGAGTTTCCTAGCTACTTGGGATAGAACCAATAAAAATCATTTCTGCATAATTATTACACAACTATTTTAAATTTAGGTCAACATAAATGTTTAATTTGGCAAGGTTTTTATAGGATCTCCTCCATGTTAAAAAAAACTTCATAATATTTAACCTTGTGAACCAGAAGAGGTGCATTGTGGACCAGAACCCTAGCTGTTCTGAGTGGCAGCACCTCCCTGCAAAGAGTGGTTGATTAAAAAATGAGTGAGTGTGGTTTGAAGAAGTGTCCAGGAACAAAAGGTAGCAGGAGGGGCCAAAGAAGTAACTGATGCTGTGTTTTGTTTCTGATGTTTCTTTTTGAAATATGTATCAAAGAACAGCAGCAACTCTTGTGTGGCTTTCTCCAGTGGTTGTTTAGTAATATGGGGCAATAAGGGGGGTGTTGGAGACAGAGTTGGCAAACACTGTGCAGATGCTTGAATGAGCGAATAGCTTTCTCATAAACTCAGAGGTAACACATAAGGAATACATTTGATGCTTCAGGTAGGAAAGGTTCAGGGATCTTTGGGGGATAAATGATCATGAGAGAGAGAGAGAGACACGTCTGTGGTTTCAGGGCCAAGAGATTCCAGACTTTTGTTATTGACAAATGTCATTTCAGTGCTTGTTTTTGAGTAAGAGTATGATGATGAAGATCCTTATTGGTACACTGTTCCCAGAATGAGATAAGAAGTAAGAATGAATTCCACAAGATAACCCCCCAGCATAATTGGGGAGCAAGGAGAGCTGCTGTCTGGTGACACAATTGGAGTCAAGTGGGATGAAAACATCTGAAGAGATGCTAGGAGTCTTTGGAATGAGAACAGAGACAACATATCTCATGGGTTTAATATGTCCAACCTTTGAGGACTGTGGTAGTGGGAAAAATTTGAAGGCACCATTTGATGACCAGAACAATTGATGGCATTCCCTACTAGTAGTGACTTCCACCAAGCAAGAATGATATCTTCCAGTATCATGTGTGAGGACTACTGATTCCTTTCTTCTGAATAAGCATGATACTAGGGTGGAAGAAGGAGACTGGAATCAGTGAGAGCTTTCTTGTATTGACTACTAGTAGTGACAGATTGTGATTGAATTTGAAGGACAGCAGCTGCTAGTACTAGTAGTAGTAGACATTATGAATGAATGAAATGAGGCATGGTCATCTTGGTGACTTGAAAAGGGCCACCAGTTCATTATTTAGTAGTAGCTGAGCTGTCAGTGAGAGCTTGTCAAGATCAATCACATCATCCTAGTGGCATTTCACCCAATAAAAGGAAGGAGGGATATGTGGTGGGGGGGAAAATAAACCATGAAATCATGCCCCTGAATGTTGGATTTCAAAGGGGGGCGTGCGCGATGGCTCCGGGGGGGCCTGGAACCTACCCACTAAACACACTTATTTCATGGAAAAATACTACGAGTTTCATAACAATTGCACATCGTCTTGCGCAGTGCACAAATGCTCTCGCCCAGAGAGCAAAAAGTAATAATTTGAAGTTCTAAACTTCGATTTGAAGTTAAGAACTTCAGGTAGAAAGTCTACTAGGTCGTTCTACTGAGCTAGTTTTTGGATGGCATTCATGATTGATTCATGATTGAATCACCACCTCAAACAACCATTTTTAACCGCCCTGAACCATTTTGTTTTGTTTTGAGGGGAATCGTGATTCATCCATTCAGTCATTTTAAAAAATTAGCTCAGTAGAACCTGGTACATGATGTACAAGCAAAAGTTCATAACTTCAAATCGAAGTTTAGAACTTCAAATTATTACTTTTTGCTCTCTGGGCAAGACCGCGTGCAATTGTTATGAAACTCGTAGTATAATCCCCGACTTGTGGATTTAATTGGGGGATCCAGAAATTTTCGAGCGCATGAAGTCCGGGGTCTTGCTAATTCTGTTTTTTGGTCAATCGGTTGAACCGGAGAACAAAAGTCTTGAGCATAAGGTATGGAACCAGCTAAATTACTTATTACTAGTACGGTGCGGTACGAGCTTTAAACGACTGATTGTTCATTTCACATTAAATAATCTATTCCGCTTCGAGGAATTTAAAAAAGAAGAATGATATTTTTTATATTTTCTTTCGTTTAATGGCCTTTACCTTTGTCCATTTATGCCTCATGTCATCCGAGATAACACTTTAGACATCAACCACGGCCATCTGCTCGTCCATCTGTTTGGATTCACTTAAGAAATTTTTGGTAAATCTTGACAATCTTCTAGAAAAATGTATCGATTTCTTCGCCAAATGGATATTTGAAATAGTTGTTTGAATCACAAGTAATCGATTTCAAGACAGCTGGTGCAGCTGTTCAAGAATAATAAATCTGCACCGTTCCATCTGCTTTTTGAACACAGTACTGTTCATGGGATCCCCATAGATGCAGATGGAGACCAATGCGATGAAGGAATTCATTGTAGTTCGCAAAAATTCCAATCCATCATATCAATCTAAATAACACTAATATTTGTCGCAATGATCGAGTAAGGCAGACGCAACTGCAACCTTTTCACGAGACTACTTCGCGGGCTAATCGAAAAAAATTGTTTATGCTCATCATATGCTTCCAAAGAAAGAGATTAAAATAATACAGCACATCTCACCGCAGTACATGATGACGAACTCATCTATCCGAACGAGATCACGTTCGAACATTTTCGTCAATTCCTTCACGTGGAACAATAAACGGATCATTAGGTCAGAGAACGCTATGAAGAACTACAAAAGGCATGACGGCAAGATTCATAGGAAGCATCGGCTACAATCTATTCCTAGCATGGAAGGTCTTGTTCTCAGAACCGCCAAGGTCGATATATCGACTAACGAATGCGACGAAAACAAAGCACCTGGTGGAGGCTTGATCAATCAGGATGAGAAAGATGTTTTTTTCTTGGCATCGCCGTCTTCTTTGTTGATTCCGCCTTGCAACCCAACGCGTTCGCTACCGGAGCTTCCATACAAAAGGCAACAACGAAGCCAATTTCAATACGAGGACAAAGTCTATATCCCAAAATTCGATCCATCATTGCTACAGTTTCCAATTCTACCGTCGCCTCCGCCATCACCCTCGAAGTCAAGGGCAGCGGGATCGAAATACTCGAAGAAGAAGCAAGTGGGTAAACGATATAGCGCACCGAAACACAACAAGCCATGGGATCCGTCCCATATCCCAATACCATCCGGCATCCGCCTGCTTCCAAAGACTCGTTTCGTTTTGCCCCGCGACAACTGCTAGAAGTGAACAAAAGCATCGTTTTTCCCCTCGTTCCCCGCATACTTTTCAAACCAACCCACGAACAGAACACGAAGTGTACATTTCCCTTTCATTCATCCACTACAGTCAATACACACTGGACGAAAAACATCTTTTTGGTTCCCAACGAACATGAACTCTGCTACTACTAAATACGGTGATCCGCTTTTATAAACACCGATACAACCCCTTTGCTTCAATCTATGACAAAATGCTAATCACTTAAATCTATTTACTTTTACAACACAATAACATCATATTGAATGCTCTAAGAGCAAGCTGGGATATTAAAAATATTCAATGCAATACTATAATGGATTGGTCGAATAAAGAGTAGCAGTTTTCTGTTACGACAATTTCTGCGAAAGAAAGCAACGATCACCCAGGAAATATGCAGGCTCCGCTAGATGCAGAGTTCCTTTCAACTGAGCAGCGTCATTCGCGAATCAGTTACTACAACGACGTCTAAACTTCCGTATTGTTTTCGCACTACTCTTCATCGTCTGCGCCGCTGGCAATCGAAAGCGAGGGTTCTTTTACGGCACTGTGACTTCTGATCCGCTGACACCGCAGTGGAGGACAGCAGACTGGAATCAAACACCCGATTTTGTTTATTGATTGGCTGTTATTTCATTTGAAAAGGGTTCCTTCTTAGGGAACCTCTTCAAGCCAGTGATAATTTTTGCCAGTTCAAAGAAAGGAAACGAATGATGGGACCTAGTACAAAACGTACGGATTTTGCTTTTGTAGATTGAATAGAAATGATCCCAATGGATTTTCTTTTTTTCCCGCCATCTTGATAGAATGTGAGGATTTTTTCGCCAAAAAAATTAATTAGAGCTCCCGAAATGAAATAACCGCATTGCATTAGTGTATTCTACCGGCTCGGTAGAACTGTTCTTTGTAGTGTGTTTCATGTTGTGTAGAAACAACCGCAAAAGGATTATGCGTCATTCATAGCATAACTTCTCCCAATTTGTGCGATTCACTGTCAATTACACGCGTTTGTAGAAACACAAAATGAAGTATTTGCGTCATTGATTTCATAACTTCTCCGCATTATGCGATTCATTGTCAATTACRCACGCGTTTGTAGAAACACAAAATGAAGTATTTGCGTCATTGATTTCATAACTTTCTCCGCATTGTGCATTTCTTTCTCTGTGTAGAAACAGGCAGTACATAACCAGGCACATGTAGAAACATCGAGCGCAATACTAATACTATTACGTGTCATCCATCTCGTAGCCCCTCCGTGTTGTGCCTTTCGTACAAACGGAAGGTGCTATCATGCTACTACTACTAGTAAAAGCACGAATCATGATTCTCCTCCTAGTACTACTATAATCATGCTAGTAGTAATATTGAGGCAAAGTCAGCAACAACCTGCTGTGGTGTGATGATGGTATGTTGGTCATACCACAAGAAGCAGGCAATCTGTATCAATATCTTCAACAGAGAAATAACACAGCAATACTAGCAGCAACCTGCTGCTGTGGTGTGATGATTGTACTAGTCATACCACAACAAGAAGCAACAATCTGTATCAATATCTTCAACAACAAAGAAATAACACAGCAATAATTGAAAAAAGAAGAAGAACAACAACAAAAAGAGGAGCATCAGGAGGAGGAGGGGGAGGAACAACAACAAGAAGAAAGTGCTATGACTGCTGGTGTTGGTGCTGGGTGGTTAGACTCCTCCTCTCATACTACTAGTAGTACTAGTAGTACTACTACCAGCACCAGGAGGAGGGAGGAGGTCTTCCCATGAAAGTTAAAGCAAAGAAAACCCTGGCTATTCTGCATGCAAAGCTGTATGAAGTGTACTAGTAATAGTGTGCATAGTGGCATTACCACTACTAGTATTAGTAGTTGCAGTAGCTAGTGGCCCTAGTATTCTTGTTGCATTTACATTTTATCAGGAAAGAAAAGTTGCTATTTTGTATTTTGTGTTCTATGGTACGTTCGTACCTTTCCTATAATACTAACAGTACAATAGAAACCAACGCAAAAGGAACCTTCTCCGTCCGTTCGATGACTCGAGTTCCCGGGAAATTTCGCTTCGGAAGTGCGCGTTCCGAGCGTTCGAAAATGCGTGCCGAGCCTGAAATCAATACTTGACGCCACAAAGGAAAGTTCTTTCCGTGGTTTTGCAACAGGACTGCTAGCACCGTCCTGTACTGCCGTGCCCACAAGGGCATCGTTGCTGGCATCGCGGTGCAGGTTGGTGTCCCGAATCGCCTCTTCCGACCGCGTACAAGGACAGGAAAGAAGACTCTGCCACGGGTGTTGTTCGAAAGACTAGACCTCGCAGTGGCGGCAACCAGCAAAGGTATCGTATCGTATCGTTCGGGATACCAATCAAATTAAACGAAACCCAACCCGGTCGCTGGCCCCGCTCGTTTCGCATCGCATCGCATCGAAACAAGCGCATTGCATTCGCCGCGTCGATCGATCGACCAAACCAGAAGGCAACGCCGCAATGCAGACCATCCCGTGGCGTCTCGCGGGGGTGCTGCTGCTGCTAGAGCTGCTGTCGGTGGGGGCAGGGGACGACGGGGCTGCCTCCGAATCGCTCCGCTCCCGGAACCGAAACCAGCAGGAGCACCAGCACCAGCAACAGCAAAAGCAGCAACAGCACCAGCAAAAGCAACAGCAGCGGGCGGAGAAGGACGCCCCACCGGACCCTGCGCCGCAGCGCCCGGTGCCGCGGTCCAACCCGCGGGAAAAAAGGGGGATCGGCACCAAGGGAAAGACCGTCCGCGTCGTGCACCGGACCGGGGGGGTCACCTCGTCGACCGGCGATCGCGACCGCGACCGCGGCGGCCTCCCGGGGGAGGACCCCAAGCAGCGGGCGCTGGGGGCCCCTTCCGCAACGGGGGCTTTTCCCGGACCGCCGGACCCGGGAGCGGAAGGGGACGCAAGAACCAGAACCAGCGCAAGAACCAGCGCGGTCGCCACCGCAAGCGCAAGCGCACGCCCCTCCCCCCACCGGGAACACGCGGAGGGAGCGACCCTTTCCGCGAGGCCGGCGGCGACGCGCGGGGGAGCAGCGCTCCGGTCGTGACTCCCCGGAGCCGGAACCTTTTCCGGCACCGGTGGACGGACGCCGGGTGGCAAGCTTCCCCGGGGGACGCCGGCCGGGACGCGAAGGGCATCGGAAACCAAGCCGAAACGGGTCGAGCCGCGTCGAGTCGAGAACACACAACGATCGGTGGGAAGGGGAACCCCTCGGGGAATCAACTCCCCCGGGGGTGCTGCACAACGAGTGGGAACACCGCGATTGGAAAAATAGTCGAATCGATTCGATTCGAGACGAGACGAGACCAATAGAATCGAATCGAATCGAGTCAAATCGCATCGCATCGCATCGCATCGAAACGACACCAGGAAACCAAAACATCCGGCGCCGTCTCTGGAGGGAGGGGGAAGGGAGGAACCTCCGTTCCGTGTGCGGGAGCAGCGCCCCACCCCGTTGGAGAAAGTCTCGTTGCAGCGCAATCGCCATTGGCGTGGTGCTGTGTGGCGGGCTCTCCCGGACGGACGGAGGCAGTGCATGCTGCGGCGCAGCGAACGAATCGTTCGTTCGGAGGCCCGGGAGAGCGACGCGGGCGGCGGAAACAAACGACCATTCCATTCGATGGATCCATCCAAAATTTGTGATGTGTTGTGTTGTGTTGTGTTGTGTTGTGTTGTGCGTTGCGTAGCACACTGGCACACGGTCCAACGAAACGAAACGAAACGCAGCAGCAGCACGCATTTGCAGTTGCATTGCGAGTAAGCCATGTGGTGTCGCAAGTACAGTACAGTACAGTACAGTAGCACGAGTAGAGTAGTTCGAATGTCCTATCATTACTGTTTGTTTGTCCTAGTGTTTGTGCCATACCATACGGCCGGGTGTTGCTCTCGTGTAGGAACCGTGCATCGCTGCAGGTGTTCGTGATGTATGTGTGTATAATAGTATGTACAGTATGCATTATCTCTATGGGGCGTGGTGTGGGATGCGTGTGGGGTTCTGGGTGTCTTGTGTGTGTGTGTTTGTGTGTGTGCCTGTATCGTCTATTTTCTAGGTGTTGCTCGTGGATGGTTCGGTTGGTTTGGCGGACGCTGCTTGGCCGTTGCCTTGCCTTGCGTGGCGTTGCCTTTTGTTCCGTTCCGTTCTGTTGTGTTCTGATCCGTTCCGTTCTGTTCCGATCTACCAGAGGATGCGCTGGTGCCGGGAGGGGCAGAAGGAGAGGGTGCAGACGAGCCACCGGGCGACCAAAAGGTCCAGCTGTTGCTGCCGTGGGTGCGGCAGCGGAAGGGCCTTCCCCTGGGTGTTTGGCTTTGCCATTGCCATTGCCATTGCGCTTGCCTTTCGGGGCTTGCCTTCCTCGTCGCAATCGCCCCCTTGTTCGGCTTCCGCTTCGTCTTCGTCTTCGATGGTGTTTGGCCCGGCCACCACACGCTCCTCCTCCTCGGCAATGGTCTGCAGGGAGGGTTTCCACTTGGTGTTGTTGTTGTTGTTGTTGTTGTTGCTGTTGCTGCCAAAGATGCCCGCCGACGCCAGGCCCAGAACCCCGTCCTCCGAGACCGGGTTCCGGAGGCCCCCTTGGTGCTCGCCGCTCCGCAAGAAGGTGGCCAGGAGCAGCAGGGGGATCCTCAGAAACACCGAAACGAGAATCCCGCCCTTTCCGGCTCCGGCCTTGTCGCACTCGAGCTGCTGGTCAAAGACGGCCATTGCGGTGATTTTTTTTGCTTGGCGTGTCTTTTGCTTGGCTTCGAAGAGAGATAGTGGAATCGAATCGAATCGAATCGAATCGAATCGAATCGAATGCAATGCAAGGAAAGGCAGTGCTCGCGGATGGATCGAAACGATGGTTTCGTCTGGATTGTGCTTCGCGCTCCGGTCCGTGACGGATCGAACGCCTTCGTCGCTGATTGGAACGGTGTGTTGGACTGCTAGAAGAACGGTCCACAAAATGGCGCAAAGAATGACGTCGTTCGTACTATTCGATTCGATTCGATCGTGCTAACGCGTGCGCAGGGTTTGTTTTCCAACTGCCGAGAAACCGTGGGAATAAAATAAAATCAATCTGGGTCTCGGTCCATGCCCTGTACCGACTTTAGTATGTACTTCTAGTAGTATATGTAGAAGTATTGTGGGAGCTAAATAAATCAACACAGAAGCAACGGCTATTGTTGCGGTTTGGTGACGGAATGCAAGGAAACGCGAGAAAGATATCCTACCGTGCGACGTGCGATACTGTATTGGTCTTGGTGGTGCCTACCTACCGGTGTGAAATGGCGAAGCGCGGCGGTGGGTACCGGTACGCAGTGAGAACACTTGCTGGATGGAGGGGGTAGGTGACACTCCCTCGCAGCGTAGGAGGACGGTATGTATCTTGGAGTTCGCACAGCAAGCACAGTAACTCGTAGCGTTTTTCTACTACGTAGTATGCTATGTAATGTGTGTGTGCTCTTCGGATCCACTGCGATTCCGTTGCGACGAGAACCTTCGAAATAAATCGCTCCGTGCGAGAAAAAGCGTTCGATTGTTTGGGATTTTTGGTTTTTTGTTCTTTTGGGTTTTGGTTTTCTTCTTCTTCTCCCCGGTGAACCGGTAGGTACAGTACTGTACTCATACTGTAGGAATCCGTAGCGTACGTACTATACTCCTGCTGCCTCCTTCGTAGGTTTCCATTCGCCCTGCTTCGGATGTTAGGTACGGTACGGCACGGTGGTTGGCGACGTCACACGGCGACGTCGGAGGCCTACTAAAACAATCGCACGCGGTATGCTAGGCAGGCACACCGGCAGGCCTCCCGTCATTGGTCACGAATGTACGGTATAACGTAGGATTTGACGGGATTCGTATCTACGTTCTGTACAGTACAGTAAACGCACATACCTTCCGTTCCGTTCAGTTCGTAGTAGAGCTTGCGATACTGTACTCTATTACTGCACCGTACGGTACCGTATGGTACTGTAGATACGATTGCGAAATACCTGGTGTCACGATTGGTTTGGGTCGGAGTGCAATGGTGACACCCCTAGATATTTGAAAAATATTGAGCAGTCGCACTTCCTCGTTGCGGTACCAGAATACGAAGTAGATTCATCGAATTCAAAACAAAGTTTGGTTCTTTGATAAAATTCTAAATTCTACTGCATCTCGTAACATACGTACATACGTACGTACCCTTATCTGGTAAGGTACGAACATACAGTGGTGGTATCTTTGGATCTGGATTCCACCGATCCATCAGATTGGGGAAAGATAGTTTTTGATTGAACTTCGAACTCAGGGACAGCCGGGGCAACAAATTTCAAACTCCTCTTCAGGAAAGTAGGCACCGAACCGAACCGAACCAAACCCACGAGATAGTTCCTAGACCCCACCATTAAGTATTGCAGCAACACCCACGAGTGCCACACACACACAACCACACAAAAAGTCCCATCGGAACGACCAGCGCAATCCGCCATGAAGCCCCGCCGCAGATCTCCGTTTCGTCCCCTCCCCGCCGCGTGCCCGGCACCACCGCTGCTTCGAATGACGTGTTTGCTGCTCACGCTCACGCTGCTCACGGTCCTGTCCATGGCCCCCGGTGCGCTCGGCTTTGGCTTCGGCTTTGCAGCGACCGGGAAGTGCGGAAGGACCAGCACCCCCTTTGTGGTCCCCGGCCACCCCTTGTCTTTGTTCGGAAGAAACCGAACCCCTTGCGCCAAGCGACCCTTGCGCGGGATCCTTCCGCTGCCCTCTCGGAGCGGCGACCCCTTTCGCGAGCCTGGGGAACCGGAGGAGGAAGAAGAAGGGGCGGCTCCCGTTCCTTCCGGAGGGACCGATCCGGGAGTACCTCCCCAAGACGGCTTTGACGGGGAGGGCTTTGCCAAATATCTGCTCCCCTATGCGGTTGCCCTGGTCGGGTCGGTCCTGGCCACGGCGGCCCTCTTTCGGTTTGTCCTGCTGGACTACTAGCAGGAGCGGAAGCGAATCGAAGCCAAGCCAAGCCAAGAGAAACAAACCCAAAAGCCGTTCTGTTCACAAACCCAAACGTTGGAACGACGGACGGCGCATTCTATGCATGCGGAGGGGCGGAAGCGTGTCGCCGCCGTGCGACGTTGCACAGAAAACGGACCGGCGCTGCACAACGCAACGCTGCGCTGCGCAACGCACACCAATTCGTTCCGACGGAGACAAGAAAAGCACAGAGCACTCGCTGTGGCGATTTGGTGGGTGGGTTGGATTTGCAAAGAAACACTCGTTGATCCATCCATCCATCGATCCATCGTGATGAAGGGTTGCTTTGTCCGCACGGGCGGATCTCGGACGTGGTGACCAGATGAAAAGATGCGCAGGATCGTTTTGCACTTCCGATCTTTGATGCAGAGAATTCATACCGCCTTGAACAATACCATGTTGTTATGAATTTAGGGTATAAGATTTTCAATAGGAACGCCATGAAACGAAAATGCATTGTCTGAGTAAAGACAAACAATCGAGAAAGATTTTTTTTTCTTGTCAGATTGCGGAATCGAAAAAAGTGTTTTCAAAACTGATCTCTAATAATTGATGTCGTGCTCTAGTACTAGTAGATCTTGGAAACCCAAAAAAAGACTCACCGAGGAAAAGATTGGGCGAGAGATTCGTTCCATTGTTTCCGGTGCCAGCGGAGCCACAAAAATTTTCTTCGTCGGATCATTCCAGATCGAAGGCAGACATCCTTCTTCGTCCAATGTTTTTTCATGAAAATGCTACAGTGACTCCAATTCCTCTTTTCTATTTAGCTTGATATCTAGTGAAGCAAGCGATGATGCACTAAAGCTGATTTTTTTCGATTGTGATAAAACTACTTACATCCTAATTTATGTATTGTTTGTTGATTGCAACCAAATCAAAAACGATCGATTCCCATCTTTTGTATTTCTATTGTACACGAGCGCACCCGAACAGGTAAACATTCCGTGCATCGATCCCGCGCCTTCCAACCACCCGTCTCGCGGGTCGGTTTCTCGGTGTGGGCATCCAACCGCCGTGGCGTGGCCGCCCTCCGCCAACCCTTCCAAAACAACCGCAAGACCGATGCATGCCCTCGGTCCGATCCCACCGGATTTGCATTCGCATTCGCATTCGCATTCACGTTCACAGCACATCGCCGTCGCGGTAGGACGAATGCCCGCCTCCCTCGTCGTCGCGGTAGGACGTCCGGAAGGCGTCGCCGCTTTCCCCGTAGCCCGCGCCGGAATCATCGTCGCCGTACACGACGTCCTGGGCCACCCGCCGGGATTCCAGGAGGAACTTGGAGTATTCGTCGTCTTCTCCGATCTCGTCCGCCACGTCGCCGTACCCGGTGTCGTCGTCGTAATAGGGGGCGTCGCTCTGGCTGGGATCGATGTTGCTGTAGTCGTAGTTGCTGAACTCCTGGTTGCTGTCGTGTTCGGCGGTGGCCTCGTCCAGAAAGGCCTCGTCCGGCAGCGACCGGTTGGTGTCGCCGTCCTCCCCGTTTTCGGTGCCGTCTCCGCCGCCGGTGCCCGAGCCATCCTTGTTCTTTTTCTTGCGGTAGAACATCATATACATGGCAAAGAAGGCGCAGAACGGAGCGCAGCAAAGCAGCAGCAACAGGAGGATGAGCCACAGCAGGTTCTTGTTCCAGCCCTCCGGCTCCTCTTCCGGTTCCACGTAGTTGAGTTCCGCGACGTGGATGTCGTAGGCCGGCTGGTCGTACGGGGAGATGCCGTCCAGGAAATCGTCGTCGGGCCGCGGGACGAACAGCGCCGGCCGGATCTGGTCCTCGTGAAAGGCGTTTCCCGGGTAGACCTCGCCGTTTCCGACCCTCAGAACGCACTCGTACTCGGCCGGGTATGGGATGTAGGTCCCCGTGTAGTCCAGAAACTGCCCGCCCCGGGGGACCGCGGTGCGGCCCTTGTCTTTATCGGGGCACTTTCCGGCCAGGGCCGTTGGGTGGTGGATCCTGTTCAGGTCGGGTTCGTGTTTGACGTTGGAGTCCTTCGTGCCTTCCCCGCCTCCCCCGACGTTGGTAGGGACGCAAAAGCGCATGCACGGGATCTGGGGATCCAGGTCCCTGTCGAAGGAGTGGTATGCCTCCCCCTCGTCGGTTCCGGCGTCCCAAACATAGCTCTTTACGACGATGCGATTGTAGTAGGTCTCGGTGTCGTAGCTGATGGTCCGCAGGTCGGAAAAGCCTACGAACCAATCGGGGGATGGCGTGATCTTCGTCATGGCCGACAGGAACGGGTGTGTGTAGGTCACATTGATGGGAGGGAGCTCCTGAGATTCGGTGGTGTTGAACATGCGCTCTCCGACGATCATATGGAGGGTTTCGAACCCCGCGTTCTGGAACTCGTTGTACATGATGGTGGGAAATCCTTGCTGTGGTGTTGCAAATTTCAATTGCAGTTGGAATTTTTTGGTCATGTTTGGAGCCGCGATTGTTGTTGTTTGTCGTGTGTTGTTGTGCATTTGTCATCATTGCCGTGATAGAAAGAGGAGTGTAGATAAGAACAAAACGAGCATTAGCTGGTTAGTACATCCGAGTATTCTCTGATTGTTTTGGGCCACAGGATAATGATTTACTGTATGCATAAAAAAATACAGCATGCTAAGCAATACTACGTTGGACCAGTCTCAACGATTCCATTGCATTGCTATTCATCGCATTGCATCGCAATTCGTAGCAATTCGAACCAAAAATAAAACGCACCTCCGCAAGATACTCCACACCGGCGGTGACGGTCTCCGTCCCCGTCCACATGCGCCAGTCCTTGGAATGGCTAACGATGGTTGGGGCGCTCCAGGAAGGGGACTTGGGGAAATCTTTGGGGTGCCGCTCTCCGCTCCACTTGCCCCGGAAGGTGCAGTAGTACCGGAGGTCACCGGGGTAGTGCTGGTTGATGTTGCTGAGTTCGAATTCCTCGACCCGGAACGTCTGCTCTCGCCGTGCTCCCGGGGGTTCGTTGAACTGGGCTAGGCATCCCGGTATGGTGTACGTGTTGGTGGCCGATAGGAGCAGCAGCAACATCAGGGGAAGAACGCCGAGCGAACGCGCATTAGCGTTCAAGGGCTTCGTAGCGGTGACGGAAGCGGTGGCTCCCAGAGAATCATGCGCACGAGTTGATCGTCCTCGCCGATGTTTCTTACAATTTTCTAGCGAGTTGTTGTTTGTCATCAAACGCATGGTTGCTTTGGACTTGCTCGAATCCGGAATAGTGACAATAGAGACGTTTATGTTGTTCGATTATCCTTATGCGATGAATGGGTCCGATCGACACAAATCCCGCTCTGTTTCGCTATGCTATGTTCTCGATATCGTATTTGGACAGTTGATTGTACAGGTCTCTCTATCTTCGGTATTTTGCGAATGAACACCGCTCTTTCTGTTCAACCACGGAAAGGTCAATCGTACGAGTACGGGTACGAACTCTTAGTTGTTGTGTTCGTTGTTGCGAGGCAGTGACCATGTGGTTTTGAGATCATGAAGTCGAAGCATGCTACCGTAAAGTACTGTACTGTAATACAGTACTTCTACTTTGCATTAGCACACGTTGAGACCGTTCGGTCTTGTAATTTACATGTAACTTCAATAACGATGACCACCAGAGGTCTTTTTCCAAGGGCTTTAGTAATAATTATTGGAAATTGAAAAGAATATTCTAGAATGACCAAATGATCCCGCTAGGGTAAGATAGAAGTACTGTACGGTACGGTACTCGTACTCGTACTGTAGTGTTCTTCATACAAAGAAGTACAGTACGATGTAGAAGAACTTGTACATACTGTATTATTGTGAGTACATACGAACGATACATCGCAAAATTATTGTACAGCAACTTCTTGTTTCTCACCTGAAAAATACTACTATTCAGTAATTGGGGTAATATTATTCCTAGTAGTACTGTAAGTGTCACCAAACCATAACGAAAGTTTTGTTTCAGAAATTGGATAAAATACTTCTTGTCATAGTAGTAGTACTAGTACTGCTGCATTTGTCACCAAAGCAGAGCTCAAGCAAGATTTCAGAAATGAGGAGAGATGGAGAAAAAATACCTTAGTTCAGAATCAGAAAGAGAATGAATAAATGATCGAATACTCTATGATTACTTTCAGTTTGCTATTGTCGTCTGACGTAGTGCTGTTGCGTTTTTGCCAGTTCTGCCATCGTCTCGTATTTAAAATGACGAATATCATCCATTGATAATGGAAGTTGATCCATTGTGCTGTACCTCTTTCGAAGCATTCGCGTGCGTCTTGCTGTCTCCTTTTCCACGAAAATGGTCTTCTCGTTTCAGTTACTCTTAGAGTTTGCGAATGTAGTGTTGGTGTTCTTTCATCATACGTTTTCGAAGCAATGTAAAAATTATTATATGATGCAGTATTTGTTTCGCTGACGAAAATCTTCTCTTTTTGTTGAAATCTTTGGACTATTGGTGTGAGTTCCTCATTCGAAGCAATATAGAATGCTTTTGATGTAGTGTTTTGTTTCAACTCTTGTATTTTGATTTTTGTAACATGTGGACCATCAGCATGGTTCGATTCAAGCAATGCCCTCATTGCTCCACCATGTTTTCGTTCCGCTATCGATGGTTTCGCTTTCTCGAACTCCTGAGGTGACGGTCACGGGGGGGATCTTTTTTCCTTTTACCGCTGCTGTTTCGATCGGAAGAACAGTATCCTCCTAATCCTATACTTTTTGTGTTGCCCTGTGATCCACTGCCGACGTTGGTTTCGTCCTTGCCTTGGCCCCTTGTGTTGTAGCCCTCGTCCTGTCCGTATCGCATAATACCCCTGGTACGTCGTTTCCGAGGAAGGCTTGTTGGAACCGTGTCTGGCAAAAAAATAGCAATTTCCTTGAGGGCCCGCTCAGGTCGCAAGCGTTTGGCGATCAGCCTGCCACGACGCTTCTTCCAGGAGGGGACCCTGCGATGAGCGAAGCAGTGGGAATCGCTCCTAGCAGTGGTGTTGTTGCCCGTGTCGCTTTCTTGGTCCCCCTCAATGATCCAGCTTTCGCACTCTGAGACTTTGACGTCACACACGTAGCAGTAGCAGTTAGAACAGAAGGCAGTTGGATTCTTGTCGAAGGGTTTCGCCACACAGTCGTAGCGTGGGTGGGCAAAGTCGGAGAGAGCGTTCTTTCCTGTTTCGCCAACTATTTTGATTTCGTCGTCGTCGGTTTCTGCTATTTCCTTGCAGATGAAATCACCGAGAATGCCGCTGCAATGAGGGACTGTAGAGTGGCGTCCGGTTCTGTTTTCCTCGGATTGGCCTTGTCTTGAAGACGGTGATTCGCCTCCGTCCTGCATACAATCTTGCAATTTAATAGCTCCGGTTTGAGTTGTGCTAAAGCCTTGCGAATACTCAGGAGCGTCGGACTCTTCTCCGCTTGCGTCGAGACGTAGATCGATAGCGATAGGTCGGTCTTTCCGTCCCCGATCGCGATTGATTTCAGCAAGCTCGGTGGTACTTTCTTGGAATAGAAGAAGATCAGCCGAAGTTGCGACATCGGCTTTTGCTGCAGCGTGACTTTCTTCCTCGTCCCCTTCATCGCTCTTGCTGTAGGCGTCGGCTTCCTTGTTTTCTTCATTGTCTTCCAAATCCGACTCGTCACCATTTTCTTTTGGGCTTGTTGCCCTTGGTTTGGCATCGCCATTATCATCATCAACAACACTGTCACTCGCAGCACCATTTTTATCACCATTCTCGTAGTCGTCTCCTTTTCCGTTGCCGTCACTCTCGGTTTCACTATCCAATATATCAATTACTTTCTCTGACTGCTGTTCATGACTATTATAATCGCGACGAGGGGGGATTGCTGTAGATTTTTGCTCTTCCGTAATAAGCTGGCCACCCAGATAATGGTTGAGTAGTGGTGACGGCACCGCTATTCGCTGCTGTAGATCTGCTAGACTGTCTACTAGAACTGCCTGTTGGAGAATGCCATCAATTTTGTTGCGACTTGTTGCCACAGGATGATTCGTTTGGTCTTCGGGGGCCACAAGATTGACATGATATCCGTGCATTCGAAGAATACCGCAGTTGACTAGCGAATGGTCCACCGTCCGGCATACGGGGCAGTATCCTCCCATCGGTTGCGATGCTAGGCCGGTGGCTGCGAGAGCGGACGCATTCGCAGCAGCAATACCACTGGCACCGGATATCGAAGCCGTAGCGGCATTCTGTCTCGTCACCACTGCGGCTGCAGCTGTAGTGGCCGCGAATTGCAACTGGAACCGCAGCTTGGCTATTTCCTCCCTCTGTGCTTCTATGGTATCTTTGAGGATGGAAAGTCTTTGCTTCTGGGCTGCCTCAGATTTCAGAACGGACGTTCCGACCCTCTGCTCCGCCAAAAAAAGGTTTTTCAATTTTTCTACCTCGATGGATTTTGAAAGCAGCTGCTGTTCCAGCGATTGATTGCGCAGCTCCAACCAAAGCAAACGCTGCGCTAGGTCTGAGCTCAATGGTGCTTTTACTTTTACTTGTGTTGGTGCTGTCGTTAGTAGTCGTTGMCTTTGTTGAAGCTCATTGTGAAGTTTCTTTTGTTGATTCTGGAGGTGCTGTCGGTGCCGCTGATGCTGCTGTTGTTCCTGGAGTAGCTGTAGTAGATGGCGATGCTGCTGTTGCTTTTGTAGCATCTCTTCTTGTTCATTTTGTTGCTGTTTATAATTGCGGAGAGCGGCCTCCGCTACCGTTATTCTACTAAGTTGTTCCATAGCAGAAAGCTGCTTATTCCTGGCAGAAGTAAGAACGGTGGAAAGAGAATTCGCGGCTGATGCCATTTCTATCCGAGATGCAGTGGATGTTGTCATCGACATAGGACGGCGTTTGGCAACAGGAGGGAGTAGAAAAATATTCGGGGTTCCTTTCTTATTATTGTCAGTGTGTAGTACGATGTTGTTCATTATTATCGTTGTTTTTCATTTTTTAAAATATTGATTGTGGTGTTGTGGATGCTGTAATTGCTCTGATGATTAGCTGGCTTCTTAGGTTCTGGAATACGTTGTTGTAAATCACACCGCTTGCTCCGCTGAAACTTGTTATCGGTCAAGAAAGAACGCAAGGACCATTATCAAAGAAATAGTCGGTCAACATCCCCATTAATACAGAATTATCAATATTTCAAAGGCATTTGTCATATACGGAAAAACAATACTTTATATTTATATTGTGTAGGCCGAATGAGCATAATCTTATCTTGTTCTAACAATCCTAACTTTTTCCTATCGTACGTACTTCTATGATTAACACAAAATTTAAGTACAATACAATTATCTAACGCTGTTACCCTACTGTTTAGAGCTACTAAGTACAATTCCCATAATGGCAAGCTATTGGCAATTTCCCGACTATCAATTTTTTTTATTTTCCCGTCTTTTTTTTCCCCTCTCCCCCTCCTCCACGAAAAAAAGTACAAGTCCGAAAATATTTCTATACTTGATACTTACTGCTGAGAATATCAAATCAGTGCTTATCTCAAGTATTAAGGACCACCAATAGAAATATTTTGGGACCAGCGAGAAATTAAACAATGGAAATATTTTTATTTTCGTCCTTTGGATGCCATTTTTAACTGGATTTAACTGTAAAAATGAGCTAAAAATTTCTATTAGTATTTGTACGGGGATTGCCAATAGCTTGCCATTATGGGAATTGTACTTAGTAGCTCTACTACTGTTCTAGATAGTGCCTTCGAATTGTAGTCTCTTAATTTTGATCTGATCGTTAAAAACAATAATATCGTGCTTGATATGAATGTTCTTGGAATGCAATCAAAAAGTGTTCTTCTTTCCCATCCGAAGGTATTTACGTCCTGATAAGATGTTTGTGACCACACTCTACGTACTACTATTATGACCCCTGCAATTTACTCTCACGCATATGTTACTTGTACAAGTAATAGACCCCTGACTTATCTCACGAGGTAGAAGTACTTTACTTCGGTACTAAGTAGAGTATTTCGGTGGAAACAGATTTAAGGTTCGTACTGGTATTGTAACCTGTGAAATTTGGATCGGCTCTCTAGTGTCGTACCGGTATGAATACGGACGTGTTTTACAATAAAGAATGAGGTTATTCACTCACTAGCTACTCGTGATTGTATTTCAGTGGTGTTTAATGTCACACTCACAGTGTGGTTTGATTTCCGTTAAACCTGCAAAATGTACGTGTGCTCTTTAGTGCCGTATAACTACGTCTTTACAATAAAGAGTGAGTTTATTCACTATCTACTAGGGATTGAGCCTCACACACATCACAACATCATGATTCTACGGTACCGCATGTGCCGAACGGTACGATGAACAACAATAGTACGTACTAACAAAAAATAATAATTTTAAATCCACCATAACGAAGAAAAATTAACGCACTTGCTTAGAATAGCACAGAACAAGTTTGCTGAGAGGCTTTGACCAACCATGGAATGATCAGAAAAAGCAAGCCTTCACAAAACGAGACAAACGATCGGCACATCTAGCGAGTGAGCGAAAAAGAACAAACGAACGGACTTCATGTGCAAGAAAACAGCAACAATGACACATCTGTTCTATGCAAGTCGAAACAGGAGTAGGAACCACCACCGGTCATCGTTGCTCAGGCTTTCATATATTTCTCTAATGGTTGCTGTCATTATCTTATTCTTTGGTTGGTCTGAAGCAAAGGCCGGTGGAAAACCCACCGCTGTCTACGAGGAAGGAACCGACTTGAGAGGTTCGAGCACCGGCGGCAGCTATAACAATACCAAGAATGGCGAAAACGATGATAACAACAGCGCCAAAGCCAAGGAAAACAAAGCCAACGATGAGGAACGGATGAAGAAATTTCTCGAAGCCTTCGTTTTTGGGCAGAAAGATACAGCATTGTACGAGGGCAAGAACGATTTGCCATCGCATCACCAATTTCTCTCCATGCTCCAGACCAGTGAGGAAAATAATGGTGGCGATGGATCATCGCCGCACGATCATCGAACCAATGAGACGAATGTTTTCGTAAAATTTTGGGATGGACTCGCGGGTGCTCTAACAAAAGAAATTAGTGGTGCCGATGCCCCCTTTTTCCGCAACGAACAGAACGAAGAAGACATTGACGAAGTACTGGCCAAAGTACTAGGATTGGCCAAGCTTCTGGTTGAAGAAGAAGCATCGGTAACAGCGGTGGAATTTTCGAAGAAAATGTGGGTGGCGCTCAAGCAGGTCGCCAGACAGCTTAGCGATACCTTCGGAGAAGTCATGAACCACCTAGATGCTTACTTTCCCCTCGCTATACCGTACTACGCTATGCAGGAGGATTCCAAGAAAAGCCCTATGTGGAAACGCAAGATGCACCGCTTTTATCAAGGGGTCAAAAAGCCCAAGCTGATCGAGCTTCACGATGCGCTCTACCTGTCCCACCTGGCGTACGTCGACACGCGCAATCAGTTCGAAGTTGGACTAAGGGCCTTCCAGAACAACACGTGGTTATTGCTTTATGGTAACACCCAGAGTCTGCCGGACATACCTGCCAATTTCATGGTGATTCATAAGGAACTCGCTCCGCTAAAACAGAGAGAGAAAAAGGGGAACAAACTTGGCCGCGCTTTCCACTCTCTCGCAAAGAAGTCCTTTCTGAAAGGGGTATTTGCGGGCTCTACCAAATTGGTCAAGCAGCAGCTGACCTCGGAAGTGCTGGTCACGATTGTCGTGCGAGGGACCAAGGAGGTCGCGGACGTGCTATCCGATGGATTATTGGAACCACGATCCTATCGGGAAGGTTTGGCCCACGGTGGGATGCTAGTGAGCGGAACAAACTTGGCGGCGTACTATCTACCGAAACTAGTCAATCTCCACAACACTACCCGTACGTAATGCGACACAGTGAAGTCCAGTACATCGTATGCACAGCTCGGAGCGTAGGACACGAGTTCTGCGTCGGTCTCATTTCTTCTCTACCAAGCTGTCAGAATGCAATGTCAGACGAACTCACTAAACTTGGACATCTCCCTCATGATTTTTTTCTTTTTGTTGATGTGATTGGCTTTTTGCGATGTAATTCGATGGCTTGAAATTCGATTTGATCCGAACGCACAAACACAACAAACAACACACATCCACTCATAGAACGCGACAAGGTTCGAGTTGTTCTTATCGGACATAGCCTGGGAGCTGGAACGGCTGCTATCGCTGCGATGGAGCTCAAGAAACACGATTTCCTCGAGGTGGAGGCGGTAGGATTCGGGTGCCCCTCTTTATTGTCACACGATCTGGCCGTTAGCACCAAGGACTACATCACGACGGTGATCAACGATGCTGACATTGTACCAAGATTGTCGGGGCCCTCCATGGCAAATCTTATGATGGATCTTATCGAATACGATTGGACAGAGGAAATTCTAGAAGACATTCGGTTTTCGCTGCAACGGGCGAAGGAGGCGTTTCCTGACTTTCGCAGGCACCTGCTACCGGACACCGAAAAAGTGTTGCAATGGTTTCGAGAGCACCTAAGAAAAAATGTCAAGCCGAAGAAATTCTATGAAAACAGTACTGCTTCGAATTCTGACGACGGCAGGCGACGAACGAGGCTGCCCAGTGTGTTGAGTCCCCCTGGTCGATGCATACACCTGTTTCGGGACGGGTACGGAGTCACGGGAACTTTTGTCCCTTGCGACATTTTTTCTTCCGTAGATTTTTCGGTGACGGCAATCGACGATCACATGATCCCCACTGGATACGACCGGGCTTTGTTGGCAGCGGCGCAGGATACCGACCGAGATTATACGGTGCGTAATGGAGATGGCGTACTGGGCATACGACATATGTGTTCTATCAAATATCTTGCCCTATTCCTTCTAAAACATGTGATCATTCCCCATTGATTCGTAACATACAAAACATGGCCATGTATCTGACAACCTCAACTATTTTCCCGTTTCTTTTGTTTCGCGTTAGTTTCGCTTTGCAAATGATATCAATTCAATCGTTGGGGTGTAGACATGGCTCAATCAGAGAAGGTGATAAGGGAGTACAATAGAGACAAAAAGGGGTTCACCGGAGTCAAAGAGAAGTCAACAAAATACTAGAGCAATCTGATATTCGCAGTTGTTTAATCGTTTGCAATAGTGTACTACTTCATTCGTGGCGAGATGGCCCTTGGTACGACCGTCAGTAAGATAGGGCAATGAATGGAAAAAAGTGCATGCCTTCTTCTCCCAATGCCAAATTGACTTCATCGATGGTATGGATCAATTTTGCTACAACCAGCCTTGGCGGAAACGTCTCGGCAGAGCCGTGTCTAGGAAATTCCATGGCTGAACATTACTCTGTGCGCGCAGGGCATTTGAATAGAGCACCCGGAGAATCCCAAGCATAGTATTGCATGTTGTAGTATTCCTTCCATTCAAAGAACGGTTTTCAAATGGAAGAAAGACTGTTATTTTGTTTGCGGTCCAGCCGTTTCAACAGCACAACGCGTTTCATTTGCGAGAAAAATAAGGATCCACAGTCCTTAATCTACGGAAGAGACAACTTTTGTTCCATGGATATTGTTAGCAGTAATATCCTTTGTAAACTACCCCGCATAAGCTTGTGCGTCGTTTCTAGTATGGCATGATTGTCGTTAGTTTCTCTTTCCGTTTGGTTTGCAAAGCCCCGGGTCGCGTTGGAGAAGAATGTAGACGCAGTCCAGATCCACGTTTGGATCGCTAGCGGCGTTGATCAAGGCCATGGCCATGACGTCGTCATCGTTGCTGCTGCTGTTCGCGGTGGACGACGACGCCACATTGCTAGTGCCGTCGATGACACCCGCGAGGGCGGTTTCTAGTATCTTGTTGGCGCATTCGATCCCGTATATCTCGCAGGCAATCCGGTATGGCGTCATTGTTTTGGTCACTGTCGCTCTTGTTTTTGTCGTGCCTTTTGTGGTCGCCGTGTTGGTTGTTGGCAACGACGACGACGCAGATCGCTGCTCGAAGAATCCGTGTTCGTGATTCTCTCGCGCAACGCCCGGTTGTGGCGACGACGAAGACGGCGACAAGGACCTCCTGCTGCTGCCCAGTGTGTGTTTTCGGCAGCATCGTCTCTTGAGAGTGGCGTCGTCGCAGTATAAGAAATAGTAGTCTGTGACCCCCCGTGTGTGACGCTTTCGTCGTCTGACATCGCACTTGTGAAACAAAAAACCCGTTTCGATCGGAAAATATTTCAGGGCTAGTTCGAAGAGCATCTCTACCCCGGCGGTGGCACACTGCTGTGGACCATTGTGGTTGCTTTTGTTGTGGTTGTGGCTGTTTTTGCTGTTACGGTTGTGATTGCTTTGGTTGTGGACGGTGTGGTGGGAATGCCCGGTCACGAGATGGTTTTCGCCAATGTTGTTGATGATGTAGCGAGACACCAGGTCCCACGACAACGTCGTCCCGTACGCTTTCTTTTTCAGGAGCGTGTTGCGGGGGTCCCAATCGACGAGGTACCGGAAGCGTTGCTCCGGAAATATCGACTGCCGGTGGAGTGCCCCGAGGAGATCGTGGTTGGCAATATCCTTCTTCTCCATGAGCCGGCTCTCGCGGAGGTCTTTGATGCTTGCGAGAAATTTTTCGTCCACGAGCCGGTGGTAGGCCTGGTCGTGGTCGTTGTTGCTTGCATTGTTCCGGTGACCGGCGTCGGCAACACCTGCGGCGAGCTGTGAAAACACATTGATGTACTTGCCACAACCCCCGAACACCAGACCACCCCTCTCAAAGTCCTGAAAGAGCCCCGATTCGTTTCCAATCTTGGCAAACAAAGGTATGAAGGACACCGAGTGAATGGATTTCGCCAACCAGAAGATAGGATACAGGCCGAATCGCCTCGCCGTCAACACCTCGGGGAAACACCGCAAGGCCAACTCCACTTGATCCTGGGTATCCACGCGGTCGTCGAGGCCCGAAACGGCGATATCACTCGCCGTTGCGGTCTCGCTCTCGCTGTCGTTCTCATCCGCATTCGCATTCGCATTCGACCGCAACTCCAACCGCGAGGCCTGGCGCTGCTCTTCGCCAACCCTGCTGCTGTTTCTCTGGGCGGGGGGTCTATAGTTGGATTTCGATGGTTCGGAAAAGAGCCACTCCTCGAAGTCGCGCCGGATCCGCGAGAGAAAATCGCTGTCGCTGTCGCTGGTCGTGCCGGGGGACGGCACGAGCGGTGCCTCCGGTGTCGTCGGAGGGACGCCGTTTGCACGGCCCGCGCTTGTGCACCTTGCGCGTTCGATTGCCCGAGACAGCCTGCCGGGGAATTTGTGCCGGTGCTCCAGGACAAACCGCAGCAGCAAACGCCGTTGGTTGCGCTGCTGTCGTTCGTTCCGTTGGTTCCTTTCTCCGGTTTGGACGCTAGCTCTGTCTCTACTGCTGGTGCTGGTCGGACTGTCGGAGCTGGAACAGTTATTGCTCGTCGCCATGACGAGTTTTAGGTTGTGCTGTTTTGCTTTTGTGTTCCAAATCGTACCATACGGAATTGCAATACCGGTACCTGGCGGTTGGCATCTGAATATTGGCAGATACCGCTGTTGCTTGCCGGTCTTGTGATTTTATGACTGATTTCATTGAGGATAGCTACCAGGCGTGCGCAGAATGATGCGTGCACAGAATAATGAAGGATCCGAATTCGCAGCGAACGTTGACGTCAAAGATGCGCCTCTGTCCAATGTGGTGAACTCCATAATTTGAATTGAATTCTCATATGATTTGAATTCTCATACGTAGTAGATGTCACGTGATGCCAGGCAGGGGTCATAAATTTTGGTTTTAGAGGGGAGTGTGTGCGCATCACATTGAAACTGAGAATTTTAACACTATTAATTTTACAGTGCTCTACGTGGAACAATAGTCTTAATTCCGACCCGCACGGACAAGCTGTCACAAAATAAAAAGAAACTATTTTATATCGAAGGATTGAGTTTCCGAGCTCACTTTTTGAGAATTCGGATTGGCGAAACGAAATCGATTTACGATTTCCGGACACTGCTGCTATTAATACTGCTATTAACATTGAATCAAATCGAAATCAAAATCAAAATCGATTCCAAGAACAGATTTCTCTTAACACAAATCGCTTACTACTGGGGCACTAAGGCGCAAACTACTGAAAGCTGCTCTTAGTAGCTACACTTCACCAACTTCAGGATCAGCACCATCAACTCATCCTTTTACTCCTCCCTCCAGTACCCCAATAGGCATATTGGAAGCAACTCTCTCTTCTTCAGTCAAGCTTGCAATGAAGGACAGTGCTTGGTTCTTCAATCTATCCCTCTCCCTTCCATATACAGTCTCCCTGATAGTTATCTCGTCCTCTTTAAGTGTATGAAGGAAAGTCTCACCATCAGCATCAGTCCAAGAAGCTGATGGAGGGGAGGGATCATTTTTCACCTTCATCCACATATCTCTAACAGCTTGTCTTTCTTTGCAGGAATTTTCTTTGCTGCTTCCACTGGCACAAAAACTTCAGAGTAGAAACTGGGGGGGGGACTTTACATCTTGTTCCTCCTTCTTAACATCATCTTTCTTTCCCTTCTTGGAACCAAAATTCTCAACCAAACCAAGAGCTTTGCTGTTCAAAGATTCTGCTGTTTTTGCAGCCTTCTTCACTGCCTCACAGTGCTTAATCCCATCCAATTGTCTGCTTTGTTCTTTTGCAAGGAACCAGTCCTTTGTGTTGTGGGTCCCTCCACCAGTTGTGTTGACGAAGTGTTGGCTTGAATACTCAGTAGTAACCTCTTCTGCAATCGCATCTTGTAGGGCTCTGGTATTTGGTTTGGCCACTTGTTGTACCAACTGTTTGCTCATTTATGGTTCATATTTGTAAAAAACTCCCCATGAAAACCAGCATTGTTCAATACTTTAATTACAGTGGAATTCCTTTTCTGGTGTGCTACCAGTGCAGCTATGTTTGGGTCTGTTGCTAAATTACTAATGGAGCTGTCTAGTAGCAAAAGGATCTGTTTGTGTTTCACTTTTTCATCCTGGAGACATTTTTGGGTAAATGGATTAATACCAATAGTGCGTCACACATCTTTGCACCTCTCCACTGAAGCACCAACAACAAAAATTTCCCCCAAGGAATTTTTTTACTGTATTACTACTACAAGTAGTAGATTAATGTCTAGTAGTAAAGAACCTTGAATCTAGTAGATCAGGAGTTTTCCATTGGGATATTCAGCATTTTGCTGTAACCAGAAACTTCTTAATGATGCTGTGCGTATTTGCCTTCAAACTTTCTCAGATGACAAGGTAGTAAATGGGAACACTAAAAATCCTTCTACTGGTCACTTAGAGACGGGGGGACTGATTTCTTTAGAAAGCCCAGACTTAGAGCTTTATCATGACATTCTTATCTTACTTATTGAGAATGTTTTATGCAGTCCTAGTTGGTCACTAGAGGTGCCAAGGATTGCTTGGGCATGAACTCCAGGCACATGCAGTTTTCATGTGTGTTTTTTCAAGTGCTGTGTGCGTGGTGCAAATATGACTGTTGTGTTATTTTTACTTGATAGTTTCACTCTTGATTCCACTACACCTCCTGATTTCCTCTTTTTGATTCACTTCTTTCCATTCAACTGACTAAGACCAAGGCTTCTTTCCTCTTCAAGTCTTTTGCACCTCAAGTGACTCATCAACTTGCCTCCTCACATCCTCTAAGAGGGGATCCATTGACTTGCTGACACTTATGTTGCTTCCAGAAAGAGGGGGAACTGATCCATTGACTTGCACAGACTAGTTTTGTTTCCATCCTTACTAAGGGATTCATCAACTTGTCTTGTGCTTCCAATAAGAGGGGGAAGCAATCCACTGGCTCCCCTGGCGCATTTGGTGCTTCCAGCACTAACAGGGGGAAGCACCAATGACTTGTCTCACACCTCCACTGATAGGGGATCTGCTCTCTGTTGCTTCCATGCCTCCATTGACTTGCACTGACTAGCCTCACCACTTCCACTCTTTAGGGATTCAACAACTTGCCTTGCACTTCCACTTAGAGGGGGAACCAATCCATTGACTTGTCTTGCGTCACCACCTGTTCCTTCCACTAAGAGGGGGGGGAGCAATCCACTGACTCACCTCACACCTCTGTTGTCTCCAGTCTTAAGGGATCCATCAACCGGTCACCAGCTCCATCAACTTGTCTGTTGTCTCCACTAGAGGAGCGCCAATGACTCACTTTGCACCTCTGTCTCCAGCACTCTTAAGGGATCCACTGACTTGCCCCATGTCTCTGTTGCTTAAACCCCCACCATGCTTGTTGTTATGATGATGACAATAATTAACCTGTTCAGATTGGTAATGGATTGTCTCTTTGGTGCTTGTTCTGTTTATTATCCATTGTTTCATTCCCTCATTTTATTAACAAATGCTGCCCCTTTCTAAATCAAACACACACCAACCAGCAACAAGATGGCTACAGTAACAGAGGCAATACTAGATCTCCTTGAACCAAGTGAGTTGCTTCCTCCTCCTCTTCCTGTGATCATTACTCCTCCTCCAATGTGGCACCTTGTCAACTTGACCAACAATCAAAGACAAGCTGTTTTACACCTACTGCTTCCACATCACAAAGGGAATGGAAAACTTCATATGGTGCATTCAAGGCAGCAGCAGAGGCCTTCCAAGTTTCCCCTAGAACTTGTGCAAGAATTGGGAAGTGCTATTTAGTAGAAATGGAGGATGATGATACATGCCCAGCTGGTGATGTGTGAAGCAACATGTCCAAGTGTGCTAGGAAGGCTAGGCCTACCTCAGATCTTGATGGAATGAGGGACATTCCATACAAACAAAGAGGAGATCTGAGGACCCTATCAGCAGCAATGAACATCCCCAATTCTACCTTGCACCATCTTGTTTGGCATTGAACAATCAAGAGATACAGCTGTACATTGAATCCTTTCCTAAAAGAAGCAAACAAAGGATTAGATTTGCTCAGTCTCATAATGATCCAATGTATGACAAGGTACTAGTACATGTTGATGAGAAATGGTTTTTCATGAAGGAAGTAACAAGCAACACCTAGTATCTACTTGATGAAGAGCTTGAACCAGTTTGCAAGACACCTTCAAAGCAGCACATCAAGAAAACAATGTTTCTATGCGCAACAGCAAGGCCCAGATTTGATTGTAGTAGGAATGCTTGGTTTGATGGAAAGCTTGGTATTTGGCCTACTATTGTGGAGTACAGACCAGTGCAGAGATCTTCTGTAAATTGACCCACCAGAGGTACAATTGAACCCCACCCTATTAAATGTCAATGAAGAGGTGTACAGGAAGCTCATGGTCAAGAAAGGTCTATGAGCAATTTATAAGAAGTTCCACAGGGGCAACGGAGACAATGCTAAGCCTTGTACACTTAACAACAGTGCAGCTGTGACAGCTGCAGTCAGCAAGAACAACTTGAATATTGTTGCAAAGCCCCAGCCACCAAACACTCCTGACTTCAATGTTCTTGATGATTTGGAATTTTTCAATTCTATCCAGAGGCTTCAGCACAGAAAGTGGTCTTCGAATATGGACACAGTGATTGCCAATGCGATCCATTGCTGCATTTGAAGAATCCAAAAGCGAGACTCTAAACAATGTCTTTTTGTCAATAGTGTGCAATGGGGGAGTCACTTGCTGTTGGATATGTATCATCATCTTTAGTTTCCTTGTATCATTTCCAAATTTTTGTAGAAGTTCTAGGGGAACCTTTGAATGCTTCAGCAGCATTCTTGTAGGCACCCTTAGCAAGTTTTCCATCCTGTTTATGATGTGGATGCAGTCTGTGTAGAATAGCTTCTTGTCTTTTATTGTTTTTATTGTTAGTCAAATTGCATCTCAAGAGAGGAGTTACAATAATGATGGTCCTAGCAGCAGGAGGAGGCTGCAACTTGCTTGGTTCAACAAGGAGATCTTTTGCATCTGTCGTTACTGTAGCCATCTTGTGGGTTGGTATGTGTTTGCTTTAGAAAGGAGCAGCATTCAATAAGGTGAGAGAATGAAAAAAGTAGCAAGATGAACAGCAGAACAATGTAATATGACTTTTTTTAAAATCTGCTGGTAAACACTGCCCTTCTCTGCAGGCATTGGCACTGTGCCTCACCCTTCTAAAATATATGAACCCTGATGCCAGCAGACAGGGGTGATAATCTATCCTGGGGGGATGCAGCACTTTGAATTTGTCAGAAACTCACATTCCTTTCTTGGTGCTGGGACAAAAATTTTCAGTCGGAGAAGTGATGATTTCTGATATTTCCTCATTGATGTTTTTGTAATACTACTATTACTAGTACTACTAGTAGTAGTAGTAGTGGACTAGGAAAATTTTCAATTTTTTCCAATTTTCAAACTTGAATGTCTGTAGCATGCCTCATATTTGAGAGTCAAAAGTATGCACCAGTTTTTGTTTCTTATTGGTGCTGGTGGAAGTATTGCTGTCTGCCAGCAACACCAGCATAACCAGCAGTGCCACCACTACTAGCTAGTACTAGCACCACCATTCCAGCACCAAGAGGAAATTTGAATTATTGCTCCTGTTGTTGGCAGTTCCGGTAGGGACACAAGCAAAGACAGCAAGGCTGGTGGTGGTGGCACTACTAGTACCTGCTAGTACTGCAACAGCTTCTGTTACTCCTACTGTTGCTACCACCAGTGCAAGTTGTCTTCTTCCAATAGACTACTAGTACACAATACTGCTGGTGTTGCTTTCCCCTGTTCTTGTCACCAACATCATGGTGGCCTTTTTTCAATGGTAGCATAATATTGCTACATCCAGTACTTTTTATAGTTGCTGAACAATAACTTCTACGCCAGTTGTCCATCTGGCCATTGAGCATGAAAAAGTGTGCCAAAGAACAGCAGGAAACAATAACAAGAATTTTGTTTTGGAGCACAAAGATTCTCTTCCCATTTGTTTCAATAACAAGAAATAAGACAAATAACAGCAGCACCTTGCTTGCTTTCTCTTTCTCCTTTTTGCTGAATGCAAAACTATGTTTGATGTCAGGCCTGAAACACATGAGGATAGAATGTTCTCACAAAAACAAGAGGAATTGTTGAAGTCAGAGGAGGATAATATGTTTTGGGGGCTAGTATATTAGTAGTGCTGCTGGTTGTCTTCTGTAATAGAGGCTCTAAGCAATACTGATGGCAACAGTAAGAAGAACCGTAAAGAAAATTGGAGAGTTCTGTCACTCAGGCCACTACCTTATTATCATCTGCATTTCTAGCAATACGGCTTTCAAACAAAAGAAGGGGGCCGGGTGGTGGTTACCGTCTACGTAGAGGAAAGGAAAGAAGATGTACGCGATTGAATGACCCTTAACACAATGGCTAAGAACGGTTTTGGAAATAAAACTATGCTGGATTCACCTAGTTTCATAAAAAATAATGTGATGCATTTCTTAGTGATAAGTTCCAGTTAATTACGAAGTAACTGATATCTTTGATCTCGAAGAAAACATGACCGAACCAAATCGATACCTTTATTCCATTCATTCTCCATATCGTTTTGATTAATCGCAGTGAAACGTCATGCAGTTTTCTCCCGCAGTGGTCAAGCACTGAAGGAATCAACACCGTGTCACTATTCGACAAACCAAAATCCTTCGCTTAGGGAGAGGCCTTCTTATCGAGTCGGACCTCAAGGGTACCTCCCATGAACTCGACACCGTTTGCCAACTCAATGGCCCCATCCGCACTCGCCTTCTTGAAGAAACGGACGGTTCCGAATCCACCCTTCTTGAAAACATCGGCGCGCTTGACTTCACCGTATTGCTGGAAGAAATCCTTGACCTCGCGCCAGGTGCAATCCTCGGTAAGACCACCAATGAAGACTTGGGAACCAGGTTCCTCTTCCTTATTCTCGGAGCGGGGACCCCGGCGACGTCCACGGTAGTTGTCACAGTTGCCACCGCCAACTCCAGTCACGTTAATGGCAATCAGCTTGTTGGGGTTCTTGGGATCTTCAGTGGTTTCGAACTCGACCTGCGATCCTTCCGCCAAAGACTTGAAGCCATCGGAGGGATCCTGCTTGATGTTCGAGTAGTGGACCAAGAAATCCTTGCCGACCTCTGCATCCTGACCGTCGGGGGTGATGAATCCGATTCCTCGGTGGTTCAACCACTTGGCAACGGTGCCAACTTGTCTGGTGCTAGATTCACTCATCTTCTTTCTTACTATTAGCTTATAGTCTTCTACTACTATATTTCTTCTTAAGTTGATAGGGTCGAATAACTACCGTACCTAACTTCTCTCCTTCTTCTCTCTACCTGCGTTGATGTTGATTGATAACACTCGAGTTATGAGCACCGCAGTAAAAAACAATATTATCAGTTCCTTTTCGACTATCGTAGAAAGAGCATGCAAAGCTGAGTAACGAGAATGACCAACAATCTATTTTTTCCACGGCTAAGATTTTTTCTCGCCACAAAACTAAAATACCTGTGAAATCTGTACCGTGTTGTACGGTGCTGTTGAGAGCAGTACTGAACTTTACGGCATCGCCATTCCCTCTAGCTGATACCATAGTAAGTAAAGGTACAGTACTTCGTACTCATTTTCGTACTGTAAGACACAAAAAGACGAGAAGGGTGGACTTCGGTGGTTGTGGGTGTGGCATGGTGATGCTTTTGCGCGCATCTTTGTGCGAAAGAACATGACAGAACCCTGAAAAACTTCAGCGACAGATGTTGATGGACCTATACGACTCAAATGTTCAATTTTATTTTTGGGGAGAACAGGACGATATTTTTTTCATTCCCGCATCGACGTATCACTTTCTTTTTTAGGCCATTTCTTATTTCTTATTGGAGTACGTACGAGGTACTCCACTGCAGGTTCCGCATCCCACCTTAGGTAATGAAACTTCTATCCATTCTGCTCTCTGATAGGTTCCTGCAAAGAGTACCGTAGGAACAGTACGGGGATCACTCGTGGATCCAATCGTGAGTCCCCGGGACCCAAAACTATATATATATATATATATCGATCGAAAACTACTAGTACTATTAGTACTACACGAGTACTATACATATATATATATATACGAATCGAAGCATCACTACATACTAATACATACAGATCTGAATACAACTGTATGCATACTATACTTCCTCTTTACTAATTCTCAGAACGAGAATTAGAATTCAGAACAGAACTAATCGATTGGGAGTTCTGTTCTAAAGTCWCTCAGTACAAGCAGTACCGAGTTCTACATCATCCGAGAACTCAGGAAAGGAACACACACTTGACTTGTACTGCTTGGATGTATATTTCTACTGTCGATTACATTACAGATTGCAATGAAAGGATTAGCACAACACGAAGGATCGTGTAAGTGGTGAATCCTTTGAGCAATTCAGTATATTCATTAGTTAGTCTCACAATACTAATTAGAGCAATCTAGTAATAAACACTACTGAAGAATACTACTACTACAAAGTACACGTTATTTCGTGCAGTTCCTTGCCAAGACCAGATAAGTGTTTAGGAAGGTCGACATGCTTACACTCAGAAGGAAGGAAGTGTCCTTTGTACTTCCCTGTACCTGCTTCAAACTTGGTACATAAAACGAGAACTGGGTGTGTGTCGACGTTGCGTCGGTAGAGTTCGTATTAAGGAGAGAGCACGCCTAAAAAAATTATCACCATGGTKGTGATTAATTTTTATTGGAAGGGTGTCATAACCTGTGGGAGAGACTGTCCTAATAGTGATGTAAAGTGTGTGCTAGTAGAAAAGTGAGTCGATGCTCTTATCGAGGATTGACGAACTATGAAATCTAGAATGGATCGCTGTGGGGATCAAGTGAGGCAAGTGAATGAGATGAGTCACGTCGATCATATGAATCCTAGGGGATCGCATGAGTCATATATGTATGGTGTGTATGAATCGTAGATACGTATAGTATGTACGTGTCGTATATATGAATCATACCCACGGTCTGATATCCTACGGACAACAGTTGTCCGTAGGATATCAACAAGTGTTTTTTTAATGAGAGTTTTCCATATCAGTATCGTAGCATCCTACGTACCAATTAGTACTACTAAATATTTCGATATAAAAATACTTAATGGTTTTTTTCAAAGTGAGACAGGTTCATGTTGCGAAGGCATATGAGGTGTATTGTTCTCTCCGTAAAAGTTGACTCCGGACCTGTCACCACCTCACTTGCCTTCCAACCTCGTAATTATTGCTCTTTGGTCGGCAGTACAGTATTCTTAATTAAACTCGAATCGTCATTGTACCTGTTTGACATTAGGAGCTCTCTTACTTATACTTGTTTCATCGTCATGACATTTCATCACACGTATGATTAATTGGTGTCCAGCTATTTTATCTAAAAATATACTTCGAGCCATCTCATAAGAAGATTTCATGGTATCACGAAATCCGGTTTCAATTGTTAAGAAACTCGTAGTACTGTATTAGGAAAGTTCAACAGTTGATAAGCATTTAGATTTATTGAGGAGCATCAAATTCATTGGGATTGCTTAAGTCAATCTACAGGGTTTTAACATTTATCATGTCCAACATGTTGTCGAACATGTTGGCGAACATGTTTGTCACAATGTCGAAAAGAACTTTGATGTATCTTTAAGCGAAGAGGTAACACGCAAGTCACCTGCTACTTGCGTTCGGATATAGTGGCTTTGTCATGATCGATATTTGCAAGCCAGTAACACGTAAATCACGAGCGTACGTGGTGCAGAATTCGGTGTAGAAAAAAAAATTCTCAGAGTCCTCTTGGCACTCTTCCAAGAGCAATGCGTTGCACGCGTTCGGATATAGTGGCTTTGTCATGATCGATATTTGCAAGCCAGTAACACGTAAATCACGAGCGAACGTGGTGCAGAATTCGGTGTAGAAAAAAAATTCTGAGTCCTCTTGGCACTCTTCCAAGAGCAATGCGTTGCACATAATTCCTGCACGAAGAAGCAATTGTTCGGACCATAATCTTACACCTACTCGTGATTTAGGCTCACAGTGAGGCTCAATTAATTTTGTTGTACACCTCATTTCTCAGCAACTTGGAAGAATGCACTACTGCAATGAAAACGAAGGGCATTTGCCCAATCCTATTGGCATAATGATGTTCATCGTCATTATCTTTGGCTTCGGCATCAAGTTTCTCGAGGAATATTGCTCCATCTTACCTCCTCCTACGAGACTTGACGATGAAAAGGGGAAAAAGGCGAGACGACCTGCCGTATACTTGCTAAAAATCCCTTTCGGACTTTTCACGTCATGTCTGCTACTGCCCAACTTGGTGGCGGTATACATTCCAAATTACATCCGGGCAGCGAACACCATGCTCATGTCCAATGCCAATTTCGAAGGAGAAGATCTTCGAGTCATCTTGCCTCCCGATGAATTCTCTCGCGTGTGCTACAGAGAGGAAATGGGTTTCTTGATCCAATGTACTCTGACGGCCGCTGAAATACTCGCATTTCATTTTGATTTACCAAACGTCGTCTGGGCGCATCACATCGTGGCGATGAGCCTCGCATTGGGGCGGCTTTATGCCTGGTGCTATCCAATTACTCTGATGTCGGATTGGCTATGGTTGGCAGTAGTAGTTCATTTGACCATCTATTCATTGAACTTTGTTCGGAGTTGCTATTCCTTCTTGCGACATTTCTTGACCCGAGAAGATAATTTGTCCGGAATTCCGACAATGAAACATCTTTTTCATTGTACCAATGTCGGTTCCTGGAAAATAATTGTTTCTGCGTACGCTTTTTCCTCAGTGGTTGCCGTTCTCAGCGATGGCGGGAAAACTGAACAGGCACTCCTGTGCTTGGCATTTGTTGCACCACTGTTTTATGGATCGTTTCAGGAAATGCGCCGGTGGAGATCTTCGTCCATTTCGGATGGTTTCCCGACAAGAATGTTTGTGCAAGTCACTGTCGAGATAATGGTTGGGTTGTTCTTGGGACCCATTCTACTATTCCTTGACTTTCTTTTTCCCCATGCGATGAAGAAATTTAGCAAGAAGACTTCTCACAAGAATACAGCCGGAGGTGTTGTTGCACTTCGTGCACTTTGTAACGCGTCCTCGGATTCTCGGCTGCACATCGATGATCCCTATGCCATTCGGTTTGTCCAAAGGGGTGTTCTCCATATAGTTGTCAAAAGCGCTGTCTTGCGATACCTCATGACCCTCAAACTAGAGGTCCAGCACCCTGGTGCCTTGGGTCATCTCATTACAAGGACCAAGACCATTGACGAAATCATTTTGGATTTGACCTCCAGAAAGAACAAGCCCGTGCGTCAATTGGTAATTTTGGGAGCGGGCTATGATACCCGAGCATATCGATTGAAGTCTCTGAAGGATGTTCTTGTTCTAGAAGTTGATCAGCCCTTCATGTCCAGTGAAAAGCAGGAAAAGTGTGCGGATCTCAAGCCTCTCTGTAAGGAGCTTGTTCACCTCTCGACGGATTTCAACAAAGAGAGCGTTGCAGACGTCATGAATGGTTGCGACAAATTCGATCCAAAAAAACCTACGCTCTTTCTCTGGGAAGGTGTACAAGTGTATCTATCGGATGATAGCGTTGACAAGTAAGTGCAAGAGAAGCATAGATTGGAGTTCAGAATTGAACTGTGCACTTTGTTCCTCATTGTCATTTTGTTGTTGTTTTCATCATTGCAGAATGTTCGCCAGCCTCTGTACTTTGGGCCAAAAACTGCTGGACCCCGCACACTATCTTTACTTTACGTTCAGCGACAAAAAGCTCATGACTCCAGAAGGTCGTAAGAGCATCTATGGCGGAGAAGAATTCTTTGAATACGCGGGCGGTATTGGTGAGAAGGTCGAATCAGGCATCGACCCAAACGGCATCAAGGACTATCTACTGACTCGGGGCTTTGATATTTATAATTACAGTCCACGCTCTGGCCTTTCCGGTCACATGACACCAAGTCAAAAGCAAGATATGTATCTATCCAATCATCCATTCATTGTCCAAAGCGAAGTCTTCCACAGCGGTCTCATTAAGAATGTTGCTTTGTGGACAGACAGCAAGATCGTTTCGTGATTGGGTACTCGTAATTGTGCGCAATGTTCAAGCAAACGAAGCAGGAACTGTTGAGGGACAGACGTTTGCGCACGCGTCCACCGATACAAAAGAATTTATGAATTTATGAATACATGTCATGGGGTAAAACCCCAGATCAAAAGTACAGAGATACATCAGAATCCCAAGGGTTTTCTGGTATTGTCTCATACTTTTCAATTTATCTAAGCAATAGGGAAGAATTTACATATTTGATACCTTTCTCTTTAAGGTTTCGTGTGCTCAATGACATAGGAGGCGTACATCAACGCGCACATCAATTCAACAGGAACCATGTCGATTTCGATGTTTCTGGAAAAAATTAAATTCTCCGGTCCCCTTTTTTAATTTTGTGATCGGTTTTGATCACAAAAAAATGTGATCAGAAATGATCACAAAAGTGATGAAATTCTTGATCACAATTTTTTGTGATCAGTTTTGATCACATTTTATTCCAACAGATTAGAATTAATATGTACTTCATTATTTCATGAATATTTTAATTACATATATATATATATATATTCATATATATAGTGATATATAGTCATATTAGTAGCACGTCAGGTCAATTCTTAATAGGGCATATTGCTATGTTCTTGGTACAGGACTGGTCTACTACTAGTACTACTAGTACAAATGTGTAAAAATACTGGTATGATTTATATGAGGATATTAAAATATCGTATAGGCTTGGCCAGCAGATGTACGATAATATCGTACATTTTTGGCCATCTTTTTGCGTGTAATGACTACTTTGACTAAAAATTGTATACATACGAAATCCACGTGCTCAGTACTCCTCATACGTAATCGAATTTTTGAATCCCACCAAAATAGTTTCGCGCACGTGCAAAATAGTTTTGCTTGCACGTGGACGTCGCAGGCCTGGTACAAGTCAAATTTTTAATCCCACGAGTCATTACACGGTAAAAAGATGGCCAAAAATCCCCGCACAGTACAAAAAACAAGTAGGGCAATAAGAGAGGTTCAACTCACTCGAACAGCTGTAACTTTTCGCCCAACGGACGCTTAAGTATGATAAGCACATGGTTGAAAAGAGAATTCAACGAGCTTTCTAATGGCGTRKGKGAGWAYGGCGTACGTTGAATATTGATCGATATACATGTACGTATATCCGAAATTTTCGGCCGGAAACGCGTGGCCCACGCTATACGATAATATAAAAACGGTACTAGTAGAAATTATACACATATAAGTTTGAATTTGTGATCAAGATTGATCACAAAAAACTGATCACAAATTTGTTATTTCTGATCACATTTTTTTGTGATCAAAACTGATCACAATTTTTGGTACCAGGAGGGGGGCGGCCTTGGAATCTAATTTTTTCTAAAAAATGAAATCGACATGGTTCCAGATGTGAGGCAATACCACATAGTAAATCACGAGTGAATAGTGAGTGACAGCAAACAGCACACCCACTCAACTCACTCTTTATTGTAAACACGTAGTTATCGTATAGCATGGGCCACGCGTTTCCTGCCGAAATTATCGTACATTTTTGAATATCTTATATACGTCGTACATGGATATCGATCAATACTTGTCGTACGCCGTAGTACGCTGTACTCCCCCATGCCATTAGAAAAGCTCTTTGAATGAATTCTCTCTTCAACCATATGTTTATCACACTTGTTAAGCGTCCGTTGGGGACCAAAATAGCTGTTAGAGTGAGTTGTACCCTACTTACTGTCCTACGTGTATTTTGTACTGTGCGGGGATTTTGGGTCATCTTTTTATCGTGTAATGACTACTTTGACTCAACCCCCAACCGACAAGCTGCTCACAAATTTGGCCACTGCACGAGATTACATGTACTCTTAGTAGGAGTTTTAAGTGTGAATAAAATTGAATTACAAGATTAGAATTAATCGAAGGAGATTACCAAGTGCATTCACAAGAATTCCGAAGTTCTGATTAGATCCTCATGTAGATCTGGTACTGAATGATGTACATGAGGATTCTCCTATTCCGGACTTGTGGCATCTTTGTTCTTCGCAAGGTGTTCTTGCTCTCGATCTCGATTCTACCTCGTAATTCTTAGACCTCTCGGTACAATGGATCGTATGATATATGTATGAATAGTACCTTATGATATGTAGGTAGGAATGGTATGTCCATCCATTCTGAGGGAGCATCGTATGTACGTATGTTCCCAATACAGTATGTATGTATACTCCCGATACAGTACGTACGTATCCGTTGCAGCCACTAATCGTGTGAACTCATATCTTGGCAATTCCACTCCTTGATACATTTTTTCTGTTTCCAGTTTATCAGAAGGAGGAACTGTGTCCAATGCATTTCCCTGTGCTTTTAACACAATGTATCGATCCCATTTCTTTCCTCTTAAAATCGATCAAGAACAATACATCCTGTGACCGACAGCACCCCTGCTAAGTATGGAGGATACTGCAAAAAGTAAGCAAAAACAGCATAATAAGCAAAATAAGCAACAGCTACAGCAACAGCAGAACAAGCAAGATGAGCAACTCAAAACGCCGGATTTCCTAGTGGAAGACCTCCATAAGGATGTATATCGACACTACCCCACAAGCTCCCCAGACTCAGTCCCTCCACAACCCACGGGAGCAGTCTTGTTTGGTTGTCTTCATCCAAAGCAAAGAGTGAAGTTAAAACAGAGGAGAGCAAAAACAAAGAAGGCTAGACACCAAGCCAGGTTGTTTGTTTACAAAGGACCGAAGGCCTGTGCTCGCAAGCACTGGTTGCCACGTCGGAGGCTTGCAATCGTAAAGGGCAACATGGAGATGAAGTGGTATTCAGCAACAAAGGCAAGGGAAGCAGCAGAGTTAATAAAGCAACAACATATCAATCCAGGCCTTGGATGGAAGATACTGATCATAATGGATACTTCCGTGTCTCCCCCTGAAGCTCCTGAGCCCCCGTTGCCAGAAATAATCAATGATCCATCCCCGAAACTACAGTTTGTAATGAATCAAGACTGGAAGTGGTCAGAGGATTGGAAATGGGACACCATACAACAAAGAGCTGAATGAGACCTGTGCTGGTTGTTTGAAGAAGACCTGCCTAAAGAAGAAAGATCTGGGAAAGGCAATTGAGTTAGCTTGATTCTGAAAGCCAGCACTGTTGCCTCCATTGATGAGTGTCGGTGATAAACATGAGTGGTTCTTTGAGATTTACAGGTCTGTGATGAAGAGGGAAAACAATATAACCCCTGCATTCAGTGTGCAAAAGAATTTGCCTTTGATGAGTGGGGACATCCTATGTATGATCAAAGAAGCTTATCCTTTGATCCAGCTGACTATGAGGAGATGAATCATACGGAGGAGGAGATGGATTGTGAGAACCAGCAACCGAATCAGCAACCAAATCAGCAACCAAATCAGCAACCAAATCAGCAACCAAATAAGCAACCAAATAAGCAACCAAATAAGCATCCAAATGAGTGCACTATTCTTATTTAAGGACGAAGGAAGCAACCGAATGAGCTGCTGATACAGAGGAGTTTGCAGATACGTAGTTTGCTGATACGGAGGAAGCAACCAAATGAGCTGCTGATGCGGAGGAGTTTTCTGATACGGAGTGAATGAGGAACTGAATGAGCTGATACAGATGAAGTGACTGAATGAGCTGCTGATGCAGAGGAGTTTGCTGATGCAGAGGAGTTTGCTGATACGGAGGAGTTTACTGATGCGGAGGAGTTTGCTGATATGGAGTGCATGAGGAACCAAATGAGCTGATACCGATGAAGCGACCAAATGAGCAACTGAATAAGCAACTGAATAAGAAGCAATATAACTAGTATTTCATTTATTACACTGATTCTAATGGTCCAAGGGCTGCGCTTAACTCAGTTGTACTATCAGCAGTTGGTAAAGTTAGTTCACTGTTAACAGTGGTGGTGGTGCTTGGTGAATCAACAATATCAAGAACAGTAGTGTTCTCCTCCTCATCCTCAATATCCAACAAGTATTTCATATACTCAGTGTTATCTCTCAACTCTTCATTGGTTGGAGGCTTCCAATTCTTCCTGTCCTTTGAGGATTTGTCATTTCTAACTCTTGAGCAGTAGTCACTTCTTCCAAGCCCAAACCACTAATAATTGTGGTAGTTACTGTGACAACTTATGGACTGGATCTCTGTTAGAATCCCTTTTCCTAGAATTGGTGCTTATGGTTGAACATAGGGGGACTTTACATAGTCTACATAAGCTGTAGGTATTGCTACTGCACATGTAACAAATGTTCCTGCTCCTTGACTTGGTGGGCACGTACAGTCTGTGTGAAGCAAAATCTTCCATTAACTTGGTTCTCTGCAATCGTTTGCAAATTGTGATATGCAAGCAGCTTGCCATTCCTAAGGAATGTCTTGCATGCTTTTCTTCTAGTTGCCCTACCACTTCTTAACCTTTGTGTTGCTTTTGTACACTGCCTAAGCCTATCATCACAGTTATAGGCCTGCTCAACTGGATCATACCTAATCATCTGCAAAACAAGCCTTTGACGAAACTTGCGATAGCTCATAATGTTGTTTACCTTCCACTCATCACCAAGGCTTCCATCAGTACACTCTTTGTAGATATTGTAAGCAGTAGCAATTGCCAATGCCTTTGCATGGTTGATTGCCACATGATAGTATTTCCATGATTTGTAACCAATATTTGTTCTAGAGATGTACACATCTATATGGTCCAGTTTTCCATACGAATAAAGATAAACCTCACGAGACTCATTCATTTCAATGCCCCATATCCTCTTGTCTTTTCCCCTTCCCCGTTCCTTCCAATGAATATAAAAGGATGAAGATGAAATAGAGTTGACTGAGCCTAAGTTGCAGGCTCCTGTGCTCTGGAATGAACAGTGGACTCGTCTGTAGGCTCTCGTCCCCTTGTCCAAATCTGCTGGTACAGTTTTCACAGCAGTTATAGGCTTAATCATACGGGATGCCTTTGCTCGTTATTTTCTATTTGAATCCCCTGTGGCATTCTTCTTATGAAAGTACTTTCCAGGAACCTTTGCTGGCAGCCTGTTCTTAGCAACAGTTCCCATCATACCCAACCCTTGTTCACMAATCCAATCCAAAATGGAATCTGATACAAAGAAATTGTCTGCCGTGATATGAGGTGGCAATCTCCAAATCTTGCCAGGACCTATGTTAGCAAGAACAAAGTTCTCAACTAGGTGATGATGCACTTCAGCTGGGCCATTGCAGGAATGCCTATCATCATCGGGTTTCCACTCATGGTATGCCCTTGGACAGATTCTATCAACATTAGACATTAGGACGGTTTGTCCACCCCTCGTAATTATCTTTCCTTTCAAATAGTTAACAAGTGGACCACCAAAGCCTTGATAGGGCCGGCTTGTCTCGTCGATACATAGATCCAAGCCAGCATACTCCGTGAAGTAATTCGTGTTATTCACAATAGTCTGATGGATGTAGCCAAACTTGTAAGTTACCCTACCACTGTTCCTTTTGACATCGTTCTTGCATAGCTTCAAATTTCTTTTGATTCCATGCCACCTTGTACGTGTCATTGTATTCGCAATGTCCTCATTAAATGAGAGACCCTTTGCATCCTATCCATGCAGGAAAAGGATCCCATCAAAATGAACTGCTTCAGGTAAGCTAACAGGTTTGACTTGGTGTCCTTCCCCTTCATTTGAATCCATGATGTACACATTTGTATATCTCATCACCTTGTTGTAATACATAAGCTTCTTCTCCGGTTCACTGTGGTACCGCTGAGAATCTGCTGTGTCAGGAGCAATAGGTAGGAGCAGCTGGTAGAAAAAGAACGCATCTCCATTTTCAATATGGTCCTTCGTGAGCCCATGCTGCTGAAGCTTGTAAATATCAAACTTCCTCTTCCTCTCATCTGGAAACATGTTGTCTCTAGTAGCAAACTTCCTTGCAAACTGGTTGTTAGGATCCTCCACTGCAGGTTCTGCATCCCACCTTAGGTAATGAAACTTCCATCCATTTTGTAAAATTATTAAAAATCATACCGTCCCCTGATATAAACCTACTTAGACCAACATTTCCTAATTTCTTGTTTTCTTCCTTCGCCAACAGTCATTTCACTTCAGTGAATTATTCATTTTTTAGTTTTTCACTTTTCATTTTTAAGTTTTTCTGCTGTCCCTTTTTTTATCCCTATTACCGCTGTTATTACCGCTGTTTTCAGTTGCTCCTTTTATGGTGTGGGGGTGTGCCTCAATAATTACACTTCATCATCCTCCTTGCCACACGCTCCAAATTACCTCTTCGTTCTTTTTATTTCCAATCATGGTCACGACTGCAGCAACTGTCCTTACTATTTGACTCTGGCACCCATCCTCCCTTGAACAATACAGGAAGAAACTTGTACCTTTTGCTTCTTGCTCTACAAAAAAGGGTGCCCTGATTAAGGACCTTCAATCATACTGCTTCAATCATTACGGTATCACATGGGAAAACCTAATTTGAGGTCTCGCTCTTTCCAGTGCGAATGTTGTGAAAATTTTTATATAACTGTAACCAGGTTATCAAAGGATGACAGTAATTGGATTCTGACACCACAGGAAGTTTCTGATCTAGAAACTCACAAGCATCCACTAGACTATCCATCCACGTCATATGCTGATGTCCTTCTCCACTTCCCCCCCCCTCCAACTGCTGTTTCTTCAACAAATATATCTTTTTCACCCCTTTCAGTCTTCAATGAAAAACCCAGATTTGCTAAATGCATTCTACACCAAAGAGAGCGGTTTTGTTCTGAAAGGAAAGACTAAAATGTCTTTCACCGTTTGATTTGGAAATGTCTGAACTGCTTGTTACAAGTACATTCAAATACACAATCTTCCTTGGCACTATCGGACTTTGTCTTATTATTTGCAAGCATTAGTGGAGACCAACCCATCGATGACTGTGGTGCTCCAGGCTGACTCTTCCGATCGCTTCTTCCAGTGCTTCGTTGCAACACCCATCGCCTCACCTGATTTTTTTGGTACCTTAACGGCACCTGTTTTTGTTGGCAATTGCTATCATTTCAAAGAACCAACTTGCGATGGTGTTTGTTTTGTGCTTGTTACGAAGACATCGTTCGGTCAGATTATACCACTTGCCTAGGCTCTAATTCCACTAGAGAATACTTCCCATCTATCCTGGGGGGTGTTACAAATGGTGTGTTGGAAGCATGGTTTATGTGTGCACATACACACCTTTTTCACCGACCAAGGACCACCGGTGTCCACTTTCAAGGTTTTTTTCCGAAAGTTTTCCATATCCTTCCATATGTCACTTTGCCTCCAGCAAGGATATTTTCCCAGTGGTTACTGGACAATCACCTAAAAAGCATTGGATTTTGGTGTCCAGTGTCCCCAGATTGTAGAACATACAGGGGATGATTTTGTTGTTAAGTTGTTCCTCGCAGGGGCCACCGTGACTCAGATGAAATCACTTCCTCCTCATCTGAAAAAAAAGCCGACAAAGGACAGATTGCCCTATTACAACAAGATTGGGAAAGGCGTGGTGCATGATGGATTGACGTTTAGCACAGGATTGCTCCAAAAACACAAAGATGCATTTAATTCAAAACCGGGAACACCATTGGCAAATGTGGTCTGCATATCAAGGTTTGTTCGAAAGAAGCGGTACACTGTTGTTTTCTACAGACCACTTCTTTGAGATGAATAAGACGGACTATCGCGAGGAAGTAATGCAACTTTTATCATTTCTCTCCTCATAATTTCCAATTTGGAGTAATTCAATCGATTCACCATCGTTGTTTTCAAGCTAAGAAAGTTTACTGTTTCGACCATGTTGACCTACGCCAAGCAAGCCATCAACTTCGCTCGAGTCTACCTCAGCGTCACCCGCAAGGATATGCAGTTCTACGCTTCCCTTGACGAGTGTGAAGTAACCCCAACCCCAACTTGAAGAACTTGACCTCGGAGGATCTCCAGTTCGAGAATCCTCGAGTCGTCTCGTTCAAGACCATCGACAACAAACCTGCCCCGGAAACCGAAACAGAGAGTAAGTCCAACATGCATGCATGCACAACCTGTTTATTGCTTTATCTTCCTGTTGTATCTCACCATTTTCTATTTTGCTTTTTCAAATTCCAAACACAGAAGTCTCTACCGTGATCCCCAAGTCCCTTGTCCTCAAGAATGACGACAAGCGTGCTGTTCCAGTCGAGCCCTCTCCCGCCAACAACGACCTTGTTCTTGATACCAACAACGAACTTGTTCTTGCTGCCAACGACGAACTTGTTCTTGCTGCCAACAACGAACGTGTTCGTTCTGCCGGTGATGCCTTTGGCCTTGCTCCCTCCGAGCTCGCCACCCTCACCCGAGAGCGTGTACGGGAACGCTTCCGCGAGGCGGTGTTCTCCTACCATCCCGACCGAAACCCAAGCAGCACCACGGTCCAAATGCAGGTGATTCGCGACGCCAAGGACATTCTCCTTGCCGCATGTGACGGAAACATTCCCGAAATCGAGAATGACACCACTCCCGTTGCTTTGATTGCGAACGACGTTTCTCCTGCCTGCACCAAGGCCAATGCCATTGTCCCTCAGATTACGAGCGGCATTGCCATCAAGAACGAAGCCGCAATTCAGATTGCGCAGACCAATGTCCCTCAGATTACGAGCGACATTGCTCTCTCCTGCCCCAAGACGGCCACCGGAACCAAGCTCCCAGCCTCTCTCGAAGCATTGCAGTCTTTGCAATTGCAGAAGCGCGAGACTTCCCTTGGATTCTACGAGAAGAAATCTACCAAGCGACCTTTGCCTTTCCCTGTTGGCTACGAATTCAAGGATAGTGGTAAGCTTTTGCGAAAAGGGATAAAGAGAAACGTATTTTTGGGGAATTCTACCATTGAACCGTGCAAATTTCCAACTATAGCATTGATCGGATATACCAGTAACAGCAACAACAAATCTGTTTTCTACGAATTCAAGGATAGTGGCAAGCGTTTGCGAAAAGGGATAAAGAAAAAAAACATTTTAAAGCCTCAGCCCGCCATCAAATTCCGATAGTCATCCAAATAGTGAGGGAAATTTAGTTACAGACGCAGAAAAGAAAAACTGCATTGTCAATGCAAGTAAACAGAGACTGTTACACCGATCACTGTCCACAAATTCATCGCATGGAACAGGAACTCTACCCGGAACAAACCTCCCGACCGTCGAATACGTTCGTGAAATCACGGACAAAGACATCACAACACACGAACAACCGTGTGGCCGAAAGAAGAGGGCCAAGCGAATACATGAGGAAAAACTTGATACAGACGCTGACGAGATCAATGAGGACGATAACAGAAGCAGCACCGGTTTCAAAAAGAATGCTCTTCTACAGGAAACAGACACAAATAGTGATCAATCAAATCAACCTTCATGTGCAATCATCGGTGATACCAACGACGAAATATCAGAGGAGGAATCGGCAAGCCAAAAAGCATTCCATACCAATCAGAATCCACATGGTTCTCTAGTTCCCTTTCCTCTTTCAATCGTTCTCCCCAGACAAGGAGACCTGGTATGGGTGATGCAGGGCAAGACGGAGCACATGGCCATCTACGTCGGAGAACTACGCAACAGCACCGAGGGGGTAGGATACGAAGAGGTGAAGGTCCGTTGGTCGACCAATCGTCTCGCGCAGTATGTGCCGTTACGGAGTGTCCGTGTTTTCGAAATGGGCACCAAGCGGGGAGCGAGGAAGCGGCGGGTGCGGTCATAAACGTGGAGAAAAACGATCAATCTGCGTAGCTAGAACCCTTCGTTCTTTTTTGTGTGTACGAATTCCCGATGACAAAAAGAAACATTCAAAGAAACGAAATCAAACAAGGAGAAGAAGGCGACGAGGAGGCTACATTTCTTCAGAGGCGATAAAGTGACAGTTGTGGAGAGTAGTAGCAAAAGATAGATCAGTTTGATTCCATTTCTTGTTTTGTGCGGCAAGACTCACTCAAGGTTGAGAGGCGCTTGTAGTACACATAGCTTCGTGCACGTCTTTGCAATCGCTTTGCACAAATTTGTATTATTAAGCTGATAAGGACGAAGTGAAAGAAGGAAATTAAATTGCGTTGCTGTTGAAAATGGAATCATTACAAAACTACACCACTGTTTAGCTCGCTACAGAGTATAGCGTCGTTGAAAATAAATGTAGAAAGCAAGATTTGATTTTATTTGATTCGATTGGGTTGGGTTGGGTTGGCCGTTTCCATTTTTCGGTATGCCATGCACTCATTTTGGAATTGGTCTTTGTTTGTCAAGTCGGGCGGCGGTAGACGGTGAATAGATATATGCGGAGGGTCAGGTGCTTGCATGTCAAGCACCGAGGTGAAGAAAGGAACGAATGCACATGTTACTTTTATTGTTGTTGTGTTCAGAGCATAAGTTTCTTTTCTTGCTGTGACCGGCCACTAGATGGAATATTTTGGTGGACGTGCACTCGTGTCGCTTGAGATAGGGTTTACTTTGCCTCTGGGGAATGGAATATACATGTATTTACATTTGAAACATGCCTTCTCAGTAATTTTTGAGAAGCTTACGACTGTGTACGAAATGGTTGGGTTCAGCACCACTCGTTGCACTCCCAAGTATCGTCAACCATACCGTCGCCACCGCAGTGGTGCCCCTCCGAAAGGAAGATGGTGGCTGGCATAGTTGGATCTTGGTTTCCTTTTGGTGCGTGCTGTTGCTGTTGCAGCCGCTTTTGCTGCTTGTCGACCAGGAACCGAACATCGTTCAACAGGATTTCTGTCGCCGTGTGCCCAACGCCGAACCACTGGTGGCAGATCTTGAGGGCCCATGAAAGATACACCATTGCCTCCTCCAATCGACCCTGTTCGTATAGGAACCAGCCGTAACTATGGTAGGTATCTGTCACACAGGGGTGCCCATAGCTCGGGAAGTTATCGTTGTCGTCGTTACGATTGCTTCGGCCGATGGATTCTTGGATGCGAATGGCTGCCTTGAACAGTGCTTCCTTTCTTTCGTTCAGCGATAGCTCTTGCTTTCTCCTATGGGTAGACCTCCTAGAGAAGTTTCTGTCGTTGTCGCCGCTTTTGGGAGGTGCCACCATATCTTCGTCGTCGTCGTCGTCGTTATCGCAATCGCTTTCATCGTCATCCCATTCCATGTCAAGGGCTTTTTCGACGAGCCCAACTGCAATGTTCATGAGCCCTTGTTCCGCTTCTGTGAAACTGTATTGCTTGGCCACCGCATTGGTGTCCATCAGCACGTCGTCGTCGTTGTTTCCGTAGCAGGAGTCGCACCTGCATTCCTCAATCAAAGTGCTCTTACTGCTATTGGCGGTGGATCCATATCCCTGTTCGCGTTTGTAATCGCATTGGCAGTCGTCGCTTTCGTCTCTCTCTGTCGACTCATAGCAAGATTCGTCGTCTTCCATGTTGTCTTCGCGCATCATAATGAATGATCGTTCGGTCGCGGTGAAGACGGAATTGGGATTTACTGCATGGATATTCATAATTTTGGGAGTTTTTTTAGTACCTCAATTTTCAAGCAACTTATCTCACGTTGCGATGTCTTGCTGACTCTTAGGCGTGTGGAGTCCTTTGGTAGAAGTATTACGTATTAATAGTACTCGTACTTCCGTTTGGGATATTTGGGATATCTTGTGGTTTTGTGTTCACTTGTATTTTGTTACGATGGCAATCATCATCCTGAACAACAAAACACAGTACGTACTCGGTACACAATTGCATGTAATGCCGCGACTTTAATCGTAGTTTTTGCATAGCGCAAGAATTTCGTATTTAGTACGATTGCCGGGGCTATCTATTTTGAATCATGTCGTCGGAGTATGCGCAGCGTAATAGTGAATTGCTGTTCTGGGGTGTTCGCTAACTTACGTGGTAGGTTGAAACATCGTAGGTACAGTACATTTGTTCTTTGGTCATAATGAGCGCGTGCCGATCGTTGATACCAGTGACGCCTTTTTTACGTTCCCAACACTCATTGTATTTGGGCCAGTCATTGTGTTTGGGCGGAAGGGACAAAGGGCAATATATTTTGACTTGGGAATGGAGAAAGCAGGAAACACAGAAAATACTGAGGAGGGTGCTACAAATTTGGATTAGCTATGTGAATTTTTCAATTTTTTATCTTCAATATTTTGAAATAACTTCAACACTGAATATTCTTTATTTAGATTTGAAATGAAGGATCGTTCCAGATCGCACGGCATCGTTCAGTTACTCGGGACGATGATGCGATGATGATGATGATGATGATTCATTAATTCTGACTAATCGTCCGGTACTCTTTGTGAGGCAGTACCACGTAGTAAACCACGTAAATCACGAGTAGATAGTGAGTGAGCAGCAATCTCAACCACTCACTCTCACTCTTTATTGTAATCACCGTATTATACCACACTAAAGAGTACCCGTACATTTCGCAGGTTATCTCTTAGTTTGTTCCTTCGTTCGTTTGTTATTTCTTTAATCCTTCAGAGAAATTCTAATAATTCTAGTACAGTACCCACGTAGTACATCGTATTATGTATTACTTTGAATTTTTACTACTAATGAAACCTTGGACCAAAAAACTGGGTACGGTATGCGGGCTCGAATCCAACGCACTAAACGGCTTCAAAACTGTTTGCGCCTTGCGTGGCAACGGACCTCGAAACCAACCGATGAGTACCAGTACTTTAGGTCATCGTCATCGGTCATTGTCAACGAACTGCAAACATCATCAGTGCCCCCACTTTTTGTCTTGACTGAAGCATAGTTCTATAGAGGTCATTAAGAACAAATCAAGATCCCATAATATGCCTTCGAAAGATAGAATGGTCGGTATGTCTCGCCATTGCTTCTGGAAGTTGTGGTTGCCCCGATGCAGTCAACGGATTCAAAACGCGCGGTAATTCGTAGTAGTAATCATAGTCAGATTATCAGATTACTACTAGCAGGCAGGGTCAGTATCACGGGAATCTACACTTAATACTACGAGTACGTGTACGACTACGTACTGTTGGTATCCCGCGTCAAGGGGTTACGGGTGATGAGTTTTTGTTTCATTTGAGCATGATTTTTGATTTTTGTCTTCCGAGTTGCACGATTTGCACGATGCGAGTACCTTTGAGGTGAATTCTTGCAAACTTTGTACGGAAGGATAACGTCAAAGAAGCCTCGAGTGAGGGTCTTGGCTAATTTTACAAGAATCCCAGTGAATTCATTGGAAAAGTTTCTTCACAAAATGAATGCCGGCACCACGGATCCCATCTCTCTTCGCAACAGTTCCGCGATGGGAACAACCATGGGAACAACTTTGGTGTTCACGATGGGATCCAAGGTAGGAGAATGAGTTTTGTCAGTCCTCCACGCACGGCACCGCACTCGGAAGCAATGTGACATTCTCCCATTGCGGTAAGGGTATCATCAATTGTCTCGTCTGCAATACAAGAAATACATGTCAGACAAAAGCGATCATCTATACAATATTATTGCACCCGTGCAAGACACTGAATACGAGGAATGAACACAAAAGCAGCACTTACTATAACGATCATCTACCCTGCATACAAACGAGTCAGCCATTGGCTACGTACATTACGAGGAATACATACAGCATAAAATTATTGTTTCGAGACGATCATCTATCATTTATAACGCGAACAGCACGGGGTAAGCAAAGTACAAGGCGTTCGACACTCTGCCTGATTCTGGGTGTGATCATTGAACGGACAAACCGAACACGAAATTGCTCGGAAGACGGATCTGGCGGGGCGTAATCATCCAATGATCTCCGAAGCCTGACCCTTCGGCATGGAACGGCACACCTCGAATAACTATTTCTAATTGCATATCGGACACCGAGACAAAACAAAAAACAAGCAACAATTTTTCTTTACACGAAACTCCAAAAGAGTCCTTCGGATCGATTCGAACGGTTGTTGGTAATGTCGGGGAGGAGCAATTCTTTTGTTCCCTTGTTCGTCTCTTAAAAACAGGCGTACTTCGGTTAACTTCACGAATCATCACGGAACCCCACAGCCGAAGGAAAGCACTGTACTTTACATTCATAACATTATATTAAATAGCAACGTATAAAACCAAATCCGTTTCAAATTGTTGTGGTGCGTTATAATCCATGCTGGCGAAAACCATCTATCGTTGGTGGAGTCGTTTCGAATCAGAACGTACAATAAACAGAAATATAATAAGCATTAATACCAGGAACACCTTTGTCTGAAACGAAGGCCATCGCATTCATACGATTCATTGGCATTGCTGTTCGCCATTTCCGTTGGTTTCTCCCGGTCAAACAAACAAACCTATTGAGATGCCAGAAATCGGAAGATGCTACTTGTACTTTACAGTACTCTAGTCCAAGTACTATCTCACAACAAACCGTGCACCAAATTACCTACCGGAACGTCCGTTGCGAGTTCGAGTTGTAACAGATGGATGACAATGCATTCATAACTCGTGGATAGATTGATCGATCTCGCAAATTTAACGTGTGGCTCGTTTCAAGCAATTGGTATGTTTGGTTCCGAGCGTTCGACCGGGGACATTACCCACTCCATTTTTCTCGCCGTGATCATGCTTGCTTTTTGTTCCGTTCCGTTCCACTCCACCGCTCCGCACCAAACTACACGTCCAGCCCCTCCGCCTCCCAGAGGTCCGTCAGGACATCGATCATCTGCGGCAAAGGGACGTTCTTCGGGAACCGCGGGGGAACCAGGGACCGGGTCGAGCCGCTCGTCCTGGGGGGACCCCCCCTCCACCGCGGATCGAAAAGGACGTCGATGACCTCGTCGACGTCGAGCTGGACGGCCGAAAAGGAGGCCGGTGCCCTCGATGCCGGGGATCCGCCACCGGAACACCACTCACTCCGGGCCGCCTGCCACCTCAGGAGTCCTGGTTCGAAACGAACGAAACCGAAGCGAAACGCGGCAGGAATCAGCGCAAGAAACAAGAAAAAGACAATCCGCGAGACCCGGAAGCACAGCCGGCAGAATCAAAAACAGCGGCGCTCGCCGACTGTCTTTCCTCCAAAGAAAAACCAACCGACCCCGAACCACCCGGAAAGCATCGGTTTTTCTCGGACATGGATCTCCGTCGCATCGCATCGCACCACGTTGCATGTCACTCCGCTCTACTCCACTCACCGTTGTTGACAAAGGCATCCGGCGACGGAAAAGAATCGTTCGCTGCTTTGTGTTCGTTTGCGTCTTCCGACCGCGCATCTCGATGGGAAGGGTTTGTGGTCTCGTTCTTGGTTTCGCGCTTGTCCTCTTCCGAAGCCAGGACGACGGCTGCAGAGGAACCGGGGGACGCTATCTCTGGCTCGGCCATTCTGTTTCGTGTCGTGTCGTGTCGTGTCGTGTGATGCAGCACTGTACTAATCAAAGAGGAACTGCCTTTCTTTTGAAATGCGTTTCTGTTTTGCAGGGCTTTGGTTCGTGCTTGCTGGTTGTTTTGGGTTTGTTTCTTCCTGGCATGTACGGATTGTCGTCTTGGTGTGCGAAATGGTGTTGGAGAAGTACGAAGTTCGTACTGTGCTTCGTACCGGTTATCGTACCGTACCGCTGTGGCGAAATGCGAAACGGTCCAAGCATCAAGCATACTGTACCACGGAGGTACTCGTACCCTACGTACGTATGTTACCGTTCCCTGAAGTCGTTATAGCCCTTCTGCCCTACGTACCGTAGTACCGTATGGTACCCAAGTACTCGTACTTTTCTTTAGGTGCATCACAGCTATCAGGGATTTGCTTCAAATCCCTTGAAATCATTTGAAGGAGTAACAATACAATACACTAGTACCTATCTATTACTATATGATATTACTATATGATACGATATGTATATGGTGCATTCAAACCGAGTTATGGTGGAAGAACGAGTTCGAAAATACGACTATCATATTCTAACAGGTTATGAGTTTAAATAAAACGCGCCATTTTTTGTAGACCTCACGTGTGCAAAACTCGAACGTGAAGATACCAAGGTATGCAGCGTACCGGTATATTTTATATAAGCCACGAAAATTGGTTTTCACGACATATAATTGCCCGCGCATTTGATTCTTCAACGATAAAGATCATTGTTTCGAAGGATGTTCTATTTTCGTCCACAGACACCAATGCTGGAACGCTTAGGAACCATAATTTGCAGCAGAGACTTAGCTTGTGGTTCGCACACATCGTGGATTCGCCGGGTATTGTGATCATGATAAAAAAGACGTATGAATTAGAAGTGTACGGTACAGCTCCGTACGATACCTCCTCAGACACAAACTGATCGCATGTTGTCGGTGTGCAGTAAAGTACGACTAGTAATTGTTTTACGGAGGGATAGGGAAATAAATAGAAAAGCCATACTTGCTGTAAGCAAGGGCGGCCTAGCTGGCCTACAAGTCTAGCACTCTAGCTAACACTTAAGGGATATACTTCGTACTATGTACCATTCGAAAGAATTTTCCATAGAAAAAAACCACCCAACGATCCAGAAAAGCAATAGCGCGAACAACGTTCTCTCCGATTGCATACATTACTGTGTCGCCATCCGCAAAGGCATGTGCATCTCTGGCACGCCGGTGCTGAATCAAGCGGGAGAAAACTGTGAGCATCCGGACCCCTATCAAAGCAGAACGCACAAAACGGGGACTGCGACCATGTCCGATTCGGGATTGGGGTTCTTGGAGCACACGACGGCTCTTCCTACCATTACGAGGCACTCTCTCCACGGCCACAGCAAAGGAGACGAGTGGAGGAAACAGAGTGACGACAACGCAAGCGACAACGGCAACGGCAACGGCAACGGCAACGGCAACGGCAACGGCAACGACAACGACAACGACAACGAACACGAAACCAACACTAATACTAACACTAGCTTTTCCTGGATCGAACTGGACTTTTCCTGGGAAATCACCAAACCGGAATCACAGCAATCCAATGACAATGCGAACAACCCTGCCCATCTACAACCACCCACTTCACATTTGCTCGCCGCAGACGGTACCAAGCATGTAGATATCACCTCGGAGACAATGCTTCTAGACGACGATATCAGAAGTTGTTGCACGGACGACGACGACGACGACAACGACAACAAGTTGTGCAGCAGCTATCACTCGGAGCTCTCGTCCCTCGGCGAGGACAATGTCTCCTCCGTTGACGGTGGATTTGGTTGGCTTTCGTCGCTGGATGGTGTGCAACTGCCGGATCAATACGACGACGATTCCGCGCCTGGGATTTTGAACGACAGTGACCTGGATTCCATCATCGAGATTGGTGCATGTGGCCTTCTTTCTTCCGGAGAGGGGGAGGAGAAAGACGACGACGACCATGGGGAAGGCTGTGATGAGATCAAAGAGGGGGACCACCAGCACAAGGAAACCGAAACTGCAACTGCAACGGTCCGCAGCCGGTGCAGCAGGACCGTGGCCATTCATCACGAGCTACTTGGTTCCGAGGTCGAAACCACCACCACCACGAATCAAACAGCAACTCCCTGCAAACCAGAGAAGCACCCACCGCGGCGCAAATTGAAAAAGCAGTCGAGCTCGGGCGCTGCAAACGACACCAATGCCAATACCAGCAGCGAGCAGGACACAACGAGTGACAACGTCGAGGAGGAACTCTACGAGATCCTCTGCAGGGGGGCTGGCGAATCCACGGCAACAACGGCATCAAAGGGCAACGGGGACCAAGGCAGAGACGAAACAGAACCCGTCGGCAGCAAGCAGCCAGGCGGAGAAGAACCAGCACCGCAGCGAACCTCGTCCACTAGATCCAAGAAAAAGACCTCCAAGGCCGATCAAAATGCCACCGGAGAGATGGGCCCCAAACGCTCCTCCAAACCAAAGCCACAACGGCTTCGAAGAATATCGTCGATGCCAGAAAAGCGGGAGAAAGAAGACAAAACCAAAATCGCTCTCGGGAGCAGCAGCCTTTACCACACTACTTCCAAATCCAAACAAAAGCACCAGCGAAGAAAATCCATGCCCGAGCGGGAGAAAAAAGACAAAATTTCACTCGAAGGAAACGACAGCCCCCAACCTTCCAAACCATTGCAACGGCGTCGTCGAAGAACGTCGATTGACTTTGACCGGGACAGGGCTACGAAGCAGGAGGAAGAAGACGAAATGCCCCCAGGAAGTAGCCACAAAAAGACCAAATCCAGGCAACGACCCAAGCAACGAAAGTCCTCCTCCTCCAGTCGAAAGTTGCCGAGAGAAGACGTGGAGAAAAGAGAGGAGAAAAATGGAATCGGCGGACACACAGCCAGCACAAACGATAGCTCACAACGAAAACAAACGCGCCGCCGGAAACGATCGGAATCCAAGCAGATGATTCAGAGCGAGACCATCCCAGTGGACGAGGACGAGGACGAGGACGACGGCCTTACTGTGAGAAGTTCTCGCACCACGGAAGACATAGGCAGCTTCAAATCAAAATCCCTGCTCCGTGGAAAACGATCATCCCTTGCAAAAAGAACCACGAAAGAGAGCGACAGGGAAGATAGCGAGGTCCTCGACGATGGTTCGAAACAGAAACCAGAACTGTCTTCTAGGCGGAGCGCAAGAAATGGGGCTGCTGTGAAAGGGCCATCAGAAAGAGATGATCTGGGGAGCTGCCACACAAACGGAGACGTGAATCCCTTCAAAACAAGGCCGCTGTTTCTTCGGAGAAGATCGTCCTTCCGAAGGAGAATGGGCCAAGACAGCACCGACGACGATGAAGGGGACGAACTTGCTTCCGTAAGCTGTCACACCACCGGGAGTTTGCCTCTGTTCCGTCGGAGACATTCTACTTCCACGCGGAGAACCAGAAGAGACAGAAGAGCACAGGAGGTAGGGAGGATAATTTCGGAGAGCTCCCATACCCGTACATCAAAACCACTGTTCCGTCGGAAACAATCCTTATCCACAGAAAGAACGAAACGTGACATTACAAAGGAGGACGAAGGCAGAACCACATCCTCCGGTCAACACGCAATAGGAGATGGTATTAACGGCATCCTATCGAGAACACTGCTTCGACGAAAAAGATCGATCGCCAAAAGGAATACCACCAAAGAGGCAGACGCAGTAGAGAAGGCCAATGGCCCCGGAACAAAACAACCCCCTGAAAATAACGCGTCGTCCAAGGAAGATGAGGACGAGGCTGAAGCTGACGGAAGAAGCTGTCACACCACCGGAGATATCGCCGATGCTTCTAGCAACCGACAACAGCTGCGCCGGCGAAAGAAGTCACTTTCTAAACAAACATCGACAAAGGAGAACAACGGCTTAGTAGAAGCCGACGATGGGATTGCAACCCTCGGGAGCTACCACACGACCGGAGATATCCCAGATTCCACTAAGCGCAAGCAAAAGCTTAGACGGAAAAAGTCTGTTCCCCACGAGATTACCAGCAAGAAAAAAAAACCAAGCGTGTCGGTATTGGAACAAGATTCCAAATCGCTGGCGATGTCTGCATCCCTTTCGGGAAAACCGAAACGCATCTTGGGTAAGAGCAACCCCGTAGCTAATCCTGTTGCAAAACAAGTTGATTTTAACAGCCAGTCCGATGAAAAGAAAAACAAGGACACGAAATCTGCATCGAAAGATAACGAAGACCGCCAGACATTATCTCCGATATCTCTTGGGTCTTTCGCACAGCTTTCTATCACAGAAGTCCACCATTTGAACATCTGTGATGACGAAGATGGAGCAACTGCTCTTCCCAAACCGCAGGGCATTGGTGGAGCACTGTCTTTGCAATTCGAATCTTCCTCCCTTCCCAGAACAGCGTCTTTAACTATGAAACCAGTGCGGCGAGGACGACGCGAATCACTGGAGAAGAAAAACCCGAAGTCAGATCAGGCAAGCGATGAGGTTCGTGATGACGAGAAGAAGCATCGCTCGCACTCTCTTGATTCGATATCCGCACTTACAGGGTACATTTCGTCCGAAAGTCCATCCATTGGAGAACGAAAAACAAAACGACAGAAATCAAAGAAGCGAAAGGAAGGCTTTCTGCTGTTGTCTAGTAGGACAAAGTACAATGGACATACAGCGTCGGCACATTCCAGGTCGGTTGTAGTATCTGCGAATGACGAGATCTCGGGTATCAGTTCGACGCCTGTTAGGCGAAGAAAATCCACACATTCCCGCTCGGCTTTTGAGACAGTCAAAGACATTTCTTCGATCACCAAGTCGAACCATACTACGCGAAGAAGATCGATATCTTCAAAAGACGAGCCTTCGGTTACCAAGTCGAACCATAGTAGGCGAAGAAGATCGACGTCTACAAAAGCCGATTCTTCGGCCACTAAATCAAATCAGAGCAGGCAATCAATATCGGCATGTTCTCCCTCGATTTCGATTTCTACGAAAGACGCCCCGTTGGGGATCAGCTCGAACAAAAGTGAGCAAAGAGGGTCGTCAGATTCCCGCTTGATTGAAAAAGAAGGCCCCCTAGTTGTCCTTTCGTCGAACACCAACGTTTCGCCAATGTCTCTCGATGACGGGGTATCGATGGTGAAAGCCGAAGCAGAAACCCTGCTGGACTCACTCGAGGTCGCAGACGCCATAGGCATAGGGCGTTCTGATCGTCAACAGGCTTCGGACGATGGCGACTCGCACGAAGATCTGTCGGTGTCCCCCGGCTTATCGCAGTCCTACCTCCCGGCTGGTCTACAGAAACTTAAAAGATTGGCTTCGTTTCGAAATGGTCCTTTGTCCTCCAGTCCGGGCCGGGCACAGGCGCGCAGTGGTGAGATTGCGATATCGAGAGTATCCAAACCTGTCGATAAAAAAGATTTCGTACAAACAAGTGGTTTGGCCATAGGGAGTTTCCAGAGAGATTCCGATGCACCGTTGCGCCGTGCGCAGAATGCATCTCTTCGGATGAAATTTTTGACCAAGGCCAAAAGCACAATTCATGGTTTTGGGAATTCTTCTTCTGATGATGTTCGCAAGAAAAGATCCCCTGGGAGTTACATTCCAAGTAGCAAGGAACTCAGGAAGAAACAAGACGAATCGAACTATCGGAAAGATCTGGTGAAGAACGCAGTCTATGCCTGTATGGAAGAGGATGAGGACGGCGATATCAACAATTTTATCCTTGGAACTACACCAGACATCACTCCGCCTAGAGGAAAGCCGCGAAGAACACAGTCTCTTCCAACAAAATACTCCCGATATTTGTCTTGACAGACTAGATTAATATTGACGACGTTAGAGTATTGGTGGCTGAATAAGTTAAATAAAATTTTCAGGCTACGATTTCACTTTTTCGGCTGGTAAATCAAACGTATTTCTATTTTATCAATACCAAAAGGTTCCAGTGTCTACCTTTCCCAGAGCAGGTCTTCGTCCAAGTGAGAGTTAAACTCAACCAAACAATTTCAATCATCTCCGCACTTTTTAAATGTCATTTCTGGAAATCATACTCGTTGACGTTTCTTTGACAATTCCCCTTGCCCTTCGACAAATAAAAAACTGGGATCCACTTGCTGCTCCTGCAACATCATTGACTTCGATGCCCGCTTCGAAGAGGAGGACATCGTTTCTTCTCCTTTTTCCTCGTCATTTTTGGACATCACGCTTCGAGTCTCTCTTACCATCCGTGTTATCTTCTTGTGAATTTCCTTCTCTTCATTTTCGGGCTCGACCGGTTTCCAATAGCACTCTTTTTCATTCCAAATCAAAAACCGGCATCCGCTCCAGCCAGAGTCACTTCGACCAATTGCGACTTCGTGTTGCCTTCTACTGGCATTCTGCTGCTGCTTAAGTTCGTCAACAATATCCACGACCAGTTCTGTTGCTTTTTTGTTGGCGTAGCCCTTTTCGTTGCACTTGGCAACTACTAGGCTCCGCAGCGTAGCATTGGCAGGATGTGACGTAAGGGATGTTCCGTTCCGAAATATGATGTCCTGTAGATAGGGAGACTCGATAATAGAATTTATAGGATCGTATATTCCGGTCTGGTCCTGTTTTTCTTCTATCAGAACACGTAGCCGGATCCATTCTTTTACGTATTTTTCTTTCACTGTCCCAGTGAATGAGATGGGAATGTAATCAATCGGTATTCCAAAGCCCTGCAGTATATACCTTATTTCCATCGAATGTCCTAGAAGCGCGAGGTAGAGACGGTTGGTGACGATACAAAGTTAGAGTCTCGGTGTGGCAGGAAAGTATATATTTTAGCAGGAATATGCATGCATGCATGCATAGGGGTTGGTTATCTTGTGCTCGATTCAATGGAACAATATAAATTGGGGTACGTACCTACGTGAATCTTGACCCTTGATTTTTCTTTACCGGCTCTCATCACAATTGCGCTCCGCCGCCTACGATACAGGTGTGAATCGGGTGTGCATAGGTGCACCGAACTCGCGCGTGTACCTAATGTAACAAACCGGCGACTGTCTGTATTTGCATGGGGATTCTTGGAAATGTTCTTCCAAGACGAGTCGAACCAAACAAGGACAACAATTCCGCTTTTTTGGGCCTCCAGATCTTCTCCTGCTACGTACGTCATGTAGAGCCAAATTTTGGTTCGTAACGCGGATGTTGCTGCCTCCCATTCTTCATCTGGAAATACCGCTAGGATGCGTCGTCCGTGGGTCCCAGCAGATCGATCTCGATATGGTAGGAACTGGTACCGGCCCTTCCGAAAGATTCGGAGCTCTTCCTTGCTAAAGTCTGTCATCCGGATTGGTCGCTGCAGTGCTACATTGCCGAAGAGTTCCAGGACGACKTTCAGATATTTGAAAATGCGTTGGGCTGCGATTTCCACATCAAAGGTTTCGCACCGCAGAAACCGCAGCCGAAACTTGTCTGTGTTGACGTAGGTGGGCAGGTTTCGTTTGACAAACAATTCTTGGCTTTTGAGGTAACCTTTCCTTTGATCGATCGGTGTTATCGGATCGTTGAGTTTCAGGTCAAGTTTCCTTAGAGACTCTCTGAGAAATAAGGGTGACTCTTCTGGAGCCAAGCAACGGACACCGTGGATCTCCTCCTGAAAATTGGTTCTCTCTTTCATCGATAACTTCATCATTTCTTCCGATAGAATTTGATCCGCATCGGGGGGAGCAAGGCTAGAGTTTGTGCTCACCTGATCAATATCATCGTTGTCGTTATTGGAATCATGTATGGGATGTGCAACAGTATCAATGCCGATATCGTTGGATAGAATTTGATCCGCATCGGGAGGAGCAAGGCTGGAGTTTGTGCTCACCTGATCAATATCATCGTTGTCGTTATTGGAATTATGTATGGGATGTACACCAGTATCAATGCCGATATCGTTGCGAGTACCACGAACGATCGCATCATCGTTGGTTTCCGATGACATAGTTTAGACTTCCAATCGACACTTTTGGCACGTAGTACAGTAGAACAGAAAATTCGTTACGTGCTGCTCATGGAGAAATCATTTAATTCTTCGGACACTTCATCGGAAACGGAATTCATTGATTTTATTCGATTAGATTAGATTCGATTAGATTGTGTTGGATAGAAGTTGGATTTGTAAGGAACAATGATGTTCCATCACGATTTTGATAATACGAAACTCACTCACTCCATGCATTTCACAATAATTTTAGAAGAAACGAATTGTTATGTTCCCAGAAATTATTGCGTCGGGTCTATGATTCTTAAGTAAAAAAAATATATACTGTGCTCGAATTGAGCATGTCTCGTAGTCATTAATGCGTTAAACGCTTTTGGTGATTCGGATTGCGAAAGAACATTCTTGATCTGGTCGGCTTGCACAAAAAATAATACTGTACTTCTAATAATGAGATGTGATGTGATGTTTTCGATCGTGTTAGTGACAATACATAAGTTCTGTACTTTCACTACTCAACAAAACCATTACCATATGTGAGCTTCTGATCTTCGAAAATATGATGAAATTTGGTATATCCTAAAAATGAGAAATGCGATTTTTGTCACTATCGGCGGTGCAGTAGTAGTAATTCGTCTGATGTCGGTTTTCATCCTCAGACAAAAATCATTTATTGACGGTAGTTGAATTTAATCTTGAAGATGATTCCATTTAATCAATCTTAAAAACAGTCAATATGCAAGTTACTGTACTTTCGTTTCGCACGGTAGAATAGAGGTCTCCTGAGGCGAGAAGTCGCTAGAAGAGATGACACGCGTAAAATAACAATTGAACTTTCGTTAATTGAGGCATTGCGTAGGCCTACGTAGATCCTAGTATTATCCACATTCTTCAATTGGTAGCAAAACAGTCTTGCAAGTGCCTAAAAAGGAAGAAGGGATCTAAAAAAGAGGAAGAAGAGGATGCCTCCCCTGCTAATATTCAGACTGGTAAGCAAAGCATTCAGGACCATAAATTGAAGCAAAAAATACAGTACTCATTTCTAGGCAGCCTATGCTGGTAACATTCAGAATGTTAAATTACTACTAGTAGTAATGTTCATCCCAATGCCTCAATTAACAAAAGAAGTTCAATTGTTATTTTACACGTAGTATTTCTAATTTGTACCTTTGGTACAGTATGGTACAATACATGTGTCATATGTTGCTCATACTGTAATTTCTGAATCGTATGTTTGATTACGTACCTATGCTTCTTGTATGTGCAAAATGTACCTAGTACTACTACGGTATGCTCTTTAGTGTCTACAATAAAGAGTGAGCATGTGGATTGTTATTCACTACTAGTACTCACTTGTGATTTACGTGTGAATTACAGGCTCACACCACCCTGCGCTTGCAGAATCTAAAGAGTCAAAGAATGAGTCAAGATTGCTTAAGAGCAAATCTGGAAGAGGATTTAGAGTGCAAGTGGGGCACGACTGCATAGCAGCAGCAGCAGGATGTTGTGGTGCGATGGTGTGCTGCCACCATACTAGCTTTCCTCCTCCTGTCAGTATTATTGTGAGTTGTTGCATCAAATGTGGTGTTATGTAGCCAGCACATCTTGGTATGCATATATAGGTTGGATTTGTCCCATGAAGATGTCAGTGTGTTCATAGAATTTGGTAGGACCTGTTGGTTTGCTTTCTACAAATTCAATGTGTTTATCATCAGGCAGTCCATTGTAGGATAACAAAGTGTTTCATTTCTACATGCCTTGTATGGTGTGTAAGTTTGTGGGCATTTGCCATTCTGAAAGCCCTGTGGTTGTCAGCTATAATAGTGGTTGGTTTTGTTTTGTGGTGTAGTAGGTCAAGTTCTTGAAGGATCCATCTCATTTAGTGGATTGACCATACATTGTTGAATGCAGTATCTGATCAGATCACATGTGGTGGCTTCAGAGCTGGCTGTAGGGAAGTCATCTACTTGTCAGAGAATATTTGTTAGGCCACAATTATCATGTTTAAAGTAGTAGAGACAAGGTTCACGTGTTGTTGGCATGCATCCAAGATCTTTGATGAGGATCATAGATATACCGTATAGTGTTGGCGGCAAGACGTACAACCCAGTCATCAATTTTTGGCTATCTTTTTCCCATGTAATGACTTCTTTGACTAAAAAAGGGCTTCTTGTACTGCAGTATCGTCCATGCTTGATGTTTTGGGCTATTGCTCTGAATTTTTGTGAGTTTGCATGTTCTCCTCCTCCATCTATCATAATTGTACAGTCTATGTGTTCTGGAAGAAGTAGTCCAATAGAGTAGTCTTTGTCTTCTGGTGTGGGTTGTATGCTTGGATGGAGTTGTGGAATGCCTGTGAACAAGCAAGGTAGCCATTGTTGGTAGTGGTTATAATTGCTTTGGTAGGTGTACTACTAGCTTTAATACTGTGTTTAGAGAGGAAGGCTTCAAGAATGATCTGTATGGGAGGTTCCTTGGACTTGATTGGGAATGTCCAAAGGGTCCTAGTGGCCAAATCAATGATGGTGAGGAAACCAATGTGCCCATGGCAGCTAAGCTTTAGAGTAGGATGTGGCTTATCATTGACTTTGAGTACATTCTGGAAGTTTCTTGGGGGTCCGCTAACAAAGGACGAGAAGTTCATGTGAATGGATTGCATATGGATAAGCTATTCTTTTCTTGGTTTCTTGTTGTTCTTTCCCAGGCATTTTGTCATTTTGCTCTTTTTGCAGAATGGACACCAAAAGAAGGGGGTTGCAGTGGACAGTGGAGGGATGCCATCAACTACTTTCTTTGCCTTGATGAGTGTTGATGGGGAGATATGACCATAGCATTGATGCCATAGTTCCAAGTTCTTGAGTGCCTTGGAGAGACCACCATTTGACCAGGTCCTTGCTTCATTGCTGGGAGGCATGGAAGCTATGCAGTGAATGCAACTGCTGTTGGATTTAGTAGTACTATGAAGTTGTAGCTCACGTTCTGTGTGTTCATTTTCACCCTTGTTGTTATCCAGTAGGACTTTGTTTGTTGTATACTACTACCAAATACCATAGTAGTCATTCCTGATAGTCTGTTTGGATTCAATATTAGTACTGTTTAGCTGGTTTATGAAGCAAATACTCTTCCTTTGCTGTTTGTGTGAGCCTCCTGTATAAAGCTGTAGAAATTACTTGAGTTCTGGAAGTGGCTGATCTGGGGATAAGACTGTACCAGCCAGTAGAGTTTGGTGAACATTTTGCTTCTTCCTGTGTTAATAGACGTGTAATTTTCATGTGCAAAAAATAATTTTTATTCAAGAGCATGCTTATTTCTAGCCTCTAGTACTGGTGATTCCACACGTTCTACACAGTCACTCCTTAAATTAAACAATCAAAATCGATTAAGTAAAAAGGGGACACCACTTCTTCTTGTTTCATGGACAGCAAAAACAGATACAGTGGACACGCACCCCCTCCTGTTCCTGGACGGAGGAAGAAGGAAGTACTACTAGTAGTAGTAAATGATGAATAACCTAGTAGTAGTAGTAATTTTTGTCAAGGTACCAATTTATTTGCAAAAAATGGGATACTGAGATTAGCATGGATTCTACACAGATTTTCAGAGCAGTGAAAATCATCAAGGCTACTGTCTCTTATGCAAAAGTGAGAAGTGTTAGCTGGTCCAGTGCACCGCAACCAACTTCGAAGTACGAAGTACCGTACTAACTTAATTACTGCAGTAGTTACTCGTGATCAGGGCTCTAATCCCTACAGCATCGGTTTATTTGGGCCTGTTTGATAAGTAAATGGTTTTCCAAGATCGAGGCCATTGAGAAAGTCGTACTTCGTAGTACAGGACTTACTTAATTACTATGTCTTACCGTCGATATGACCCCTAACTTCAACTATAAAGTTCGAGTACTTGTACGACTAGATGCACTATTATTATTTACAGTACCGTACTATTTGTGACCTGTTGTGTGCCACAAGACCAAACGGTTGTGATGGCATTATGGCCATCACAGTTTTCTTTCTTGGACATGAGATCAAGTTCGGTGTTTGCATTGGCACCGCACTTTCACTCCTTTCACCGTTCGCACATAATCCATACACTTTTGATCAGCGAGTGATAATTCGGAAGGAGTTATCACATTGTCGCTGAAAAACGCACACCAACTTTTCTAGAACACAGATAGCAACGAACGAACAACCATGGTACCTCCTCAACGTATCCAGCTTTGTTTCCGGGTCAACCTCTCCCATCAACCAGCGAAAATTCTACTTCCGGTGATTGGTGGCATGAGGAAGGATTTTATTGTCCGCAATCGTCGTTATTATTCTGCCGGTGACGACCATCACAACACCAAAGAGGAAGCCACGTTGCCCTTGACGAGCTCCTCGTCGTGCGGAGTGGCTAGAACGACGCGACTGCCAGTGAACATTGAATTGACCTGCTGAACAGAGCCGATAGCTTTCTTGCAATCCATTGTCGATCGATGAAAACAACATCAAGTTTCGGTTGATTTCGACACATTGAAATTTCTATCATGTACGAATATCTCATCAATCCGAGCAGGGCGAGGCAAGGGTATTGACGAACGAGATCGGATATTTCCTAATGGTCAGTTCGTTGCAAGAAGAATTGCATCTCACTTGTAGGACCAGCTTTATCAAGAGCATAAGTAGGAAGCAATTGGGATTCCAAACCACCGCATAGTTTGACGATTGCTGAAGATAAGAACAAAAACCGAAGTCGGAATCCACACGGAAGAACTGACTTAAGAGTAAAGCCCAAGTCGAAGTATTTCTTCATGGCAGTACCTCTAATAGTATCAGTGTAATTATATTTTTTCAGCACAAATTTTTCACATCCTATATATTACTAGTGCACATCCGTTCAATGCAAGGAGCAACAGCATTTTTTATTTTCCAACAGCAACATCAATAACAAGCGATGTCATTCTGTATTGGCAGGACCCTTTCAGCAGTGAAGCGTCATGATCTTGTTACTCTCTACCCTGCTACTATTAGGAGGAAATTATAAGCCATGCTTGCATAAATTCCTCAAATCATCAGGCCATATAATTGCTTGCTTGTTCAGGGGCCACCAGATTCGTTATTTTTTGGCATGAGATACACAACAACGAAAATCCGGACCAAAGAAAAACAAAAAATGAATAGTACCAGGGGTAATAATTTAGAGGGGTGCGCATCAAAAAATTTGTCCATCACAAAGCATGAGCATTAAAAACTGGACTAGACTTGCTACTAAAAAATTAATATGATAGTAGTATTTTTGATCAAGCTGTAACTGCTTAAAGATTGTATAGTTTTACTAGTAGTATTATGCAGGACCCTTCCGAATCAGCCTTTTTACTGCCTTCTTACCCTGCAGGCGCGAGACTGTAGGTAAAGTTACGGAAGACTAATAGACATCGAACACGATTGAAATTTGAGTCGTGGTAATGGGGAAAGTACTACTTAACAATATCATTTGGTCGCACCGCGTCCACCCGCCAGCAAGATCATATTCAACGGACATGTTCATCTGTGTAATTAGTAGTTACATCTGAAGGGATTTTTTCTCGCAACCATAAAGCTACCACCAAGCTACCAGAAAGCTACCAGAATTTTGGGTAACTTTCTGGTAGAGTCCTGGTAAATTTCTGGTAGCCCGATGGTAGCTTGATGGTTGCGAGAAAAATTCCCTTCAGATATTACTTATACATCATGCGTGATTGCAGGCGCGCAGGACCAGTCATCAGCTCGTGCGCTAAGACCACAAAGAAGCTACCAGAATCMTACCAGAAACTTACCAGGAAGCTACCGGAAAGCTACCAGGAAGCTACCAGAAATTATGGTAGCTTTCTTGTAAAAACTCTGTAAGGATTCTCAAGGTCTCTACGGGGTTTCTAAAATTTTGGTTGGGATTAAACTCAACGGTCAGAGTTGGTGGCATTGTATAGATATATTCAATATTTAAAATTAATATACCTGGCATTGGTCCAGTCCTGCTTCATATTAATAATGTCCTACTGTTCAGCACGCCTAACCAATCATACAAACATCCTGGTTACCAAAATGTTGCGCGAAACGCGCGGTAAAAATGCTGATTTGGAAGGGTCCAGTAAAAATGAGAATGAAAAAAAATCCTGGGGGGACTTTTTGGAAATTTGGACCACACGTGGAAACTGAGTTTTGGATTTGAGGATGCCCACCGCTCTAAATTATGACCCCTGAATAGTACTTCTACCTCGTACAATGTACAAGTACTCGCCAATACTGTATGCCTGTGCAATATTCTATTGGCATGGTATGAGTACCGTACGATTTTATCAATTAACATCAACTGTTCTCTGCACCAGAGGCATTGGCATTTCCATTTGAGTATTCCTGTAACTTCGCAAAAGTTCGTATCCTACGAGTCCTGACTCATCAAAAAAGCTTGAAACTCATACAACGAGTTTCGTAACAATTGAAACCGGACTCTGCCAGAGCAATAAGTAATAATTTCAAGTTCTAAACTTTGATTTGAAGTTATTAACTTTTGCTCGTACATCATGTACCAGTTTCTACTGAGCTTGTTTTTAAAATGACTGAATGACCGAATCGATTCCCCTCAAAACAAAACAAAAAAACAATCATGAATCCTGGCCTTTCAATCATGAATGCCATCCAAAAACTACCGGTAGCTCAGTAGAACCAGGTAGACCTTTGAAGTTGATAGCTTCAAATCGAAGTTTAGAACTTGAAATAATTAATCATGGAAGTCGAAACATAAAAAAAAGACTAAAACAGTTTTGACTGTAATTGGTTCGCAAAGCGGAGGGGGGGTCTGGGGGGGTGGAATTTGAAGAAACATGGTATACTCATCTTTTTAGTCGTAGAGCCGGTAGGGTTTTGAACTATAAGAAACATCGTAAAACAATAAAGTTACGGGAATGAGATGCCAGCATATATAACTGATTGCAGGTGGTGGCGTGCGACGTAACAAATAACAAATGAAGCTTCACTCGTATTGAGTCACTCGAACGATACGAATGAATCGTACGGGCTGTAAGATTAGGGTTGAGGTTAAACCGTATCTCGAGGTTGAATCTTATCCTCGCACGATTCACTGATTAGGGTTAAGGTTAAGCCATCGAAAATACAGCAAAACAGCAAGAATCAGCTGTTTKGTCACACTTCTTCTTTTCTTTAACATTTAAAACACCCTTTCATGCCCTCATACCATGATGATATCTATATAAGCTAAGACTCTAGTGTATATTACAGTGTATTAACTTGTTATATGAACACTACACTAACTGCTTATTGCACACGTGATTTCTACTACACGTACGATATGATTGAATCATACGAGTCTAACAAATAATAAATGAAGCACCAATAATCGTTCGAACCATGGTCAGGAATCACCATAAAAATGCTAACAAAAAGCACAGAGTGATGAAATCCGGCTTTTGTACAAACAAGCATTGATGCTTCATACGGTATGTACGGAATACTAAGTGAAAATGCAACAATGCAACTGAAACCTGGTCATTGGTATTGGATGCATGGAGGTGCAAACTAATATTTTCTTATCTCTATTCTGCTCCCTTCTTGTGATCACAAAATATTGAGGACGCTTGCTGATACGGAGGACGATGCTGATACTATAAGTCGCCGATACGGAGGTTGCTGATACGGACGCTGATACAGAGGATGCTGATACAGAGGCTCGCTGCTGATATGGTGTCCACTGATACTATGGAGGAAGCTCACTGATACAGTGTCCACTGATACGGTGTCCGCTGATACAGTGTCTGCTGATACGGTGTCCGCTGATACGGTGTCCGCTGATACTACGGTGTCCGCTGATACTATGGTGTCCGCTGATACTACGGTGTCCGCTGATACTACGGTGTCCGCTGATACGAGCCGCTGATACAGTGTCCGCCGATGCAAGCTGCTGATACGAGCAGCTAATACAGTATCTGCTGATACGAGTCGCTGATACAATACGAGTCCGCTGATACGAGTCCGCTGATACCAGTCAGCTGATACAAGTCCGCTGATATGAGTCTGCTGATACACACTGCTGATACAGAGGCTTGCTGATACGGAGGAGCTGCTGCTGATAAGGAGGACAAGTTGCTGATACGGAGGACAAGTTGCTGATACGGAGGATGCTGAAACAAGTTACTGATACAAATCACTGTTACGAATTGTTGATACGGTGTCCACTGATACGGTGTCCACTGATACGGTGTCCACTGATGTGGTGTCCGCAGTTCCGCTGATGCAAGTCCGCTGATGCGAGTCCGCTGATGCGAGTCCGCTGATGCGAGTCCGCTGATGCGAGTCCGCTNAGTCCGCTGATGCGAGTCCGCTGATGCGAGTCCGCTGATGCGAGTCCGCTGATGCGAGTCCGCTGATGCGAGTCCACTGATGCGAATCCACTGATGCGAGTCCACTGATACAAGTCCACTGATACAAGTTCGCTGATACGAGTCGCTGATACGGAGGCTCACTGATACGGATGATGCTGATACGGACAATGCTGATATGGACGAGTCACTGATACGAGTCACTGTTACAGAGGATGCTGATACAAGTCACTTATATGATTGCTAGGCTTGCTGCTTCTTGCTTGCTCCTGTTACAAAGGATGCTGATAGTACGGACGCTGCTAACTACTTGTCCCCCCTCTAAGATCTTAGAAAACTGTCATAATTATATGTTTCTGTTACTATTGTCAAGAATTACCTTCATCATTTGTCTTTTTACTATGGAAATTGCCTTATGCTCAATGATGGAAGTATTTTTTGTTACGTTTAAAACTTGAGTTTAAAACTTTAGTTTACAAGTACTCTTAGTACGGTATCTGCTAAATGATACACATGTATTTTTTACCGTTGTATTATTGTATATTATATGTTACATATTTTTGCACCCCTCATATTTAGTAGTATCAAAATTTTTCTGTGTACATTTCTACGGTGCTGATGTGTGTACTTGTATTATTTTATTAACTACYRGAGTYGCCTAATWAGTATAATAACCCACCGTATAACTGCTAACTGAATGATACAAATAATGATACACACTCCCACATACAAGGGACTGGAGTCATTGGCAATAATTGATTATTTTCTAGTACTAAATTTCTGTAGGAATTTGTGTAGTAGGAATGCATGCAGCTCGCTCCCCCCCCCCTCAGCAAGCAGCTTTATTCTTTCTATTGCATAACTTTGCAAGGGACTTGCCCACCATGGTGATCCTCTGATAAGGATACGGAGGAGTATGCTGATATGGAGGATGCTGATACGAGCCGCTGATACGGAAGCTCACTGATACGGAAGCTCACTGATACGGTGGCCGCTGATACGGTGGCCGCTGATACGGTGGCCGCTGATACGGTGTCTGCTGATACAGAGGATGCTGATACAGAGGATGCTGATACAGAGGATGCTGATACAGAGGATGCTGATACAGA